GTTAAATCGACACGGGCCACTTACGGAGCGCCTGCTTTCAGCAATACTCGGCCCCCCCGCCAATCCCTGGGGGTCCAGAGATGAGTGACCTCCCCACTGGGCACAGCCTGGAGGTGACGTGAAAAGCCAAAAACCTTCCTCTGGCTGCACTGGGGCCCAATCCTAGAGGAGCCTGGGTGTCCCCACCTCCCCGGAGCAGCGGCTCCAGGCCCCACACGCCCATTCAGAGGCGGTGCTCTGCCGCCCCCTGCTGGCCGAGCCCCGCAGTGCCTCTTTGGCAAGCGGGTGGTTTGATGGGGCCTTCCTTCCACCCAGACAGGTGAGTCTTGGGGTTTCCACCCGCACCTCACCCAACACTCACAGCCACCTCCTGCGATAGTGTTATCGTCCCACTGCATAGATGAGGAAGCTAAGGTTCCGAGAGGTAGGTGTGCTCCCCAAGTTCACCCACTCAAGCTGGGGCCCAGTGACTCCTGGATACATATTTTTTATCATCACTTGAGGGGTCACCTCCCCTAGGAGGACAAGAGGGGCCTGGAGGGCCTTTGTCACTCAGCCTGTCCCTTTTCAGACAAGGGAGGGAGGGACTTGCCAAGGTCACTGCCAGGAGTTGATGCCACCGCCAGCCAGCCTGGCACTTGGCTACCTGCAGACCTTGGCGTTCCTCCCAGCTCCACGCAGGCCCGTTGCTCTTCCCAGTTCACAGCACTGGCCCCAGCCTCTGGGTCCATGCCTACAGCTTACGTCGTCAACAGGAAGGTGCTCAGGACTCCCACCTTCCTGTACTGCCTGTTGCCTGGGCCTGGGGGGGGGGCACCAGTGCTGTGCGGGACTGGGGGCTGCTGGTGCAGCTGGCAGCAGGAGAGCGGGGTCCCGCCCCGGAGGGTCGCCTGGGACTCAGCTCTCCCACTGCTCTGGCCTCAGCAGCCTCGTCACTTGCCTTGGGTCCCTGAGGCCACCTCCCAGGATCCTGGCTCTTGCCGGCACCTTGCAGAGGGCCTGGAGGAGCTAGGCTGACGGCGGCAGTCCTGGACAAGAGCCCCAGGACTCTCCTCTTCCTTTCAGAAGTCAGATCACCGTGCAGGGCCTCCTCGGCGCTAACCCACCAGCCATCACCACGCCATGGCCCGCTTCCCGGGTGTCTGCCCTTTGTCACTGCAGGGGCTTCTGTTGGCTCAGGCCCCAGATGCTCCTTCTCTTCCATCACTGAACCCTGTCCCACACCCCCAGGGGGTAGGAGCCGAGCCTTGCCAGGCACCCCCTGCCCACACATGGGCATTCACAGCTGCCCAGTGTCTCTGCTCCCCAAGGGTAGAGCCCAGGGCTGCCTGTCCCCTGGCCACAGCCTGGTTCCTAGCAGCACCTGGTACACCAATGACTGTGTACAGTTTCTGGAAAAAGGTCTCTGGGTACCCGGCCACAGCTCGGGGGCCGCCACACAGCATTCCCGCAGCTCTGGTCCTCTGTGCCCACTTGTGGAGGCTGTCCCTTCCTCTCTCCAGGCCACCAAGCAGTCCAGGCCCCACCCCCCACCACAGCCTCAGTGCCGGGGACTGAGGGTGCCTGCCAGTGTCTAAGCAGAGAGTCTGGCAAGGAGCGGGCCTGCCCTGCAAACATTGACAAACCACGTTTCACGCAGCTGCCATGTGTGGGGTGGGGGTGAAGGACTGAGGTGACAGATGGAGGAAGTGTACGGCCCCTAAGACTGCAGCCCCACCCCCAAGGGCTCCTTCCAGGACAACCGGGCTGGCTGGGGGTCAGGAGAGAGCCAGCTCCACAACTGAGAGGCTACGAGCCCCTGGCAGAGGTGGCTAGAGGAGGGTCCCCTCCCCCCTCCCCCCACTGCGCTCCCGGGCTAGACCTCCACCACCCAGGGGAGATACAACACCAGCCAGTATGGAATTTTTAACTTTCTACTGGTTACATTTCAACTCCATGTATACAAAATACATGTAATCACTTCAACATGGAACCGAAATGTATCAATGAGACCATGGCACTCCCGCATGTCTTGCTTGGAGCCGGTTCCAAACGACCCCCTCCCCTGCCCCTGTCAAGTGCTCAGCGGCACCTCCTTAGAAGGGCAGACCAATGGGAGAGGCTATCTGTCGTAATCATGGCAAGGACAGCCAGGTTCTCTGGCGCAGCCTCCACTCATTGTCCTGGGGAGTGTGCCGCCCAGTGCTCTCCCTGTGTGCTCTGGGGAATGTGACAATAACTCCACCATGAACTTTGCAGGAGGAGCTACAACCTTGCCCCCTGATTCAGCTACAACTTTAGAGCTGATTCTAGCCAACCTAGGCGGGCTTCAGGGAGGTGGTGACATTTCTACTAAAGAGTGGGCATTGCAGGCAGCAAGGAGGAAGCCTGATCAAGAATAGCAATAGCTCTCATGGCAGCATGCCTCCTAGGCACAGGTCCCGAGAGTCCGCCATCGCAGTCACCCTATACCCGTTTGCCCGGACAGTTCTAGTTCATGCCTGTTGTCCCAGCAGATGTATAAACAGCATCCCTTCCAGTCCCTAAATTGTCCGCCTGCTCTCCCTGCCTGACCCCCAACCTGGCCAGGGCCTTGCATTTGCCCAGGGTGTGCTGGTTTCTGCAGCCTGTGGCTGCTCCAGGTTAGATCCCACTGGGGCCAACCCCGGGGCTCTGCAGAGCGCCAAAGGGGCAAATCGGGGATTCAGCTCTCAGGCTACCTGAACTCAGAAGAGGAGCCAGTCCTGGGCCTTTGCCTCTGCGTTCCCCTTTCAGGAGAAGGGCTGGCAATGACACCTCTCTCTGTGGAGTAGTTTGTTGGGGCAGAGACACTGCAGAGCACAGGGACCACCAGAAAGAAGTAGGTCAAGGGCCCAGGGCTGAGTTCTGCCAGGCACTCTCCAACGCTATGTTGAAATAGGCTGGGCGCTCGATTTCTGCAAGACAAATGTTAGCTTAGCAGAGTGGCCACGTCAGAAGGGCTGAAACTCTCCCCACACCGGCCTGGGGCTATGACAGTGTGGCTACTCCCTGGCCAGGGTCACAGCAAATAGCTGAACCACACCCCTTCCCTCTTCCCTGGCCTCTGGATCCCACTGGGGAACAGGGTGCCTTCGCACCCCAGGGCCTGCACCTTGGCCACTGTCCCAGTAGCAGCAGCCACCAATGACAGCTCGGCTACCAGGCGATGTCACCCTTCCTACCTTCTGGAAGGAGCTGGTCAAGTGGGGTGTGCTGCTGCTCTTCCACACTGCTGCCCGGCAGATGTTCAGGTGAGTGGCCCAGCCCTCCCTTTTCTCTCTGGGAAAGGGAAGCTACAAATGGCAGCACCCCTTCTTTCCTAAGGCCCTGCATACGTGGGCTCTGATGGTGCCTGAGGGGTGGGTGCCAGGATGAGGCAGCAACCCCAGGGAGGGGCAGGAGACTGGGGCCGGGCAGGAGACCAGGGCCCAGCAGCCTAGCCTGTCGCTGGGTACCTTAGGGGTCCCGCTCATTCAACACAAATATCCACTCAACAGTTGGAGTCTCCGTCCACGAGGCTCCGCAGTTTAGGGGAACTGACTGGGCCGTCGAGGGGTATCAGGGCAGACGAGAGGGGCTGGAGACTGCGCGCCTAGCGCCAGACAGAGGGAGAGGACCGTTTGGAGTGTGTGCATGGGACAGGAGCAGAGGGGCCAGCCGAGGTGACTGCCGATCCGGCGAGGAGGCAACCTGGGCGAGGAGGGCGGCGCGGCTGAGAGCCGACAGAACGACCCCCGAGGCGCGCAGAAGCGGGCAGTAGGGCTTCGATGGCGGCCTGTGGACTGGGGGCCGGCGACACCTGCCCCTTCCACGGCTCTAGGCAGCAGACGAGGATTGCTTCCCGAAAGCGAGGTGTGAACAGAAACCAATTTCGCTGGCAGAACTGGAAACCCGGGACGCAAACAGCCGTTACTAGGCAACCGTCCCGCCTAGGCGAGGTGCGCAAGCGCACCCAGCTGCGGAGGTCCGCGCACGCGCAGTCGCCTCCCGCCGTTCATTCCAGCATTGCGTCCAACGACTAAGTGGGAGGATGCGCCTGCGCCATGGCGCCGCTCTGCTTCTTGGCTCAGCAGTAACTGTTCTCGGTGGATGCACCTGCTGCCATCGGACAGTCAAGACTGGCTCTTCACTGGAGTCTGATTGAAGAGTTCGTACTCTTCTCACATCTTAAGACAAGAAACGGCTGCGAGAAAGGACTGGCGCAACGCGGGGAACGCCCCGGGGTGGCCTCTGAGCACCCTGCCGGGCAGGTGGGCTGGGGGCGGGGCCAAGGGATGGGTGTCGAAGGACTGGGCGAGGCAGAGGGTGGGGCTAAGGGGCGGTACTAGGAGATGGGGCATGGAAGGACCGCCTGGCCGATGGATGCGGCAGTGAAGGATTGGACGCAGGAGGGGGCGGGGCCAAGGATAAGCCGTGGGAGGATGTTAGCAAGAGGCGGGGTTAGTGGGCGGGGCCAAGGAGCAGAAAGGAGGGTTGTGCGGTGAAGAGCGCGGAGAGGGGCGGAGCGGAACGTCATCTGAGCAGCTGCTAGGGGCGGGACTAGTGTACGGGGTGGGGCGAGAGCGGGGCGGAGCGTCTCGAGAACAGCTGCGGAGGGCGGGGCTGGCTGGCGTGGCGGGTGGGCGTGGCGTGCGCTGACGTCGCGGCCGGACACGTCGGCGGCGCTGCGGCCGCCGAAACCGGAGCCGGATGTACTAAGATGGCCGCAGCGGTTGCCGTCTCTGCGCTCGTTTTAACCTCCCTGCCGGCTTCCGCCCGCGTCCGCGCCTCCTGAGCGGCTGGCACCTGGGATTGCCGAGGGGCCGGGCGGGAGCCCGCTCGGGCCTCAGCCTCCCTGAGGCGCGCCGGTGAGGGCCGGGGTCAGGGTGGAGGGGGGCGGGCGGGTAGACCAGGCCCAGCCCCGAGCGGGCTGTGCGTTTCCGGGGTGCCGCAGGAGGCTTGTCAGGGGCGCGGGTTGGGCTGGGGAGCCGAGCCGCCGCGCGCTTGCCTCAGTCCGCACTTCGTTCCCCCGAGGGTCAGACTGACGCGGACCCTACGCGGGCTGCCGCGTCCTTGACAAGTGCCTGTCTGCTCAGCTCTGTTGACACTTGTCTTAGCTGTGGCGGCCTCAGCGTGGGGTCTTGTTGGAGTGACTGGAAGATAGGCCAGACCTGCAGTGTTTTGAAGAGTGCATACATTCAGGAAATTTCTTAGCATGCCTTTTGCTTCGAAGGTTCTGATGTTGTCTTGTCCTCATTGGTCGAAAGATTCCTGCCGAGCCATGCAGGTTATGAGATGGATTTGCACTTGAACCGCCGAGCGGCACTGCTGTTGTCTGTGGTAATTTCGTGGCAAGGCGGCCAAGGTGTTGCAACGGAGGTAGAGCGCCAGTGTTTTGTGTCAAGGGTAAGAGGCTGTGTGGGAGCCAGCCGTGCCCTCTTTGTGACGAAGGAAGGGGTCACGGTAAAGCACCTGGACACGTCACAGCCATTTAAACCCGTGTTTGTCCCTTGGAGATTGGAGATTGGGCGTGAATGGCTTATTAGTGTTTGGTTTTCAATGCCTGGGCTGCAGGTGCTAAGTCACAGAGGTATTTCCCATCCCCTCATATGGCAAGAAGCAAACTGAGTCACAGAGCGCCGTTCCAGAGCGAGGCTTTTGTAGGCTGGAGCATGCGCACCCCTCCCTGCAGTTGGTGTTCCCGCGAGTATACGTGGTAGGTGCTGCTATCTCCCAAAGATAAAACGGAGGCTGGGCGGCTTACCCCTCTTGTGACTCATTCACCTTTGACAGCAGTTACCACAGTAAGTCTCGAGATGGTGCTGAGTGTTCTTTGGGGCAGTATATGGGTAAATTTGAACAGACTCCTTCCTGCATCTGTAAACAGCTTTCCTGAGTGGCCTTTCGGGTCTTTGTCGTTTTTATTAGTGCATAGACCCCCTTCTTTTTCCCTTTAACATCCGACTGTGTTTGACTCTGGACTCAGGAAAGTCGGAGTTTGTGGTGTCTTCAGGTTCAGTGTTCCACAGTCTGGCAGGGACGGCAGCCTGGGGGTGGAGGTGTGGGCCCCAGTGCTCCTTCACACTCCTGTTGGTTTACACACAGCTGGGGGCAGTGGTGGTGGGGGGGTGCCCAGACCATCTCAGTTCAGTGGCCAGGAATTTACATTGAAAATAGGCCATGCGAAGGTATTTCACACAGATACGTGCAGTTTAGTTGAGGAGCTAGGTTTGTGAACCTCTTAAGGTCAACTGGTCTCCTTGAAACCGCCTTTTAAAGTTAGAGGACTTGAGGCTGCAGAATGATCTACTGGGCAGAATGAAATTCCTTACAGTCAAGAGATGAGCGATGCTTAACCGCATTGTTTTTCTGCTGGTGAACAGAGGAAAAAGATCAAAAGGATAAGATGATTTAAGATTGTTTCAGATGAAATTGGTGTATTGCTGGAAAGTTCTCTCTCAGCTGGAGCAGTGGGGGAGGGGATGGTGCTGCTTTGTAGAGCGTGATGGTGTTTGCCTCTTAGTCCAGAAGTTAAGAAAATAATTTTAACGTTTTCTGTAAGAAACCATTTAAGTATACACCTGTGACATTCAGATTCTGATAAGGTTCTCCTATTAAACAGTGGGAGCAGGTTAGGGCGTCCCCGAGTCCACTGTGAGTAGGATTTCATAACATTAAACGCAGAAGGGACCTGAGACATCACCATACGCAGTCTCTCACTTTGTAGGTGAAGATGCTGGGTTGCAGAAAGCAGTCAGGTGCCCATGCTCCTCAGCCAGGCCCCAGTCCTGCTCTCGCAGTGACGCCTGACAAACACCCTCTAGGCCTGTGCTCTGTGCTTACCCTTTTCAGCCTGCTTAGAGTGGGTGAGGGTCTCCTGCCCAAGCCTCACAGGAGGAGGGCGTGTCCTGGGAGACCCCTGCGTTCGTGTTTCCCCGACAGGAGGCGGCGGCTCTGGTGGGCCTGCTCTTGGGCCGCAGAAAGCTGAGTTATCAATGCTCTTTGCTTTGAAATGGCGGCTTAGACCCAAATGCAGTGTCTGACGCTGTTCTTAATACACAGTCCAGTAAATCAGAGTGACTTTCAAAGTGCTTGTCGCTTGGAAAGGGCTTCCTGTTGGCCAAGCACAACGTGTGTGGGCAGCAGTAGAGAGTTAGTAGGTTTCACAGACTAGTTTTCAGGTGGGGTGGCCACTGTACTTGTAGATTCCTGTACTTACAGTGCTCTTGATCTGAGCAGTAGAAGGGCTTCCGAGGCAAAACCATCCCACGTCTGCAAAAACGTGGCTGGACCACAAAGCCCACCTACCCCGTCTCCCTCCGAGCTCACTTTTCTCTGTTGGGTCTGTTTGCAAGGGCAACGCCGGGAAAGAGGGACCGATGCAGAGAAGAGGGCTTTCTAGGGAGGCAGAACTCAGACTTTTGGCCCAGAAGTGCAGATTAACTGTTAAGACTATACTTAATATATTTTATTAACAAATAATAACAGAAAACACTGTGAAGAGGATTTTTGCTCCTTTGCTGTTGTTGTTTTTTTAAGATTAAAAAAAAATTAATTCTTAGAGGAAGGGAGAGAGAAAGAAATGTCGATTTGTTGTTCCATTTATTGATGCACTCATTGGTTGATCTTTGTATGTGCCCTGACCAGAGATCGAACCCATAACCTTGGTGTATCGGTATGATACTGTAACCCACTGAGCAACCCTACCAGGGCACCCCTTTGTTTCTGTAACTCTGCTTGTTAATGACAAGATTTCACTCAAGTCCCTTGGTCAACTCCATAGCTGCTCTGCCTGGCCTTGGCTTCACTAGGCCTGGCTTTGCAGCCCCGGCACGTGGAGGACCTGGCTCCCCTAGGCGTGCAGCCAGTTCCAGTGCAGGAAAGGGGGACGCTTTAGGTGGGGGAGAGGCCGTTGAGATGAAGACGCTGCATCGCCATGTACTGTAGGTTCTTTCACGAAGGAGGATGGGAGCCGATTTTAAACTGGTTTTCTTTTCAAGATTTAAAGTTACCTGTGTGGAAAGAGTGATGCTCAGTCTTAGCAAAGGAGCTGGCACTCTCTGGATCTGGTGACAAGTCACAGGAAAAGTGACCATATCGCAGACAGTAGGTCAGACTGGCAGGTTCTGCTTGTCCCCGCCAGCTTGGTGAGGGCGTCAGGCAGCAGAGGCCATTCCAGTGGGTCCTTCGCTGAGTCACGTAACAGAGTCCCAGAGAATGACAGTGACTTGTCTGAAGTCTCTCAGCAGCCTGGCACAGCAGCATCTGCCCCCACTCAGCCAGGGTTCCTGCCCCAGAGCAGTCAGCCGTCCAGAAAGAGTGGGGTGGGGCAGATGCAGCCCTCGGCGAAATCCCTGTCCAGCTTTTCTTTTTCCTTAGTTTCCCTGATTGCCACCAGGATTTTGAATATATGGATTTTATGCCAACTTTTTCTTTTTCTCTTTCTTTTTCAGCTCAAATCAAGGGTAACCTAGATCCTGCTTCTCTCTGTAAGCGATATCTAACTGGACAGGAGCTCAGCCATGCAGACACCCCCACAGGCTGTCCCACCCAGCGTGGTGGGGCCGCCTCCAGCCGGGAGCCCCTCGAGCGTGTTGTGGCCAAGCAGCCCGTACCGGAGACAGGCGCCTGCCAGCACCCCAGGAGCTGCAGCAACTCGCCCGCTACAGCCGGTGACGGACCCGTTCGCGTTCAGCAGACAGGCACTGCAGGGTGCCTCACCGGGCGGCGCGTCCAGGAGCAGCCCACCTGTGCTGCCGGGCCCAGCCCCTCCAGCGTTTCTTCAGCACCCTGGTCTACCTGTGTCTCACACAAACACTGAGGACAGCTGCCAAGGACCACAAGAGCTTCTGCCGAGACCTCTGTCCCAGCTCCGGCCAGGGGCAAGTCCCTTTTCCAGCGTGCTGACCCCCCCAGTGCCACCCGGGCCCGAGATGAGCAGGAGGGCCGAGGTCGCTTCCAGCCCTGAGCACCACACTCAGGCCCAGTACATTCCAGCAGTGGGTCCAGATGCTGGCTACGGGAGCCCTCTGCATGGGGGCCCTCTGCATGGGGGCATGCCTGGGCCCGACAGGCCCCCGAGCGGGCAGAATCCCCACGACAGTGCTGCAGCCCCAACGGCACCCCCTTTCTTCTCTCAGCCTCGCCAGCAAGTGCCAGGGCAGTGGGGGCTCGTGCAGGGAGGCCCACAGGCCTTGAGCCAGCATTATCAGCCCTGCCCAGAAGGGCCTTTTCCAAATTCAGTGCCCCAGGTCTCTGGCATGTCCCACTTCCCTGCTCCGCTTAGCCTTCCTCAGGGTCCTGACCATGAGCAGCACAACTCTCCCATCACAGGACCCTCAGCTGGTGACAGGAGAGAGGAGGCAGCCTGCGCGCCAGGTGGAAACCACTCAGCAAGTAACTTTGGTCTCGACGGCACACTCAGGCAGAACACCAGGGCTGGGAATCCTCGGGCTGGCTGGGAGGTCCGGCCAGGCCCCAGGGTGAATAGAGAGCAGTCGGCAGACCCTGCCCTTGTGAATCCCTTTGCTCAGGGAAGCAGCCCGGAAAGCCTTTTGCACTGCCCTCTGGGGGCTGGGGCCGGGGCCAGCCAGACCCTGCCAGAAGCCAACTCAGGTGCACTCTCCATGTTTTTCCAAGGTGGGGAGACAGAAAACGAGGAGACCCTCTCATGTGAAAACACAGGCTCTGCTGCTCAGTCCGGCGGGGATGGGTTCTTCCCCGGCCCTGGCCTGGGTCCTCCTCCTGCACATGGTGGTGCAGGCGGCGTTTACCAAGCCTTCCTCAGAGGCCTGCGCAGCGAGACCACGCAGCAGGGAGGCGACACGCAGCCCTACTTTCCTTGGTCTGTGGGCACCCAGCGCGATGAGCCAGCCGCTCGGATCACTGCCGCAGATCTGTGGGCCGACTCGGCAGGCGCAGGGCCTGGCGACACGGGGGGCTTGCACTGCGAGAATGCGGAGAACTTGGAGTTTGCTCAGAACCAGGAGGTTCTCCCCAGTGAGCCCCCAGGTCTGGGTGCTTCCTCCCCAGGCAGTCAGCTCAGGTGTGGGCCACTTCCCGGGCCCACAGTCACCAGGCTCAGCGTCGCGGGCCACACTGGAGGCGGGGGCCCAAATCCCGAGACCCCGGACACACCACTGTATCCCGTGCGGTCAGATAGCGTGTCGTCCAGTTACAGCAGCAAGAGCCACCGGAGTGTGTCCAGTGCTGCCCGGCCCCAGGACCTGGGCACCTTCATCCAGCAGGAGGCTGGGAAACCTGAGGACGAGGCTTCAGGGAGCTTTTTTAAGCAGATCGATTCTTCTCCCGTGGGAGGCGAGACAGAGGAGACCACCGGGAGCCCTAGTTACCGCAGCAGCCTGTCCCAGCCCTTGACCCCAAGTCCCCCCAAACCTACAGGGGTATTTCAGACAAGTGCAAATAGTTCTTTTGAACCAGTGAGATCCCACCTAGTTGGAGTAAAACCAGTCGAGGCAGACCGTGCCAATGTGGTGGGGGAGGTGAAGGTGACCCACACCCCTCAGAAGCGGAGACCAGCTGCCTCACTGCCTGATGCCTGCCCTGGCAACCTGGAACAGCCACCGGACAACATGGAGACCCTCCTCCCACCCCAGGCCTGTCCTCTGCCTCCCACCACACCTGCCGAAGCTGGTCATGGGCTTCCACGCCCTGGGGGGCAGCCCTTGGAGACTGTGTTTCTGACCCCTGAGAGGAGGCCCTCTGCCCGGGCCCAAGGGGTCATGAAGTGTGAGAGCCCAGCAACGACTCTGTGGGCACAGAACGAGCTGCCAGACTTTGGGGGCAATGTCCTTCTAGCCCCTGCTGCCCCTGCACTTCACGTGCCCGGGAAACCTCAGCCATCAGATGTGATTCAGCCTCCGGATGAGGGGGTGTCTGGTCAGCTGCCCCAGCAGCCGGGCTGCCTGCCCCCTCTGCAGAGTGGGGACAACATTGGCGCCTCTGAGAACCTCGAGAACCCTCCCAAGATGGGAGAAGAGGAGGCCCTTCCATTACAGGCGAGGTCTGGTTATGCCAGTCTGTTGTCCTCACCGCCCGCTGAGTCTCTGCAGAATCAACCAGTCTTGATTGCTCAGCCTGATCAGAGTGCTAATCTGGCCCAGCCCGTTCATTTTCCCGTGTCCTTGTCGAGTGCTAATGAGAAGGCTCAGTCCCAGAGAGACGCTCGGGTCGGGGACAGATCTGCTGTGAGCAGCCAGGCTGTGGGGGGTGACTCTGGAGAAACCACGCCTCCTCTTTCTGGGGCTCCAGCCAGCGTTGCCATCTGCTCACCTCTGCCCAGCAGTCTCACCCAGAGTAACTTTCCACAAACCTCTGGTGCCTCTGAAGTGGTTTCTACTCAACCTGCTAGTTTGCCGGTTCAGTCACCATCTCATCCGACTCTGAAAAACTTGCTTCCAGGGGGTCAGAAGACACACAGCTCTGAGAACCCTCCTCTGGAGTTGGTTAACAGCCCCGCGGGGCGCACAGGCTTCGTTCTGGTGTCGCCCGCCAACACCGCTCCGGGACCGCACAGTGATAAGGCAGATGGTCCCAGTGACCGGGAGGAGACCCCAGCAGCCCTGGACTTCACATCGAACAGGACCTTAGAACACCCCGTGAGACTGTGTAGCCCATCCCGTTCTGAAGGCACAGCCTCTCCTCACCTGACCTCCTCCAGTCGCCCCAGACAGCCTGGGCCTGGGGCGCACGACCCAGACCGTTTCTACCAACAGGTGGCGAAAGATGCTCAGGAGCAGCGGGGCCTGGAGAGAGTCCAGCAGGGTCCAGCCCCTCCACCCCCGCAAGGGCCCAGAGCAGCACCCTCAGAGCCCTCCAACCCAGAAAGTCTGCCTCTGCAAGGAGAGCCCCCAAACTCCACAAGTTCGGCTCCAGCTGACCCGGCCCAGCAGCTGCTCCCTCGGCCGCCTCGGTCCTCCAGCGCGTCCCTCGTGTCCAGCAGCCCAAGCCAGGCAGCCATGCAGCAGGGCCAACAGTGGGAGCAGCCCTCACCCCTGGACTTGGCATCTTACTACTATTACAGACCCCCGTACGACGGCTACCAGGCCCAGTACCCCTCCCCGTACCCACCGGACCCTGGCACCATTCCTCTCTTCTACCAGGTAGGGGCGGGCTCGGGTCACCGGGCCCTGTGACTGGCAGTCTCTCCCCACTCCCCTTGGCAGGGGTCTGTCGGTTCAGAAGCAGCCACACTGCACCTCTGGGCGGGACCCGGGCTCTGCGAATCATTTGTGAGAAAGGTGCCCCCCGCCCCCGCCACTCGGCCAGGCATGCCCAGCACGCAAGTCTGGGCCGTGCGTTAGCACGTCGAATGGCGGAGACGCCAGTCTTCCTGCAGTGCAGCACCCCGGCCCCAGGCTCACCACCACACCGTTGGGCGGCCTGCAGACCCCAGATTCTGAGTGGGGTAGAGAGCTGCTTGGTGCTTGTGTGTGGTTGTGACATCAGAAACCTAGGAAGCTGCAAGAAAACTGTAGTCTCCTAAATTCCTCCTTCAGAATAAAAACAGGAGAAGTTGGGTTTGGCGGGTAACCCAAACGAAGCAGTGAGGAGGGGTGGAACGTCACAAGCTCCTCTTGGGTGGGTGCGTCCCAGCGGCCGAGTGGGGGCCCTACTGCGCACAGGCCTTTGCCTCTTTCCCCACGTGTGAGCGGCGGGGTTTACAGGCGTTTCAGCTGGGTTCTGTTTTGTCCTGCGTTTGAAAGCGCGGGGTCCAGGTGGGCACATTTGGTTACTTCCTGCTCCTCGTCACCTCTGTCCAGGCCCAGTGGCCCTGGAACTCAGCCAAGGCGGCGGGACCGTGGGCCAGGGAGGTCGGGGCTGCCGGCTCACAGCAGCCTGGGCAGGGGCAGGCGGCTGAGCTGGGGCCTTGTGGTCCAGGAGGCTGGGGCAGAGCCAGCTGGGTGGTGGGAGGTACGGGCCCTCAGTGTCTCTGTGTGTGAGTGAGTGACACCCTGACCACCGAGACCTGCCAGCTCCAGGTCCCCAAAGGGGCCACGTAGAAGTCAACGCTCTGTTGGGAGCCCAGGGTAGCCAGGGGCTCCTTTTATTTTTTTTTACAAAAGATTTAATTTAGAAGGGAGGGAGAAAAACATCAATGTGCGGTTGCCTCTTGTGTGCCCCTTACTGGCCCTGACCGACAATCCAGGCGTGTGCCCTGACTGGGAATTGAACCGGCGACCCTTTGGTTCTCAGGCCAGCACTCAGTCTGCTGAGCCGTGCCAGCCAGGGCGTGTCGGTTTTCTACTCTGCACACCCTGCCCCTCGCCTGGGAGAGCAGCCTCTGCGCCTGGGAGAGCAGGGCTCCTTTCGCTGGGTGGGCAGGCTCACGACTGCCGTCCAACGCTGTGCAACCTTCCTCCCCACAGGACTTCTACGGCCTCTACGAGCCCAGGTACAGGCCCTACGATGGTGCGGCCCACGCCTACACCGACAACTACCGCCACCCCGAGCCCGAGCGGCCCAGCTCCCGCGCCAGCCACTGCTCAGACCGGCCGTCGGCCAGGTGATTGGTGTGTGCGTCGCTGGCTGCAGCGGGCAGGTCGTGGTTTGAGAAGAGCGTGCATGGGAGGACGGCACAGGCCAGCTGTGTTGCCCCGCCCACACGGTCGGGCTGTAAGATGCATTCGCAGGTCGAGGCTGCGCACTGTGGTTCTGGCAGCCTGCGCCGGGGGACGCCAGACCCCGTGCGGGGCCTCTGGGCCGGCACCACTGTTTCCGCGCTGGCTGGGCCCCGGCCCCACTCTGGAGGCTTGGTGACTGAATGCCCGGGCCCCTAGGTCACAGCCAGCACGGGTCACAGAGTCCCAGGTGCTTCGGCTGGGCCGGCTCGGGCCTGAGTGCAGCTGGCAAGCTTGGCCTGAAGGCCCATGTTTCTCCCTCACCATGGCCTCCCGTGCCCGGGACCCCAGGTGTCGCCGTCCTGTGCTCTCATGCTGACCCTGGCTCAGTGTAGAGGATCCTGGCGCCACATCCCTGCTGAGCGAGAGCGCCACAGTCAGAGGCTTCTCGCTCGGGTCGGTGGAGTTGGGGTGAGGGGGCGGCCGCCATCGCTCTGGCTCCGTCTGCCTTCCAGAGCCTTCACCTGGCGGAGTGACGTCTCATAGGTGTAGGTTCTGCTGCAAGGGTGCGTGGCTCCTCACACCGGGGAAGGAGAAGGCCTGGTCGCTGTCACGGACTTGGTAGGCACACTGCCTTTCGGAAGTAGGGCCTCCGGGTGCTGGCCTGTTAGCCTTTTCCATCAGCCGACCTCGGTCCCGTCTGCCAAGGGACCCGCTGAGCTGTGTGGGCCTGTGCACCAGGCGCCACGCGCGAGGTCCCGGGTCTTGGTGCCACGGCGCTGCCCTCTCACTGGAAGCAGCCGGATGCAGTGAGAGCCGTGGGCCGGTGTTGTCTGGGACTCCTGTGACCTGAGGGAACGCGGACGTGGGTGGAGCCAGGGTGCAGCTGGCCGTCCCCATTCCCCCTCGTTCACCCACATGCACAGCAGCGTGGCGACTCGTTTCAGAGGCCAGAGCTGGGGCCTGCCCGGAGGCTGGGCAGTTCCCCGGGAGGTCCGTTGCCTGACCGGCTGTGTCCGCGCCACTGCGACAGCGTTGGAGAGGAGCCTCTCCTTCGTGCCCTGCCCTGGTTGGGGGGTGTGCGTGTGTGTTTCCACGCAGTGGTTACCATCGGCCATTGTTCTTGTGCCTCTGGGCCCCGCCCCTGCAGGCGAGCGTGGCCTTTCATTCTTGTGATCGTCTTCCCCGACAGATGCAGGGTTTGGGGGGCGAGGAGGTGGGAGTCCAGGAGTCCCCCACATGTGTGCAGGGGATCCCACCCCAGGGTAGGGCAGTGGCAGGTGCTGGACAGAGGCCGGGGCACTCCCTCCCAGGAGCTGTGCCAGCCAAGCCCCAGGCTCAGCTGAGTGAGACGGGAGGGAAGTTTGTTTTAAAAATCCAGTACTGTCCCAGACCTGCCATTAAAAAACAAAATGTCCAGGAATCTCACTGCCCCAGCTCTGACATCTGGTATCCCTAAGTCCCACCTTCCCTGTGGTGGGAGCCAGGGTCAGGCTTACCCTGGGAGGCCTGCACTGCTCAGCTCTGAGGGCCGCCAGGGCCGGGGCGCCTTGGTCGCTCAGAGGACACTTGGGGTGCAGTCTGAGCGGTGGGTCTGAAAGTCGGCCTCCAGCCGGTTTCTGTGCCTCGGCTAAGCCTGCCGTCCACACCCCGAGAAGCTGTCTCCGTCCTGCTTCCCCGGGCGATGGCGCGGGGAACATGGTCCTTCTGTGCCAGCACACTCACGTGGTGGCTGTCGAGAGGAACGGGGAGTCCCATCGGCTTGTGGCCGTGTGCAGTGGGGTCTTTGGTCACCGCCTTCCCACCGCCAAGTGCTGTGAGAATGCCTGTCACTCTTGGCGTGGCCTGTCTGGACTGCCACCCCGCCGCACTTTTCTGAAGCTGGTGACGTGTCAGGCTCAGGTGATCGCTGTGTACTTTCAGGCAGGGGCACCCGGAAGGCCACTCGAATGCCGCACGTGGATGGAGCAGCCAGAGTGACTATTCCAGCTACTACTGCGGCCAGTACGATCACGGAGGTGCGTAGAGCGGCGGCAGCCACTGGCCATGGGAGACGGGGCGCCGCCGCAGGCGGTGCGCTGAGGGGCCCTTGGGAAGTGTCTCTTCCGCTAGTATCTGGCTTCATCCAAGAGCCCAGGTAGCCTGCGTCTGGAAGTGCTCCTGTTGCTGCTTTTCATTCGAAGGTTGCATCTTAATTACAGCATTTACGGGTCTTTATCGTATGAGCGGTTTTCTTTGATTTTCTAGCAAAGCATGATTACCAAGCGTTCTGGAGCTGCCTTGTCTGTAAACTAAACAAAACTGGAAAGCAGCTCCCCCGTGGCACTAGCCACATCTGCCGGGCTCCATGGCCATGTGGGGCTGTGGCTCTGGCATGGCGGGTGCAGGCGTGTCCCCTCACTATCAGGCAGGGTGTGCCTCATGGCCACATGGCCCTGAGCCCTGCTGCTCCCTCTGCTGAGCGGTGTCCTGCACTTGGTGCAGAGCAGGGTTCCTCTGGGGCCGGCAGCCCTCGCTCCTCCCGCGCGGCCGCCTGCCCTCCGCTCACAGGCCTCTGCTCCCTGTGTCACCGCCAACCACAGCTCTGTGCACCCTGGCTGGAAGTGCTGCATCTGATTTGTTTGAAGGTCATGGTCTATTTTTCTAAGATTTTATTTACTTTTATTAGAGAGAGAAGAAGGGAGGGAAGAAGAGGACAGCAACGTAAATGTGTGAGAAATACATGGTTGCCTCTCACACACACTCCCTAACCCAGTACTTTCTCAGTTGCAGAGCCGGCTCGCTGGGACCGGTACCCCTACGGCTCCAGGTTCAGGGATCCCCGCCCCTACGACCGCAGTTACTGGTATAATGCGGACTATGACCTGTACAGGAAGGAGAGCTACGCATATGCTGACAGGTGGGTCGTTTGCCCCTTGCCAAGGAGGTTGGGCAGAAGTCACAGCTGTGCCCATGAATGACCCGTGGGCTGCGGCCGTGTGTGAGATCCGGGGGGAGCAGCTGGCGTCCCGGTCACCGTCTGAGGGAGGGCACGGCTCGGACGCCCCAGGCGTTTCTCACCGTGGGCTCCTTGCCTTCCTGGTGTCTGTGGGAAGTGTGCCCTCTGGCCACGCACTGGCAGCTTCTCTGAGTCTGCAGACGGGGCCTGAACATGCACTCGGGTGACAGTGATCACTCGAGGGTGGGCTCTCCAGGGTCCTCTAGAGTCAGGACGGCAGGGCAGGGTGGGGCCGTAGGGCCTGGTGGGGGCTGGAGAGTGGCGTGGCCTCGTCTGGGTGGCACTCACAACCCTTCCTGCCTCTGCCCCACTGCCCCTCGAGGCCCGAGAGATATGACGACCCCTGGAAGTACGACCCTCGCTTCACGGGGAGTTTTGACGACGACCCCGAGCCCCCCCGGGACCCTTACGGGGACGACACGGACCGCCGCAGCGTGCACAGCGAACAATCGGCGCAGAGCCTGCGCAGCGTGCCCAGCCGCCACAGCAGCTTCAGCGCCCACTCGCAGCAGGTGCGAGCCGGCAGGCGGGCGCTCCTCCACCCACACCGTCCTGTCTGGACACAGCCCCCTGCCCCGAGTTCAGAGTGCGCCCCCAGGTCTTATACCGGGTTCCTGGTGAGCTGGCCTCACCTGCTGGCTTTGTGCTTTCCAGAGTCGGGTCTACGCAAGCCGCAGTGTGACGCTGGGTCCTTACGAGGCCCCGCCTCCCCCAGGCTCCTTCCACGGGGACTATGCCTACGACACCTACATCGGCAATTTCAGCGGCACCCAGGGCTTTGCAGAATATGGCTACCCTGCTGACGCCGGCTGGCCCACCGTGGGGCAAGGTGTGTGTGGTTGAGGTCCTGTGCACCCACAGGTGCCGGCGGTACCAGGTCGCACCACAGGGTGGCTTCGCAGGCCTGGCACAAGACAGGCAGAGGGGAGCGAGGTGTCGTGGTGGGAGTTCTAGACGGCCTGTCCTGAGCCCCCCGCAGGACAGCTGTAGCCCAGTGTGGGTGCCCGTCCGAGCGACGGCTTTCACAGGCCTGACAAGGCTCCTCTGGCTGCAGATGGGCCCCCGGCCTGAGAGCTCACCGCCTGGCTCCTGCTTGGGCCTTACGTCCCCATGCCAACCACAGGGGTAGTGGCCTTCCAAGGAGACTTGTAATTCCCCTAGAAAACTGTCATCAACTTGTCACATGTGCCCCGTTGTCCCTCTGAAACGCCATATCTGGAAAAGCACAAAAATGCACGTAAATACTGCTTTCCTTCCTAAAGTAGCATGTCAGTGGGAAACTCTCCGTTTTGACCTGTGATGTCACACTCGGGCACTTTCACTGGGTGCGGGGGACACTTGTCTCAGTGGTGGAGAATGACAGCCAAGGCACAGAGGGCCCCGAGAGCTGCTTCCCGGGACGCGAGCTTCCAGGCTGGATTTAGAGGAGCTTTTCACCGAGACTCGCGGGGCAGCCGGCGTGTGGGCACCTCTGGGCCACACATGAAGGAGCGCTGTCTGGGTCCCACGTTAAATACACTGTGACTCGTAATCATGAAAATCTCATCATTTTTTAAGGAAACACAATTTTGTGTTGGGCAGCATTCAGAGCCATCCTGGGCCACATGTGGCCTGCAGGCCACAGGTTGGACACCCTGGATTAGAGACTAGTTTATCCTTTTTTGAAAGATGTTGTTCGTTTGTTTTAGAGAGAAGGGAAGGGAGGGAGAAAGAGAGAAACATCGATGTGTGGTCGGCTCAAGCACCCCCTACTGGGGACCTGGTGTGCAGCCCAGGCATGTGCCCTGACTGGGAATCAAACCAGTAATCCTTTGGTTTGCAGGCCAGTGCTCAATCCACTGAGCCACACCAGCCAGGGCTAGTTTCTTGTTTTTAATAGTTTAAACATTTTGCTAACACATGCTGAAGTTGTACTTTTTCATGGGATGTTAGCAGTTTTACCTCCCGGCTGAGAGTCAGTGCGTCTGCGGCCCCAGCCGTGTGGGCGCCAGGACGCCCAAGCCACCCCTCCAGTCCGGAGCGCCCAGAACTGACACTGGGCTGCTCTGTGTGTGGCCCTCTCTCCACAGCTCCCTCGAGGCCCACGTCTCCGGAGAAGTTCTCGGTGCCTCATGTCTGTGCCAGGTTCGGCCCCGGGGGCCAGCTCATCAGAGTGATCCCTAACCTGCCTTCGGAAGGACAGCCGGCCTTGGTGGAGGTGCACAGCATGGAGGTGAGGTCAGGTGCGCTGCAGGCGGCGGGCCCTGCCCACGCATCCTTGTCTCTGAAAAACGCCTTGCAGAGGGTTTTCCTGGAAATCCTCAGTCAATAAGATTTTCTTGCTCTATCCGGTTGTATGTCTTATCTTTATTTGCGTTTCTGATTTTGAGGGGAGGACACTGTTGGTGCTCATTTGTTGGTGATTTTCGGTAACGGGCGCACGAGCGCTTCGTGCCCCTGTGGCTGCTGGGGGACAGGAAGCCCCAGGGGTGGGTGGGAAGTGGGTGCTCTGTTTCGTGGCTCCACAGGCCTCTGTCACATGTGTCAGGGCCTTGTTTTAGTGTGGGGGGGCGGCTGGGATGGATCTCACTGCTTAAAATGAGGTTTGAAAGTCAGTGTAGCCATCCAGACATGGCCGTGCCCTGGGATGGAGCCTTTGCCTCCCTGGTTGGGGCAGGCCGTCCTCAGCCGGCAGATGTGGCCGGCAGAGGCAGGGCCTGCCCCTGACCTGCCCTCCCCCACCCTGCACCTGTCCCCCTCAGACGCTGCTGCAGCACCTGCCGGAGCAGGAGGAGATGCGGGAGTTCCCGGGGCCGCTCGGCAAGTACGTCCCACCAGGGCGCCTGGGGAGGCCGTCTGGCCGCCGCGGCCGAGCGAGGCCTTGCCGCTGTGCCTGTTGCTGGTCCCTGAGTGCTGTTCTTCTTTCAGAGACGACACCCATAAAGTGGATGTTATTAATTTTGCACAGAACAAAGCCACAAAATGTTTGCAGAACGAGAACTTAATTGACAAAGAGTCTGCAAATCTTCTTTGGAACTTTATCATTTTGTTGTGCAGACAGAATGGGGTATGTACAGTTGCGCCTCTTTTTGGCCTTGAGTCTCAGGGACCCGAGGGCCTCCCAGGTGTGGGACGAAGCACGGGGAGCCATCTCAGCAGGGACTTGGGGATGTGGGAAGCAAGCAGGGTGTGTGTTTGGGGCGAAGGGAGGTTCGGGCCCACCGTGTCTGCCTGTCAGGGAGTCTGTGGTCGACCATCTCACGCTCAGCCATGGCGGAACAGCAGTCCAGGCCATAGCAGCCCGGCGGGCTCATCTGCAGAGACCAGCCAGGGTCCTCGCCTGGGCGGGCCCCGTGGGAAGGCCTGTCCGTAGTGAAGCCCCTTGCTCTTCCCGTTTCTGCCGCCCTGCAGACCGTGGTGGGAACTGACATTGCGGAATTGTTGTTACAAGACCACAAAACGGTGTGGCTTCCTGGGAAGTCGCCCAACGAGGCCAACCTGATCGACTTCACGAACGAGGCCCTGGAGCGAGCCGAGGAGGAGGAGGAGTCGGGGGAGGCCCAGCTCTCGTTCCTCACCGACAGCCAGGCTGCCGCCGCCGCCAGCACCCAGGAGAAGGAGACGGAGCGGTTCAGAGAGCTGCTGCTCTATGGCCGCAAGAAGGTGTGTCCCCGAGTGTCCGGACGCCACGGGTGTGTCTTTGCGCCCACCACGTATGGCTTAAGTGCCAGGAAGCAAATGTGGGAGGGACATTGGGGGTTGACAGTAATGTCAGGCTCTGATGTCCATGAAGAATTGTCATGTCCACGAGGATTTGTCCGGTCCCTCCTGTCGTTTCTCTGAAGGTGTCGTAAAAGTTTTCCCCTGTGTGTGGCTCAAAGGTCCGCAAGCTGTGTTCCTTGTCTTGGGACAAACAAACGTGCTTCCTGAGCTTTGGCTGTGCGCTGCCTTGTGCAGCCGTCTCAGGGATGAGGACATGCCCGAGATGGAGGGGACCCTGTCCTCACAGCCGGTGGTGGCTCGGGGCCTCTGAAGCACAGTGGGTCCTGGAGGGAGCCGGTGCCCAGGGGGACGGGTCACCCCTGGAATGTCCAGAGGCCTGCAGGTGGGGTGGGTGCCCAGAAGACACGGGCAGGTGTTGGCGCTGTAGACGTCCACCCAGGTTTCATGGAGTGGAGGGGCGGGCCCAGGGCAGAGGGGCGCCTGTGTGCTGTGGGCGCCTGCCCCGCGCGGCCATGGCTGTGGTGCAGGGGCTGTGCGGGCCGCGTGTCCATGGTAGTTCTGCACGGTGACTACCCCGGCCCTCGGCGGACACTCTCTGAGCTGTGCCTAGGTTACTCAGCTGAGGGAGGCCCTCCCCTGGCTGAGAAGTTAGCACTCTGGGGCCCGGGAACAGGTATGGGTGCCATTTCCCAGTGGGCCCCAGGGGGAAGGGTTTTCTGGGGGTGGCACACCGCCTCCCTGGCGCCCTGTCTCTCACACGCCTGCTTGTCACGCTGCCAGCAGCCAGCAAGAGCAGCAAGCGTGCAGCAAGGCCTGGGCCCCGGGGACTTGGGCAGGGACCGTCAGGGCGGCGTGCTTGTCTTTGACTCGGGAGTTGTGCACGGTGTGTGGGGGACCGCCCGGGCCTACGGGTCTCCACACGGTGTCCCCCGCCCCCTGGGCGGTGGGCAGCACTGCCCCCTGGGGCCCGAGCCGGCTTGGCTCACCACTGCGCTGCTCTGCAGGATGCTTTGGAGTCCGCGATGAAAAACGGCCTGTGGGGTCACGCTCTGTTGCTCGCCAGTAAGATGGACAGCCGGACCCACGCCCGCGTCATGACCAGGTGAAGCATCTCATGGGGCTGATGGAGGGCGGGTCCTATGGCAGCACCTGGGCTGCTCCTGGAGGCGTGCAGATGTCCAGCCTCCGTCCCAGGAAGCCGGGGGCCTCGCCGCGCCACAGTGCTACCGCAGGGTGCGTGCGCCATGCCTGCCCACCACATGGGGCGGGCCTTGGCCCCCCAGTGAGCTCCAGAGGCTTCCTCTTCCTCGGCACCCCTCTGACCCCGAGCTGTGGGTGCTGCTGTCAGGGCTCAGGGCTCATCAGGAAGGGGCCGAGGTGAGACCGGACCTGCGTCTCCTGTCTTGTCCTTCAGCCCAGCCGAGCTAGGCTGTCTCTCTCTGTGCCTCCCCAGGTTCGCCAACAGTCTTCCCATCAATGACCCCCTGCAGACTGTCTACCAGCTGATGTCCGGGCGGATGCCTGCGGCGTCCACGGTCAGTGGGCTCACCCCAGCGCCCTGCCTGGCCTGCCATCTGTCGGCACCGTTTCTGGGAAGGTCTCACCCTGGGGCGGGACCTGTGTTTCTGTCTTGCCCTCGTCCTGTGACCCTCCCTGAGCCCAGCCATCTCAAAGCTCAAGTGGCACTTTCTTCCCGGGGTGAGGGTTTGTTCTGCTTGCTTTTCTCGTGACCTCAGTGCTGCGGAGACGAGAAGTGGGGGGACTGGCGGCCGCACCTGGCGATGGTCCTGTCCAACCTGAGCCACAACGTGGAGGTGGAGTCCAGGGCGATGGCCACGATGGGCGACACGCTAGGTGGGTCACGTGCGGGCAGGCGGGGCCCACTCACCGCGGCCACGGGCGCTCTTCCATCTCTCAGCCCCCAGCCTTGGGTCTCTGGGAGGCCCCCGGTGAGACGTGGCCGCCCTGTGTCTCTCCAGCCTCGAAGGGCCTCCTGGACGCTGCCCACTTCTGCTACCTCATGGCCCAGGTCGGATTTGGGGTTTACACGAGGAAAACCACAAAGCTTGTCCTGATTGGCTCGAACCACAGGTAAGAAGGTACATGGTCGTGCGTTTGCGGTGGAGGAAAAGGCCACCCCCCCCAGCTAACCCAGAGCCGGAGTGCGGCTGTGCGGCCTTGCCAAGTGCTGAGACACACCCCTGGCCGAATTGCCTAAAGATCCGAAAAACTCCTTTTCTCGGCAGTTTACCATTTTTAAAATTTGCGACCAATGAAGCCATTCAGAGGACAGAGGCCTATGAGTATGCTCAGTCCCTGGGGGCCCAGGCCGACCCCTTGCCCAGCTTCCAGGTGAGCTTCGGCCTCGGGCCCGGGCTGACCAGCCCGTGCGAACCAGCCCGTGCTGGCAGCGGGCTGTGTGGTGCTCGTGGGGAGGGGTGCCGGGGTTTTTTGATGTCTTGTCGGGGAGACGTTTGATCTATAGTGTTTGAGTGTAACTCTGCTAAATTGAGGATTTTGTTTGTGTTTTGGGTCTTAGTATTTTATTAAAAACCATATTTTGTTTTTTCTGGCTATTTTTGGTATGATAGGGGCACATTCTCTGGCCCAGGAGTGTGTGTGAGTGTGTGTAGTAAGCAAGTGTGCATGTGTGCGTGCATGAGCGTGAGAGTGCATGAGCATGCAAGTGCGAGTGAGCACGAGTGTGTGCATGTGAATGTGTGTGTGTGCATGGGTGTGTGTGCAAGGAAACGCAGGTCACCCAGAGCTAGCACACAGCGGGTGCGGGACAGTCAAGGGCCCTGCAGGGGCCCAGTGTGCGTGCCAAGCCGTGGCCTCCAAGGCCGGGGCCCTGGCGGCACTCTGATGGGTGTCAAGAAGTGAGCTCCTCAGAGGCCCCGTCATTTCCTTTGGTGTGAAATGCCCCAGGGGGTGGGGACTGGTGCGGCTGTGGGGACACGCAGCACACGAGACCCATGAAGCATCCGGAGTCCTTCAGCTTGTAGGGGACTGTAGGGTGACCGTGGGAAGATGGGGAGGATGCACGGGTGGCTGAGCCGTGTGTGCGCATTTCAGGTGTTCAAGTTCATCTACTCGTGCCGCCTGGCGGACATGGGGCTGGCCACGCAGGCCTTCCACTACTGTGAGGCGATCGCCAGGAAGGTGCTGTCACGGCCCCAGAGCCACTCCCCCGTGCTCATCAGCCGGCTGGTTGAGGTACCGTCCCCACCTGCGGCTGATGGTGGGCCCACGGGGCGGGGTGGAGTCCAGACTGAGCTCAGGGACGCGGGTCCCACACGGAGATGTTCCCCGGCAGCTGCCTGGCGCCAGGCGCATCTGCATGGGGGGCGGCGAGCCTTGAGGTGAGCAGGGCTCCCTCTCGTGGCCTGTGTCGAGGCGGCTCGGTCTAGCAGTGCGTGTGTGAACCCCCGGGTCCTGGCCGCCCCGCAGCAGGCTCGTGCCCCGTTCCGGAGAGTGGAGACGGCGCAGCTGGCCTCTGGGTCGTATGAGCTGTACGCGGGACAGCGGACAGTACCCCCACAGTGCCAAAGGGATCCCACTGTCGTCTCCCCTCCCCCAGGAGTGTCATAGTTTAAAATGTGCTCGTGCAGTACCCAGCAGTGGGCCATGTCAGTGCTTGGGTCAGTCTGCGTGATCAAGCGGAGGGGGCTGCAGGCTAAGCTCGGGGGTGTGGGCGCTGCTGGCCTCACACAGAGGTTAGTGCAGGTGAGCGGGTCAGCCCTGGCTGGTCCCCTGTTCCTGCAGCATCTCTGTGCGTGTGTGAGGCGTGTCACACAGAATACACAGAAAGTGACGCAGACTGAACACTGAGGGGACGTCTCTCCTGGGTTGGCGTGGGTTTCGAAGACACTGGTGGCAGCAGGGCTCTTGTCTCCATGTGTCTGCAGGTTGCTTCTCAGTTACGGCTCTTCGACCCGCAGCTGAAGGAGAGGCCGGAGGAGGAGGCCTTCGCAGAGCCAGCCTGGCTGGTCCAGCTGCAGCGGGTGCAGAAGCAGGTCAAGGTGCGCGGGCAGCTCCCAGACACGGGGCTGGTGGAAACGTGTGGCCCTCACCCACAGTGCAAGGTGGGACAGGACAGCCGTGGGGGTGCACATGTCTGAGCGGGCCCCGCCCCCGGGGTGGCAAGACCTGAAGTGTCCCTCTCTTAGGAGGGCGCTGCACTGTGGAGCCGGGACATGGCCTCCCCCCAGCCCTGCCCCAGCACGCCCAGCTCCGAGGGGGGACCCCGTGATGGCCTGCGGCTGGAGCAGCCCTTGGACCTGGGCACCGAGAATCCGCTGCTGGCGCCGCCTGTGCCCAGCACCGAGCACCCTGGCCAGGGCGTGTGGCTGCTGCCCTCAGGTGAGCCTGTGCATGGAGCACGGATGCACGCGCCCGTGTCTCGGGCGTCCTGTCCTGGCGTGCTCAGGCCTCTGTGCTCCGACGGCCACTCCTCCCACTTCTCAGCAGAAGCTGTGGGAGAGAGCGCACAAGGTGCTGGGTTGCCACAAGGGAGCTGCTTCAGGTGACGGTTGGACTTTGTCTTCTCCACTGTCCCCGTGCAGCTCTGCCGACGCTCCAGGATGGCCAGCCCGCCTTCCCGGCCAGGGTGCCGATGTTCCCAGTGTCACCTCTGGGCCCTGCTGAGCCGGGGCCTGGCCATGGGCTCCCAGGGTCTGCACTTAGCTTTGCAGAGCCCTTGGCACCTGGCCTGCCACCCGGCACACCATCTCTCCAGGACAGTGAGCTCCCACTGCGGGAGCCCAGGCCCCAGGACCCAGGTGCGTCTACCTGGGACCCTGAGCTGGCTGGTGGGAGAGACTGAAGTCACTTGAACTTGAAATAAGTCACATTGCTTAATAGATCCCAAAACCATAGACGTTTTCAGCTAAATGGGTTCTCTGAGCATCACTGCTAGTTTCTTCTGGTCGGACGTGAAGCGCGGCTGCCTGGGGCGTGACAAGCTGGCCTGGCGGTGTGCCCAGGCTGTTGCCCTCGTCCTGTGCCCCTCCGCCTGCAGCCTGGGGGTGGCTCCTGCTCCCGGGCTGGGCCTCCTGTCCTCAGTCTGTGTGGGCTGTGTTTGGGGGGTGCTCAGGCTGGGTCCCCACGCAGCCCCAGGAGGGTGGCTCCTCAGATTCCCGCTGGTGCCTGGTCTCCTCGGCCTCGCGCTGACAGCACTGGGTCATGGGGGCCTCTCTCCCATTGCAGCAGCGGTGCTGCAGGACCCCCGTGGGAGAGACTCGCCGGCAGAGGGAAGAGAAGAGGATTTCGGTGGCAGATTCGATGTGGTAGTTGGCCCACCTTTCTTAGTGGGTGGGGCCCCAGACTCCTCCTGCAGTTGCCAGGGGATGGATGATGCACGAGAGGGCACTTGAGGGCTTGGTGAAGGGCTGAGTGGGACGTGGCCACGTGATGGTATGACATTCGTCACTTTGAGGAGAGGAAGTGCCTGTCTGGTGGCCCGCCCTGTCAGCTGCCACTGTCCAGAGGAGGGTGGCCCCTTGTGGCCCCACTGGCCTGCCTGAGGTTGAGATCACTTTGTCAGGCGTGCTGGCTCTGACCCCACGGGGAGGGACAGACGCTTTCTTGCAAGCCACTCCCTAGAGCCTCCTCCGCGACTGCTTAGCTAGTCAGCAGGTGACCGCCATGGTTTGAGCCCCACGGGCTGTCCAGCCACTAAGACGCCCTGTCCTGGGACGTGTTGGAGGGAGCGCTGGGCAGTGCCGGACTGTTGCCCCAGGGGTGTGTGCTTTTACCTGTCGCACGCCCGCTGCCCCACTGCGGGCTCTGCACACGCGGAGCCCGGGCCTCAACCCCTGCAGGGCCTGTCCGTGCGGAAGCTTTAGGTGCCAGCTACCCTCTGCCCACTGGTCCTGCTGGCCAGGGCTGCCCTCACCCTTCTTGCCTGAGTCCCTCTCCTCGCTGTCCCCACCTGGTCTCGGGCATGGTCTGGGGGCTCCCGGGGGGCACCCCAGGTGAGCTTGCTCCTGCGCTACCTTGCTCAGGGCTCCTCAAGGATGCTGCTGAACTCCGAGGCCCCCCCAGTGTGGGGGGCCGCCAGCCCCGGTGCCCTGCAGCCCCCGTCTCTGCCACCTGCTCCCGAAGTGAAGAGCCCTGTACAAGCAACCAGAAAGGAGGCCAAGGAGCCCAAGAAGGTACCACACAGCCCACCTCCAGCTGGGCAGGGCCAGGGCAGGGGAGGGGCTCTGCCCCTGATACCAGGGAGGGGGCAAGGATGAGGGTTTTCTTCACCCGTGAAGTTGAATGTTTCAGGGACAGATGAGCACTCAGGGAAGTCAGTGAAGGGTACACAGCCTGGTGGATGGTCTCATCTGTACCCACGTGTGGCACTGCCCTAATCAGAGCTAGGACAGCTCCAGCCCCCAAGGGGGTCCTGTATGTCCATGGCCTGTCAGCACCCTCCCCCAGGGGGTGACCTCCCTCTGACTACTCTTACCATGGATTAGTGGTGGCCGTCACTTCACACAAAGGAGGCTTGTCCCTCATTCTTGGACAGTGATCCCTGCTTTGCCCAAGGTGCCAAGAGCTCATTGCCCTTCCTCTGGATGTGGGCCACTTGGGGCCAGCCTGCATTGGGCTCAGCTCTCCAGGAGCACGCCAGGCCCTGGCCCAGGCCAATTGTGTCCAGCGTTGGGAGGCACTGCTGGGTCGGGTGCAGGTGACCTCTCCAGCCTCCCCTGCAGCGGCCCCGGCCGTCCAGGCCTGGTCCCCATGTGCAGGGTGGGTGCCCTCGGTCCTGGCATCAGCATCTTGCTGGCAGGCAGCGGGTCCCTGGGCTTTCGTTGCATTTCCTGAGGGATGGGCGGAGCTCATGGCCCCCTCGCCGTCCTCCCTGGGATCTGGACTGCCCCGCTCCTCTCCTGGCCCCGTCTTCGAGGAACATGGGTCGCGGCTTGACCAGGGTCAGTTTGCCGAGCTTCCCTGCAGTGGCTGGTGTCTGCAGGAGGCAGTGTTCATTCAGGGCGTGGGTGATGCGGGAGGCAGACAAGTCTCACGCATGCAGGCCACTCCCCTGCAGATGGGGGCAGCGGCTTGGCAAGTGTGGGCGGCTGCCACCACACTGTTTTAGGAGTGAAGTACGGTGTTTGACGATCAAGACACGGCCCAGCAGGCAGGTCATTCTCCCCACGTGGGAGCAAAGGGGGCCGCACTCAGGGGTCCCACACGGACTTTGCTGGCCCGCCTGGCCCACCTCGGCGAGGGGATGGGGGCGGCACGTGCTGCAGCGTTCAGACACGGAAGCCGCAGCTGACGCGGTCTCCTCCTCACTTGTTTCCGTCGTGGTTGAGTGTGCAACGTGATACCATCCTCTCCAGATGGCCCATCTTCCCACATGGACACTCCATCCCCATGAAACCCCCACTCCCAGCCCCCCCAGCCCCGGCCCCACCATGGACTCCCTGTCTCTGTGGGTCTGCCTCCCTCCTGCAGGGACCGCGGGTGAGCAGGACCTCACAGGAGTCCCTCTGTGCCACGTCACTCAGTGCGGTGTCCTTCAGGCAGGTGTCCTGGTTCTCGTTTAGGGCGGCGAGTCCTGGTTCTCCTGGCTGATCCGGAAGAAGAGGCCAGAAGCGTTTCTGCCGGAAGACACACACAAGTCGGTGAGTGTCCGAGCTCGGCCCTCAAGGACGTGGTGGGTGTTCTGGCGTGTCCATCAGCATTTGTCGGAGTCTCAGCTCCATAGCGACCCCAGGACTCGCCTTCCCAGTCCTGACAAGTCACCAGTCTTCAGACTCCGGGGCTGCCCGCCCTTTCTGCTGATGCTGTCCTTTGCTTCTCTGGTGGCAGATCGTTTGGGACCAGGAGAAGAACCGGTGGGTGGACACCAGTGAGCCAGAGGAGGAGGTTTGTTGGAATGGGGGGTGCGGGGGGGCCTGGGAGGAGGCCCTGCCTGCCGAGGCTTCCGTGGTGTGTCAGACGTCTGGGTTCAGAAGCAGACTTCTGGAGCCCCCTGTCCCCTGCAGAAGAAAGCCCCGCCCCCGCCTCCAGTGTCGCTTCCCAAGGCTCCGCAAGCTGCCGCCCCTGGGCCTGGAGGGCCCCCCAGAGCCTCTGTGAACATGTTTTCCAGGAAAGCAGGTAACGCGCCAGACACGGAACTGGCTCGGGGAACCCACGTGTCTTCCCGGCCCCCCTAGTTTCATGAGCAGTGGGTGGCAGTGCTCAAGCACAGGAGGGGACCCCCGGGGGGCACCTGACCAGCCACTCTTAGCAAGGGGCATGCAGCAGCTATCTGTGGGGGGGGCCCTCACCGAGGGCAGACGCCAGCAGAGGCGCTCCATGGGGAGGCACCACGTGGAGGTAGGGGCATTGGCGCACCCACCTGACCTGCCCCCCCCTCCCCGCCACAGGCGGTACGCGCGCACGCTACGTGGACGTCCTAAACCCGGGTGGGCCCCAGCGAGCTGACCCAGCGCTGGCTCCCGCGGACCTCTTCGCCCCGCTTGCCCCGCTCCCGCTCCCAGCGCCCTTGTTTGGGCCAAACCCAGGTAGGCAGACCTTTGACCCTTCCTCAGAGTCATGGCCTAACTCTCCCCTGAGGGGAGTGGCGGCCTGGGTGCAGAGGACCTCGTTTCCCCTCCTCCAAGAGAGCAGGTGGACCTGGGTCTAGGATGTGACAGTCCCCCACTGTCTCCTTCACAGAGACAGAGGGAGCCCTGCCCTCAGAGGGGGCTGGCAGGGAGGGGCACGCCCCAGCTGGGGGTCCAGCCCATCCAGAGCCTTCCTCGGAACCCAAGGTGAGTGGATACAGAGGGGCAGGAAGGGCCACCCTCCCAGGCTGAGACCACGGGCCCGACCTTGTGCAGTCTGCTTTGCTTGTGTCCTGGGCGGTCACAGTAGCCCCGCACGTGGCGTGGCGTGGTGTGGCGTGTACTGACGGTCTGACGGAGATCAGGGCAGCAGAGAGAGGTGGTCTCTTGTTGAATGCATCCATGATGTAGGGTGGGTCGTGGTGTGGGGCCCAGAGCCGGACCCACAGGTTCACCCCAGTTCCCCGTTAACCCTCTGTAAAGTTGGGGAGTCGCTTCTCCAGGCCTCAGCGTCCTGCTCTGAGAAATGGGGCAAAGATAACACCAGGGCACAGGCCACTGGGAGGTGCTTGGCGGGACAGGATGGGGACATTGGGGTGCACGTGCAGTGGGCTGTCGCCCTTCTTCTCCATGGGGCGCTTCACGGGCACAGCGGTGTGCGGCCCTGTGCCCCCCGCCCGCCGGGGCTGGTGCTGCATCTGTGTCTCCCGGCAGGTGGTCAGCTCAGCAGCCTCGCTCCTTGCGTCTGATCCGGCCCCCTGCCCCGTGGATGGCTCCTCGGGGGGCGAGGTAAGGGTGCCACACAGGGTTGCTGCCCAGGGTCCAGGCCGAGGAAGCTCGTCCTTCCTGTCCTCTCCGCGGCCTCTTCCTCACAGACAAGTGTTGATGGGAGGGAAAGGCAGTTCAGACGCTTTTCCAGCCTGAACGTGTTGCTCCGTTCCCGGAAGCACAGCCGCCTGCATTTGAGCAGAACCGTGTGGGAGTGGGGACTAGGGAGGGCTTTGGGCTCACACAGCCTGACTTGCCAGGGGCCTGTGTCCCTCAGGGCTGTGCAGTCCGGTGGCTCTAGCCAAGGCCTGGACACAACCCCACACTCACGGTTGGTTTTTTTTTTTTAATACATTTTATTGACTATGCCATTACAGTTGTCTCATCCCCCCTTCATTCCCCTCCACCCTGCACACCCATCCCCATTCTCCTCCCTTTAGTTTATCCACGTGTCACAAGTTCTTTAGATTCTGTATTTCCATACTACTCTTGCCCTCCCCCTGTCTGTTTTCTACCTGCTATCTATGCTACTTATTCTCTGTACCCTTTCCCCCCTTCTCCTCCTCCCACTCCCCTGTTCATGGTTGTTTAACCAAAGCTGCTTCGCAATGGGGACGGCAGGCTCCATCTGGCTGTCCCCAGGGGAGTCCTGCCGGCTCGTCGGCTCTGCAGACCGACCCCAACCCCGACGGCTCGGCGCCGCCTGCACGCTGACTCTGTGTTGTGTCTCGCTGTCTTGTAGCTTTCGCGCTGTAGCTCAATGAGTTCCCTGTCGCGGGAAGTGAGCCAGCATCTTAACCAGGTACCCGAGGCTGGCGGCTCTCGTTGCGCACAGGGCTGGGGCGGGCCGCCTCTGTGAGGCGGGGTTCCTCTTCCCGGTCCGGTGCAGGGAGGGCTCTTGGCAGCCGGGCAAGCCACGGGCACTTCGTCTCTGATGTGCAGCTGGGCCCCGGCTCCCCTGTGGCTTGGCCGGAAGGCTTGGTGCGGCCTTCTCTGTACATCGAAACCTGAATTCTGGGGATGGACACTGTAGGTCCCAAGTGACCAAGCGCCCGCTGACCACTGCCCCGATACTGATGGGCTGCGCCAGGGCTGTGCCTGCCCTGGTTGCTGGAGCCTGCGGGCTGCACGGCCCTTGGCTTTCACCGCTTCTCTGTGCACCACTGCGTGGTCTGTCCGGTGTGGCAGCGGGTCTCTTCTGTGTGCTTCTGTGGCTTTTTCAAAGAGTCGTAAGTCTTTGCTCCATCGTGGTGCGTGTGTGTGAGTGTGCGGCATCATCTTGCTGATCTGAGCTCTCTGGTTTCTAGGCTGCCAGTGGCCAGCCCCCCGCCACAGGCGCCCCCGGGGCTGCTGTGCCCTTCTACAGCCCCACGCAGTTTGCACAGGTACGTGCACAGCGGCTCCAGGGGTGGGACTGGCCCCCAGCCCATGCCCCCCGCTCCAGGCTGTGCCCCAGCTGCGCCTGCCTGCCCGCCCTTCCCTCCCCTCAGCAGTGCCCCTGACTGCGCTCCTGTTCTTCCCTTCTCCCTTCTGGGCTCCTGCCTCTGCGGGAGAGGCTGGCCGCCAGGTGAGGGGAGCCAAGTGGGAGCAGGAATCTTCAGGGGGCTGGGAATGGAATGCCTCACCTGACCCCGGGCTGTCCCGATGCACACCCCGCCTCACTGCCGTGGCGCCCGGCCCCTTCCACAGAGCCTGTCCTGCCGCCCGACCTTGCCCACCCCCCTGCCGCCCTGGCTTCAGCGGCGTCTGCAGGGTGTCTGCAGCCGAGGCTGCTTCTTGGCCTCTCTCCCCCCCTCCCAGGACTGAGGTGTCCATTAGCACCAGGTCACCCATCTGCATCTCTGCTTCAAGATTTGGTGGTGGTTTCCTATCCTCCCATTACCTGCTTCTTGTGTTTCATGTCTCCACAAGAACCCCTCGGCTCTTGGTTCCATTAGCACTCATGAGAAGGCTCACTGTCCTTCCTGTGTGCCCTCTGGGGTCTTCCGATGCTCCACCCTTGGAGACGGCCTCACGTGGAGCCCCTAACACAGTGCTGCGCCTTTAAAGGGCACACTGGCGTCTGATCTGGGCTGGGCCCAGTGGCCACGGGCCTCAGAAAGGGGACAGGGTGGGCACGCTGTCTGACGTCAGGGCGCATGCTGGCTTGCTCCCCAGGCACTCCCGAGCCCTACCCCCTACCCCCTACCCCCTACCCCCAGAAGGCGGGTGGGCGGGCAAGTCAGTGCTGTTCCTGTCGTTTCAGGCCTCTGCCACCTCAGGAAGTTCAAGGTCGGGGAGGATTGGCCAAAGGAAATACCCAGCGTTGAGATAGACTGGCCCCTGTTCCGCATTAGCCTTGGATGCTCAGACTACTCTCCTTCGACCTCCCATTCGAGCGATGACGCCCAGCCCCTGTCGCCAAAGCCCATCCAACAGCACCTCTGAGACCTGGAGCAAAGGACTGACCTCGGCTTCGAGCCTCGCACCTGCAAGGATGTGTTGAGGAGACGCCTCTAGTCCCATAGGAGTGACACAGCGAATGACGCCCTAAATGTGGCTGGGCTCTGCCGCAGGGTGGGCCTGGAACTTCAGGAACTGCGGCGTCTGTCTCTCGGAACCCAATGCGAATTGCTGCCAGGGCCGTCGTAGGGCTCTTCCGAGACACCAGAAGGAAGGAGGCGCCCAGCGCAGTGCTCCATGGGTGGTCCCTCTGAGCGCTCTCGCGGGTGCAGTCACCTTAGCTGCCCTTCGGTCGGGTGGGGACGCCCTGGCCCCTGCAGCGCATTTCTCTCCTGCAGCAGAGATGTCCCTGGCAGCCCTGAGGCTTCTGTGGCCTGGGTGGCACCACAAGGGGTCTCCTGCAACCAAGGGACTCGCCCTGTCTGTCCACGAGGGAGGGGAGAGCCACCCCACACAACTTGGGTTCCACCTGTGACTGGTCCTCACTGGTCAGCCGGCACTGACACTGTGACCACCATTTATCAATTCGGACCTTCCGAGGGCGTAGCTGGGCCACACGCGTGGGCGCACAGAGCAGCCGTGGGGCTGCCACACTCTGCACCCGGGTGCAGGTCCCGCATGTGTCGTGGCTCTGGGGCCTGCCAGCCAACACGCCCCTCCACCTGGGTGACGCACGGTGGGGCTGGCCACATCTGGAAGAAAGTGGCTTCGAACGGTTTTCCTGCCAGAAGCTCTAGGAGCTGATACTTCTGCCCCTGGATTTTTCCACACAGGCCCTTCCACAGTGAAGGTGGAGGTGCCCGGCCACAGGAGCCAGTGGGAGGCGCCCCCCTCACTGGACTCTGAGCTTTAAGGCTTCATCGACTGTTCTTAAAACCACTCACGTTGTCGTTTGTTCCAAGGAGATGAGTGATTGAAGTATTTATAGAGATCATTAGGAGCTCCCTTCTCTGGTTCCGCTTGGTACCTCGGACCTCAGTGCAGGGTCCTGTAAGTGTGCGGTTGGCACCAGCCCTTCCCTCCTTCCTGGTTCACTTGATCCCCTGGGAAAGGCCTCGGACTGTTCACACACCTGTGCGCCCCAGGACCATGTTCTTCCGCAGGGAAAGGCCAGCCTCCTTGGGGGCCTCCCTGCGTCCCTGGGTCAGTGGGTGTGATTCCCAGGCCGAGGCCTCCTGGGCCCTGCAGGCCCCCCAGCCCATTTTTCTGTTAGTGACTTTTGATTCAAGACGCTTCCTGCAGGTGGGAGCTGTTATTTTTCCTAAATGCTGATTGTTACACTGCAAATTGTTAAATAAATAAAAATATTTTGGGCTCGGAGCACTCTCCTGTTTGCCTTTGCCGATTGAAGCCAGGGAGCCTCCAGGACCTGGTCACCTCAGGTGTGGCAGGGACCGACCTGCAGCCCCGGCTCCCCTAGGTAGGGGTGGGTTTACTCTGAAGCCCGCCCTGTCCCCCAGAGCATGTGGAACCAGGGGGGAGTTAGGGTTGCGTTGGCAAGGGAGGGCCAGGCTGGTCAAATGCTCAGAGATGGGTTGGGTGCCCCAGCATGGGAGGGGTGGGCAGAGGGCTGGGCGGGTTGAGATGGACGTGGCCCCGCCCTACTGCCTTGGAGAAGAGGCCGCAATGGGGCGTGGCCTCCCAGCATCTGGCCCCGCCCCCGGCACTCGTCCTCACTCCGCCAGCTGGGCCTCCGGCCGCCAGAGGTCACTGCAGGCACCGGTTCGCCGCCCAGGCTGCCGGTTATCGAGGCGGTTGCTGAGGCCTGCAGGGGCTGGGGAGCGGGCGCGTGCTAGAGGTAGGGGCGTGGGGTAGCCCCGGGCAGGGCCTCTGGCCCGTGATCCCTGGGGGCCGAGTTGGGGCGTGGGGTGACCCCTGGGCAAGAGATGACCTGAGGGTGAGGTCTGCGCGTGGTGACCCCGGGTCGCGGGTCCCGTTCCACCCCCAGCTCCGCAGCAGTCGTTGCCCTGGGCACTGCTGCGGGATCGCTGGCCCTGCGACAGGGCCTTGGCCCCTGTGCCGCAGACCTGCTCAGGGGTCGGGGCTCGGCTCTCCAGGCAGGGTCTGCGGGCCAGTAGTTGTGGTGGCGCAGGTCGGAGCCAGGGCCGGGAGGGTGTGGGGGTGGCTGCGCCCGTGAGCTGTGAGCTGCCCTTAGCTTGCCTTCTTTTCGGGGGCACAGATTCTCATCCTGCACCTAGTGCCCTTGTGAGGAGCGGGCCCTGACTGGGAAGGTGGCTTCTTGGCTTAGGGGGGCAACCCATCCCTAGGAGGGGGCAGCAACTGGGATGTCTGGATACTTGTCTCTGCTGGGTGGCCGCTGGCCTGTCCTCTGCCACCCAGCACCATCGCTGTCCTTCAAGAACGTTAAATTCGTGGGAGTAACAGCAGTTTTCCCTTAGGCCCCTGGGGGGCTCCAGGACTGGAGGCCTCCAGCCATGCAGCAGCGGGCCCCGCCCCTGCAGGTCTCCTCTGTGCCCTGCTGCCGCTTCTGGGGACACCTGGCCAGGCATCCCTGACACTGGGCATCGCCGGCAGCCCTCAAGGAGCTGTCTTCTGGGTGTGCTGGGCCCCTGGACTATGCCATCCAAGTCAGTCTCCCTGGGGCCCTCGGAGCCGGCTCCCCAGCAGCCCACCGCCCAGGGGCGCCTGCAGTCAGAAGGGAGAATGCTCGCAGGACAGCTTCCCAACACAGACAAAGACCTGGTCCCCTGCCCAGGGTCCCCGCCCACCGACAACTGTTCTGGGCCCAAGCAGAGCCCAGTGGTCCCTCTGAACATTCCAGCAAAAATCAGCGATGAAGACCCTCAGGCTAAAGCAAAACCCTTTGCCCCCAAGCCACCAATGAGGCCCAGGCTAGAGCGAGCACTGTCCCTGGATGAGAAGGGCTGGAGGAGCAGGCGTCTGCAGAACAGCCGAGACGACCTGGCCTCCCAGAACGGGGCCAGCCCCTCCAGGGGCTCCTTGCAGGAGCAAGGCCCTGGGCCCCCTGCCCACACTCGCTCCCCAACTGGCCTGAGCACCTCCTGTCAAGAAATTCCCACATCCCATGGGACTCTGGGCCGCGGGGGCGGGAGCCCCTCCTCATGGGGTAACGGTGTCTCTGGGATCATCGGCACCTCCCTGGACACCCTGCACCGGAACGGGGCCTCGGCCGGGAGCACCCAGGGGCTGGCCAGTGGGCTTCCCTCACACCTACCGCCTGCCCTGGACTGGAACATCGCTTCCAACTCCCTGCGGACAGCAAACAAGGTGGACGCAGACCACACTGACTACAAGCTCCGCCTGCAGACCAGGCTGTTCCGGGCCCACAGCAGCCTGGGCCCCAGCCGGCCTCTGAGCCCCCTGGCCTGCGACGACAGTTCCCTGCGCTCCGCCAAGTCTTCCTTCAGCCTCCTGGCACCCATCCGTGCCAAGGACGTCCGGGACAGGTGGGCCTCCCCAGGGCGGGGAGGGCGTTGCAGCATCTCTGGCCTCAGTTTTAGGATTCAGAAGCAAGCTCCACAAGGAGCACGTGATGTGTTCTCATCCAGCTGTGTCGGGGCGTAAAGGTGGAGACGGCCCGGACCCCGTCAGTAACCCCAGGGGGCTCTCCTGCCAGAAGGGCAGGCACTGAGTGGACACGGTGCCTGCAGCACTTTGCCAGGACAGCCAGACACGTGACTGCTGGACCGAAGGCCCAGTCCCGTGGAGAGAGGTCCCCAGGGTGCACACTCTGCTCCCAGCAGGCTCCCGTCACGTCTCTGGTGTCCTGTGGCCCAGTGGGAGGGGTTCACAGCACCAAAGACGAGGGGTTTCCAGGCGTCTCTAATATTTAAGCATATTGACGTTTTTATGGCTTGGAAAGAACTTGGGTGCCGGCCCCGTGTCTTCCCTTCTGCTCCCAACTCCCAAACTCGTGCTTCTGGCTCGAGCTGTGGATTCACCAGGCTCGGGGCACAGAGAGACCTCTGAGCCCACCCGCAACTTCCTCCCCAGCCGGGGCTTCTTCTGGGAGCTCAGTGTTGGGGCCCACCGTCCCCTCGCCACTCTCCCCGGGCCTGCCCCTCTCCTGCGTCTCCCCACCTCGGCTCCCGCCACGTTGACGGGCCTCCACTCCCAGCCGGGGCCGGGCAGGTTGTTTGAAGCACATCAGGCCACGGCCCTGACTTCGGGGGCCCGAGGAGCTTGTCCAGCAGCTGGGCCCTCCCTGGGTCCATCTGCTTGGACCCTGAGTCGGCCTGTGCCCCCCTGCACAGGAGCTACCTGGAGGGGAGCCTCCTGGCGAGCGGGGCCCTGATGGGGGCAGAGGAGCTGGCCCGGTACTTCCCGGACCGGAGCGTGGCCCTCTTCGTGGCCACCTGGAACATGCAGGGGCAGAAGGTAAGCCGGCCGCCGGCCCCTCCCGGGATGAGGCCTGGGTTCCTGCCTGTTGTTTCCAGGGCCCCCAAGCGGCCCCTCCCCCACCGCCCCCACACGAGGCCCTGCACTGGCTCATTGTCACCTGGGGCCCCCTCGTCTCCTCTGGGTCCCTCTTGACGATCCCCTGGGCACCCCGGGCGCACCTCCCGCCTGCTGGGGTTCCACATGCTCGTCCCCGCACCTGCCTGGGGTCGGCCTGTGACCTAGGGGCACCCGGGAAATCTCTGTTGGTCAGACGGGCAGGCGGGGCGCTTCGCACCCTGACTGCCGCGGCAGCCCGCCCAGAGCCCAGGGCCGGGTCTGCACGCTGGTTTCCAGGAAAGCCCGCCGGCCACGGTCCCCGCCGGCTCTCTGTGCAGCTAATCCCGTGTCCCGGCTCTCTGTGCAGTTAATCCCGTGTCTCCCTGGGCCCCTTTCTCTCGGCGAGGTCTGTCCTCAGCCTAGTGGTCAGTCTCCGCCCTCCTTCCAGCTGCCTGGGGGCCTCATGCTGGGCCAGGCGGATCCTGAGGTCTGGGGGGTGAGGGACGGAATGTCACCACCCCTGTGGTCACGAGGCCCTTTCCCGAGGCCTCTCATTGTCCGCGCGTGTCAGAGCGGTCAGAGTGTTTGACGAGGAGAGGATGGGAGGGAAGCGGTTCCTGTGGAGCTGGACGGGGAGGCAGGGGCCCAGGCCGGTGGCTCTGCTGGGGTCCATGGGGCTGGGCCCTTGTCCGGGGCCCACAGGGTTCACGGGGTCAAAGCCAGGTGGCACTGCAGCCACAGATTGGAGTGACGATGGACAAGGGCGCTTAGCTCTCCACAGGACCCGCTGCACCCCTGCTGCACACCAGCCGGGGGAGGCGGTGGTGGCGGGCACCTCGGGTCAGGCTCGGGGGCCAAGCTGGGGCTGGGTGCACCTGACAGACAGCAGCTGGGGAGCAGCATGGCGAGGATGGGGGCGCAGACTCAGCCTTGGTGATGCCAGCTTGGGAGGGGGAGGGCCATGGGGTCCCTGGGGAGCAGGCGCTCCCCCGTGCGGGGCTCCTCCGGCCCCGGGCCAGGTGCTGCTTCTCCACAGGAGCCACCTCCGAACCTGGACGAGCTCCTGCTGCCCGCCGAGGCCGACTACGCCCAGGACCTGTATGTTGTCGGAGTCCAGGAGAGCTGCTCCGACAGGTAGGCCCCACCCCCACCCCCACCCCCATCCCGAGTCCGTCGGTCCCTCCTGGCCCTCAGTGTGGCACTGCTGAGGTGGGCCTTTGGGGCTGACGCTGCTGTGAGCCAAGACCCCCTTCTGCCAAGCCTGGGCCGGACACACAACCCACCTTCAAAGACTGCAACTCGGAGAGTTCAGAAGGAGTGAGGCTTTCTTTCCAGAGAACAGCTGCTCCGAGAGACCGTGAGCACAGCGGCCCGAGGCCCCGCTGCCCAGTGCACTCCGGGCTCCAGCCAGACCCTGACGGCGTCCCTGGCCCACCCCAGGGCCCGCGGGGCTCCTGCTCCCTGTTCTCTGGCCACACACCTGTGGCCTTGTCCCGGGATACCTGGCAAGGGGTGCCGCTCCTCACACAGCTGCAGCTGTGCTGGCCGGGGGGCTCCTCTCAGGCCTCTGCCAAGTGGGCCGGGAGCTCCCGCCCACAGCCGAGTGGGGGTCGGGGCCTGGCTCCCATCACTGCCCCCGGTTTGGGCCTGTGGCGTCCCTTCAGGTGTCCCGACCCAGGAAGCCAGTCTCACAGGGAGGCCCCAAGTCTCTGGCCCAGCAGGCCCAGCAGCCCCTGTGTGGCTCCTGTCTGCCCTTCTCCTCATGAGACACGGGTGCCAGGCCAGACCACGGCGGCCACCCCCCCACCCTGCCGCAACTCGGGGTGAGGGGCTGGGAGGCCCGGTCCCCTCCCCAGGGTGGCCTTGACCTCTTCACAGGCGGGAGTGGGAGGTGCGCCTGCAGGAGACGCTGGGGCCACACTACGTCATGCTGCACTCGGCGGCCCACGGGGCCCTGCACGTCTCCGTGCTCATCCGCCGGGACCTCATCTGGTTCTGCTCAGGTAGGCGGCCGCCCACACCCGTCCCCTCCCTGCCGCCCCTCGGCCCTGGCCCTGTCCCGGGACACGAGCTGGCTGACCCCAGCAGTGTGGCCCCCGGGCCGCAGGCAGCAGGGCACAGCCGTCAGCTGTGCTCCCCGCCGTGCAGAGGTGGAGAGCTGCACAGTGACCACACGCATCGTGTCCCAGATCAAGACCAAGGGGGCCCTGGGCGTGGGCTTCACCTTCTTCGGCACCTCCCTTCTCTTCATCACGTCCCACTTCACCTGTAAGTCGCCTGCTCCCAGACCTGGCCTCGGGTAAGGACTCCTCTCCCTGGGGGTGAGGGCGGGAGGGGTCCCTCTGCTCCGTCTCACAGGCCCTGCAGCCCCAGCCCTGCCAGGTCCCTGCAGCGGTGGCCTCATCCCACGGGCTCCGCTCTGGAGAGAGGCATGGTGGGCGGGTTGTCAAAGGCCCTGCGCAGCGAGAGCCGGCGCCTGCAGCACGGGGTCTTCACCTGGACCGACCACCCCAGTGTCTGACCCTCAGTCAGAGAGCTGCCCCTCGAGCGATCCCCACTCTGTCTTGGCAGCTGGAGACGGGAAGGTCAGCGAGCGGCTGCTGGACTACAGCAGGACCATCCAGGGCCTCGCCTTGCCCAAGAACGTGCCGGACACCTGCCCCTACCGCTCCGACTCCGGTGAGCGGAGCGCGGAGTGCTCACCTGCCTCCCTTCCCGGGGGTGCGGCGTGGGCCTCGCTCTCTGGGCAGCGGGGACCATCGCTGAGGCACGGCGTGCGGGGGAGCTTGGGCTCATGGACTTCCTGGCTGTGCCCCAGCGGATGTCACCACGCGCTTCGATGGGGTGTTCTGGTTCGGAGACTTCAACTTCCGCCTGAGCGGTGGGCGGCCGGCCGTGGAGGCCATCCTGAAGCAGGACCCGGGGGCCAGCGTGCCCGCCCTGCTGCAGCTGGACCAGCTCACTCGGGAGATGAAGAAGGGTGAGGCCGGGGGCGGGGGCGATGACTGGGGAGGTGAGGCCCCAGGGGGAGGCAGGCGCTCCACGCCAGCAGTCCCAGACATGCGCCCGCCCCAGGGACCATCTTCAAGGGCTTCCGGGAGCCAGACATCCACTTCCTGCCGTCGTACAAGTTCGACATTGGGAAGGACTCGTACGACACCTCGTCCAAGCAGAGGACCCCGTCCTACACGGTGCGTGTGGCCTGCTGGCCTGCTGGCTGGGGGGCGCCCTGGGCCCTGCCTGCAGCCGCCTGAGCACTCCCTGCCCCCGAGGGTCGTCCTGAAGCCCCGGTGCCCAGCCAGACCCGGGCTCTGAGGCCTGGCTCACCCCACATGCTGCACTGCCGGTCCCGGGGGCCACACGCTCCTCGGGGTGTCGTGCAAGGGCGGCGGCCTGAGCCTCCCTCTGGACGAGTACAGGGAGGTGGCAGGGGGCAGGTTTGGCAACAGCTGCTTCTGCAGCTCCCACAGCGCTGAGGGGGCCGATGATGCCTCGGGGCCGCCAGGGAAAGGCCCGGGCACCCAGACGCCTGACCATAGTGGGCGTGGGGCGTGGGCGTGGGTACGGGCTCGTGCAGCAATGGTGGGGGGAGGGGCGGGCAGGTCAGACCCCGAGGCAACCTGGACATCACCGGTCCCTGCCTGTGGACTCCTCCTGCAGGACCGGGTTGTGTACCGCAGCCGCCACAAGGACGACATCTGCCCCCTCCGGTACTCCTCCTGCCCTGGGGTCAGGACCTCTGACCACCGCCCCGTGTACGGCCTGTTCCGGGTGAAAGTGCGGCCGGGCAGAGACAAGTCAGTACCCTGGCCTCGCCACTCCCAGGGCTTGGTGCCAGGCGGCAGTGGGGGTCAGGGACTAGGCAGAACCCTTGTCCACTTCTGCGGGGGGCCACCTCTGGACCTTGCTGCAGGCCACTGCCTGTGTCCAGACACACCCAGACGGGAGCAGGGTCCCAGCAGCCCCAGGTGGAGGTGGCTGCTGCTGGAACCACAGGCCACAGGGTCGGGACCAGGGCTGGCTGGACTCCCTGGCTCACAGTGTCCACTCGGGGTTGTGCAGGCCAGGCAGCCTGTGGGACGAGGGTCACAGCACCCCTCGTCCTGACGGCTCTTCCCTCCACAGCATCCCACTGGCTGCCGGCAAATTTGACCGAGAACTGTACTTAATCGGGATTAAAAGGCGGATTTCCAAAGAAATCCAGAGAAGGCAGGCCCTGAAGTCACAGCACTCCAGTGCTGTCTGCACCGTCTCCTGAGGGAGTCTGACCAAAGAGGTCGTTCCTACCATTTGTGTCCCCGGAAAGCTCGGGGGAGGCTGCTGTCTGGGACCGCTCTGCCTTTGGGGACACTGATGACCCACTGTCGGAGGCTGTCCTGGAAGCCTCCTCGGCAGGCCGTGGGCCACGGCACAGGCAGGCCCTCGTCCCCAGACCAGGAGCAGCTGCCGGCTTGCCTGGCATCCCTGCAGAAGGCCCAACTTCCTTCTTGGGGCAGGTGGAGCCTGGGCCCCACACTGGCCACGCCACACCTGCCCCCGTTCCTTGGGGGGCTCATGCCCCTCAAGCCGGCAGCAGGCACAAGCCCCAGCCCACCTGCGCCCACTCCCATTCCCGTGTTCGTGCAGCTGTGCCCGCGTCCCGGGTCCTGGTCTCCACCCTCCAGTCCTTCCTCCTTGAGCGGGCTGGCTTGGCACCAGGGAGGCTGCTCGGTGATGCCGATGGGGTGACCTGGGGCACATGCTAGCACCATGCCGAGGCCCCGTCGGTCACCAGGCTGAAGCCAGTGTCCAGGGCACCACCAGGGCAGGCTGGGGGGGGGGGTGCCCAACATTTCAGGCCCAAGGAGCCTCCAGCCACGACAGCAGCCTCCCGTCCTGGCTTTGCTGGCTCCAGACCACCTGCTCCTGTGGCAGCACATCTGCCGGGCAGGGTGCCCCCACCAGGTCTGGGCCACCCCTCAGTGTTCAGACTGTCACCCCTTCATCAGACCCGTCTCCTGGGAAAAGCATAGGCTTTGAATGTTTGGAAACCCTGGGGCATTTGATCTAGTCTACTCGATTATTTATTTTTCCATATTTATATTTTTAAATAAAGACATATACCGAATCTTTGACTCTCTCCAGCCGAAATGCGGGTCCCAGAAGGACCGCCTTGCGCAGGCCCTGTCCTCACAGTGTTGTCCAGAGGAAAGAGGTTTGCTCCCCACTGTCGGCCCGGGGCACCACCCTCACTCCCCTCTGCCGGGTTTGGTCCCCAACCCACCCACTGCCCCGAGGTGTTAGCTGGGAAGCACTTGAAAAGTGAGCAAGTTGCAGGGCCACTTCTAACACCCAGCGTTTGTCGGCATCAGCCTCGGTCTGAAAGCAGCACCTGTGCAACCCTTAAGTTCGGGTGGGAGGGACCCTCAGAAGGTGCCGCCTGGCTTCCAGAAACCATTCCAATTCTCAGTGGGCATAAAATTCTGCTGAAATGCACATGCTGTTGAGTTTCAAGTCAAGTCACTGAAAGCCTCTGACGAAGATTCCTTCTGGGACAACAGGGTCTGAAATCAGGGCCATTTCGTGGTCCTTTCCGGAGTCTGATCCAAACTGCAGAAGAGCAATTTTGATGTGACTCTGGAGGGTCTGGCCCAAAACCAAGCTTTGGTTCTGGGGCCACCCACCCGGAGGCCCTAAGATGAGGGCCAGGTGTCTGACTCACTTCACACCAGTCCTCACACCTGCACTAGGAAAGTGGGTTCACAGCTGAAACCAACATGCACCAATGGCCAGCTGTGAAAATGGCCTCACCGAGAACTGGAGACACGGCTGTGTGAGGGTGCGGTCAGAAGCCGGGCTCTCGCCCTCAGACAGGGTACGGCACTGTCAGCAGGGTGACAGCCAGCCTGCCTGCCCCCAGGAAGCACAGCGCCCACAGTGCAGTAAGTGTGAGCGCTGCCGCTGGGAACTACAAGGGGGGCGGGGTGAGGGAGCAGCGCGGTCACGTCCAGGGCCACTTCTGAGACAGACACCTGTGCCTGTGGCCAGCCTCTTCTAGGATGCCCAGAAAGCTGTGGACCGTGTTGTGAGCCCGGCGTCAGCTCCGCAGGAGCTTTGAGAGGCGACGTGCGGTTCACCCGACCTCACGTCCCGTCTTTGTCTTAATGGGCACGACGTGTGCCCACTGGGCACTCTTCACAGGAGGCAACTGCGGGGAGACACTGGGGGCAGTCCGGGTTGGGCCGTCTGCACCTGCCCTCCCCAGCTCCCACCCCAGGGGCGGCCGTGAGAGGTGGTGCAGCTGCAGGGAGATCAGGCCACGGAACAGAAGGGACACACACACACTTTATTCCACTCCCAGCCTCCCCACTCCCGCCCCGAAGAGGCGGGCTTCCGAGGGCCCCAGAGAAAGCGGCACGACGGCCCTCCCCCCCTCCCCACGACCTACCCGCACCGGCACCGAGTGTGGAGCACCGCCCTAGGCTCCAGCAATGGGGAGCTGCCCCCAGGGTGGCAGTGGTTCCCAGGACCCCAGCATGAACCCTGGGGCTTCCGTGGGTGTTGGAGTTCGAGAACCACAAATCTATCCTGTCACTGAAGTCTTGTAACCTGTCACTTCTCCCGAATCTTCCCACCTTTTAAAACGTAACCACCAACCACCATATAAATCTTAGAAGCCCCCTCCAATCCCATGTGTCCTGACACCTCCGAATCCAGAACCCACCTTTCAAAGCAAGGGCAAGGGGCTTTGCGACATGGGTCAGACTGAAGGGTCCTCAGGTGGAAAGGGGACCAGCTACGTCTACGCCCTGTTCTGGGAAAGCCGCCGGTCCGCACGGGCCTTGAGCAGCTCCGTCCAGTCAGGGGAGAAAGACAACAGCCGCAGCCCCGCGTCAGATCGTTGTCGGTGGGCTGCCCAGGAGGGCCTCTGTGTGCACTCGACCTGCCTTTCCTGCAGCGGCTGCTTGGCTTCTGTCTGCACTCGCCCTGGTCTGAGCCGCGGTGCTAGAGGCCTGCGGCCCATCCTGTTCTGGGGGAGGGAAGCTGTGCGCGGCAACGTCAGACGTGAGCATTTGCGTGGAGGAGTGTCCTGGTTCGCACGTTCGCCACCTCCGCACTCAGTCTCCTCCGGGGAGGCGCGTATGCGCACACAGCCCGGGCCGGCTAGCGGAAGAGCCGGAAGGCCCTGGGCAGGCGCCCGTCCCTGCTGCACAGCGCCGCCTGGATATGCTCGTAGGTCGGCAGGTCGCTCAGGTCGCCCAAGGCAGCCACTGCCGGCTTTCCCCGAAGCATCTTAGCAGCAACTCGCTTGATGTCCTCCGGCTTCACGTTGCCTGGTACAGGGAACAGAGCACAGGGGAGGCCTGATGCCACGCCTGCTCCATTTCTCCGCGTCGCGGGGGCCCAGCCACCACCTTGGGGAGGAGGGTCTGGGCGTAGTCGACTGCATCCTCAGGGTGAGTTGGGGCGGAAGGACGGCAGTGAGTTTGGCTTAGGAAGTGGAGACGTGGCCATGGTCTAAAACGACTGTCAGACGCTGAGGATGTGCCCTGCTAACGGGAGCTGAGCGAGAGCCCCACACAGTAGGCAAACAGAGGCCAACGCTGCGCTCTGGGTGGCAAGGCCGTGCCCCTGCCCCTGGCGGGGAGGCGGGGAAGCCAGGAACCTGCCCCTGGCAAGGCACCCAGAGGAGCTGGTTTTGGCATGGAAGAGGAGGCCATGGGATCAGGTCATATTGTGTTTGAGGGGCTCCCTGACGGGGGACAGGGGTCCCCACAGGATCCCAAACCCGTGGAACACTGTGAAGCTATGCCGGTTTCACACTGGCTGACTCACGTCGTGACAGAAACAGTGCCTTCTGAGAATCTGATGAAACTGAGACAAACCTGCCACCCGAAGGCTCATGAGCAGACCAACCCTAGAGCAGAGTCTGAAGCCCTCCCGAAGCCTTTCATGGGATGCCACAGAAACCAGGGGCCAAGACACCTGCCACAGAGCCCGCCCAGCTGGAGCTGCCGCCTCTGTAAGTGCCACGCGGCATTGGGCGGGGTACTCACGGATGAGTGCACACAGCTCGTGGGGCAGCTTCCGGGACCCAGTCGCCAGCACCTGCCTCCCCACGTCCTCGAAGATCACAGGCCTGGACTCCAGGTTCATCATGAGCATGGACATCAGCTGCGTCTTGGCTCGCTCCAGCTCCACCTGAGGGTCAAAGCCAGTCCCACGGTCCAGCTGCCGCTGTCTGCTGGGCACTCTCAGCCAGCGCAGTGGCTCATGGAAATGGGTCCCGGCCACAGGTCTGCACTTGCCCAGGCTAAGCGAAGGGCAGATGGACTCCCCAGTGGCCGCAGGCTCAAGTCCTGAGCGCAGCCCACCGCGCTTCCCAGCTGCGCGTGTTTGGGTCAACGTTGGAATTACGCTCTCCAGGGCCTGCCCAGGCCCTCACGTCCTCGAAACGAGGAAGAAACGATGCCCCGAGCTCTGGTTGCCGGTTTAAAAAGTCTGCGTGCGTGTGCACGCACGTGAGCTCTGCCGTTTGCACCAGCGCGGGCCCAGAACCTAACGAGGCTCCTCCTCAACTGTAAGGTCTCAGAAACGAAGCTAAATCCGAGGACGTGAGAGGTCAGACCTCCACGGCCCTGTGGGAGGCTGAGACGGACGCAGACTCGCCCGTGAGCTGGAAAGGACACGAGGCGGCTGCACAGCACATGGGGTCAGTCAGGGGCGCGCAGGCCAGGTGCCGGGGGACAGCTGAGGGCGGCCCCCCACACAGGCTGCACTGCTCCGGCTGGGACACCGACACTGGGGGCAAGGGACGGTGCCCGGCACCCCACCATACTCACCGTGTCCACGGTGCCCCCCATTAGGATGAACTCCTTTGTGATGATCTCCACCATCTCTCGCACCTGTGGAGGAGGCAGGAGGGGGAGCCTGAGCTGCTCGGCCGCATGGCGGAGACACCCTGCTCCCCAGGGGCAGCTTCCTGTCCGCGAGGCAGGACGGCACCTGGCCTCACCTGCCGGGGGTCTGCGCTGGCGTGGATGCACAGGAGGCCCGTGTCCTCATAGCTGTGGTGGTAGGAGGTTGCATTGTACATCCAGTGGTGCCTGTGGGGACATGGGGGGACCCCTGAAATGTGGTGCCATGGTCTGACACCCCCTCAGCTGGGCCTGTGGCCCTGGGGACAGCGAGGCACGCACCTGTTGAGCACATTGAGGTAGAGCCTGGTGAACATGCCCTTGCCGGGCCCGCCAGCCGAGAAGGAGCCGCCTCCACCCATCATCATGTTCAGCACAGCGAAGGGGATGAAGTCTGCCTCCTGCAGGCGGGAGGACAGAGCTCAGCCGAGGGGACGTGCCCGGCCCAGGGCACGGGGGAGACCCAGCGGGGACTCACCAAGAAGGAGCAGCTCTCCAGTCCTATCATGATGTGAGTGAGCTCGGGGAACGGGGTGGGGCCCAGGCTGACGTTGGACATGTCCCTTTCCAGCTGCAGGCGAGGAGAGTGCAGTGAACGAGACCGCGCCGTCACTCCAGCCAGCTCCCCCCACCCGCCCCGGAGCCCGATGCTACCCTGGCAAGCCCCTGGTTTCTAGAGGATGTGTGCCAGGCCGAGACCAGGCTGTGCTGGAGGCAGAGCCGTGAACGCCCAGCTCGTTCCAGCCCTTCTGAGCAATCACTGGAGCACAGCAGACGCACCCAGACGGTGTGCCTGTGACCCGAGGCCGCAGGCCTCCCGTCAGCTTTACCTTGACGACCCCCCCGGTGTACTGTGCCACCGACCGGTCCACATCCGCAGCCACCTCGCTGCCCCAGGCCGGCCGGGCGCCCAGGAGGTACTTCTGGGCATACTCCACCAGGCGGGCGTGCTCCACGCCCACGCCCGCCAGCACCATGCGGTCGGGGGTGTAGTAGCTCCTCAAGTACGCGTGCAGCGCCGCCCGGTCCACCTTGGCGATGTTCTCTGCGGGGCAGAAGCGGTGCAGGCCAACCGTGTTCTCCCTGTAGGCAGCCTGGTGGCGACAGTGAGATTCAGGCGACGTGGCGAACACGCCAGCTCTCCTCCCGTGAGCGGGGATGCCCACCGCCAGCCCTGGGGCGCTGCTGTCTGGCAGGGACGCCTTGTGTGCTAAGAGAGAAGCCTGCCCCTCCGAAGGGAGCAGAGGTGGGCCCACCTGTGAGAACTGGGATTGTTCAAAGCTTCCTAGACCGCAGGCTCAGAAATTGAGAATGTCCTGCCAGCACCTGCCGGCATCAGGCAGGCCAATGACCCTTCCCACATGCCCTGCCTGAGGGCCACCAGTGTGGGTGGACCGTCCTTCACCTTGTGAATCATCTCAGTGAGAAGGGGCTCCGGGTCAGGCCGCATGTTGAGGTCCTCCAGCTCGAACTGGATGGCCATCCGAGCCATCTCTATCTCTTCCTCTGCAAAGCACACAGAGACCAGGCTCGCACCGTGCAGGCCCGCATCCTCAGTGGTGGGTGCCGGCAGTCTCCTCTACCTGGGGCCGGCCAAGGGGAGGGGGGACGCATGTGAGGGGGAGAGTGCCCCACCAGCAGCCACCTGGCCCTGCTCTGAGTCTGGACTTCCTCCCCGAGAGGCTCGGACCCCTGACCTTCTCCAGGGTTGTGTGATGATGATGAGGGGTGTGACGTGCTCAGAGAACAGTCACAGACCAACGTCAGCTCACTGCGACAAGTGCCAGAGAGCCCTGGACGCAGGACGGCAGCCCAGCAGGCCAGGCTGTGTGCACAGCAGCACAGACCAGTAGCGGGCGCTGCAGGACCTGCCCCCACCCCTCCCACGACGGGCTGAGTCTAGCCACCTGCGAGGCCAAGGAAGGGACTGGACAAGGGCGGGTGAGGCAGGTATTTAAAGACAGTCAAGATGCCCTTGTAAAGTGAAAGAATCGAGTTCACTGACCTGTCCAACGGTGCAGGGAGGGGTCAGGGTACTAGGCACCAGGACGTTCCCACGCATCATCATTCCCAATGAAACCGCGCCAACTCACAGACTGGTGGGCCCGAGTCCCCAACAGCCCAGGACTTTTTCTCGCAGTGGTGCCCCCACACGCACCCACCAGCCCCTCAGGCGGCCCGGACACACACCTGTGAGCCTGGGGTGCAGGACCACGTCAGCCAGCAAGCCAACCACTGTGTCCAGGCCTCTAGAGTCGGCAGACACAGCGTACATGGTGGTGTCTCTGGGAAAACCAACAACGCCAACACTGAGGTCGTGACAGGGACATGCAATGGATTGTGTTCTATCACTCAGCATCGCCCACAAGCACATTTGGAGCTTTGCCCTGTTCCCATATCTGGAGTCAACTCCTGGCAGGCGGGACCCCAGCTGCACGCAGGCTGGTGCCGAGTGAGAACCCATCCAGACAGAGTGGACAGGAGGCGGCTGAGGGGTTCCGTCGGGCACAGGCTCTGCCACAGCAAACCACTGCGTACTGGGACGTGTGTCCTGAATGGACGACTGGTCACCGTGGGAACGGGCCTGGCCCCACACGGCTAGGAGACAAAGACCAGTGGCGGCGGCAGCTCACTGCATGCGCAGGTACTATGGTCAGTGGGCGGGCTGGGTCGGCCAGGGACGGCACAGCCATGGGGGAGGTCACGTCAAACAGGCACAGCTGCGTGGACGAGAGTGCGCCCGTGAGGCCGGACACGGCTGCCCGCGCCTTTGCAGGGGAGGGGCCATCCTTGGTGGGGCTGCAGGACCACATGGGAGAGCAGCAGGAAAGAAGGCCCGAGCTGAGGGTGCATGGGGCTGCCGGAGCCAGGACGCTGGCCTGCTCAACCCAGAACACGAACGGTGAGTCTGAAGTTCACTGACAGGCAGCTGCGGGCCGGGGGCCTCTGAGGAGACCTTTTCTGGACAGGGGACATGCCCCCTCGCTCACTCTGATTCCCAGTCTCTGACCTGTCTTCTGCACATGACCTTCGACGTTCAGGCTTACAGCACCGAGACCGCTGAGAACGCTGCTGGGCCTTTGCACCCGCTGTTCCAAGGTTCTGAACCTCCTCCCTTTATTCTGTTTGGCAAAGCCTTTCGAGAAGCAGCCCCAAAGTCAAGCTTCCTGTCACTCCTTGCCTGAGTCCACACCAAGTCCCTGCCTGTCCCCCACACTCCCACCACCCTCGGTTCCTGGCTCTTGTGTCCTCCACCTGTGCCGCAGCCTTCTTCCTGACCTGTAAGCGCCGTGGGGACAGAGGCTACTCCGCATTGCCAGGGCCCAGCCACTGCCTGGCTCGGTCACCAAGCCCACGTCCCCAAGGGGGCTGCATGGCCCTCAAAGTGCTTCTCTATGCATGTCTTGCCCACCCAACTCTGCCCCATCGACCTCCACGGCCTCTCTGGTAAGGGGCTCAGTGGGACTCTGACCGAGACTGAGAACAGTCCCACACGGGAGCCACACAGACTGGTGTGGGCACGCCAGTGTACCTGGACGTCTGACAGTCACAGATGCCCCCGTGTTTTTCCAAGGTGCGTAGGATGCCATCTCTGCTGTCAAAACGGTCGGTGGACTAGTAAAAAACAAGAAAACCTACTCAGGCTTTAGCAATCCAGACAATCCTAGGACACAATTTTATACAAAAAAGCTTACTTTTGCTCTCAAAACACTTGAAGTCAAGTTACCTTTTATTACCATTGACTTAACAACTTAATCATTTATTAAAATCACCACTCTAAAAAAGCAAAGCTGTATAGCCCTGCCTGTTGTGGCTCGGTGGATTGAGCGTCAGCCTGTGAAGCAAAGGGTCACTGGCCGGTTCCATTCCCAGTCAGGGCACGTGCCTGGGTTGCAGGCCAGGTCCCCAGTAGGAGATGCATGAGAGGCAACCACACACTGATGTTTCTCTCCCTTTCCTTCTTCTCCCTTCCCCTCTCTAAAAATAAGTAAGTAAAATCTTTCTTTCTTATATTTTATTTATTTATCTTTTTTAGAAGGGAAGGGAAGAAGGAGAGAAATATCCATGTGTGGTTGCTTCTGGTGCATCCCCTGCTGGGAACTGGCCCCTGCTGGGAACTGGCCTGCAACCAGGCATGTGCCCTGATAGGGGTAAGTAAAATCTTAAAAAAAAAACAAAACTAAACTAAAACTACATAGATTCTCCCCAAAAATATTCTCAAAATTCAGAAGCTGAGCACTGACCGAAAAAGCCAACTTTTCCAAAAAGTGAGCAATTCCACTGAGGTATTTTGCTTCATATCTTGATCCTGAGTTAATAAGAACTGGGAATAAAAAAAGTTGACAAGTTAAATCAATGTTCAAAAGAACAAATTCACTCTAAGAACACCTTCCAGTCTCAACTATGCACATGACCAAACAGGGAAACTCAGCGTCATGAGGGGAGGGACAGGCGCACTCACTGCCTTGGTGGGACGCAGATCACAGGCGTGCGTGTCCGCTGATGCTAAGAGTCACACACTGCACACTTGTGACTGAAAGTTTTTCATTACGTGAATATAGAAAAAGGACAACAGCCCGCCACCACGGCCACGGGGCACCCTCCAGCTCCCCCATGTCCCCACTCCGCCCCACGCGTCTTCACTCAGGACACCACCGACCAACAGCACTTACTTCCCACTGTACAAAACTGTCCAAACTTATTTTGGGACGCCACACGAAGCCCATTGCCCAGCGTGGTAACTTTGGTCTCAAACTTTTCCTGTCCATCCACCGTGGCAAAAACAGGCTGCGGCACTCCAGGTAAGGGAGCAGAGAGGGGGACGCTGGGGTAGGCCCCACCACTGCTGAAAGGTCTGCAGGCAGGGCCCCCAAGCCTGAAATGGAAATCAGCCCAATTACAACCAAGACGAGAAAGCAGGACCTGGGGGCACCACACAGGTGCGGTTGGTCATGTTTTGTTGTACTGAAAGTCAACACGTGCCTTTCAAAAGGGTCTGTTCTGCAAGCCTAGGGACTCAGAGGAGTGGGCAGGGGGGCACCGTGCAAACGCTGGTGGCCCAGGGACCCGCAGCAAGTTGTCTGGTGCCTTGGGTCTGCCCTGCCACTTCTGTGAAAAGGCCTTCAGAACAGCAGCTCCCTCCGCGACGGCGTTCGCGTGGCTGCAGCTCCTGCACATGGAGCACTTGGCCCGGCGCAGGCTTGAAGGGGGTGCAAACTTGTCTCCTAGCCCCTTCTGCGCCACCCCACGAGGTCTCCGTCACGTTGGAGGGCTGGTCCAGGGGATAATCATCCCCAAAGCTTCCCTTGTCCCTGTCCCCAGCCACCAACTCTCGCCTGCACTTTGCACGTGGCTACCACCCAACGCTCCTCCCGAAGCACCACTGATGTTTAGCGGAGGCGCTGTGAACCGACCGTCCCGGGAAAGCACCTTCCCGCCGCAGCCCAGGCACCGCAGCGCTTAGACACAGTGACAGGGCGAGACACAGTGACAGGGCGATACCGGTCTGCTGCTCGAATGAACGCGCCAGGGTGGGAAAAGGCAGCCCTGGACCCTCGGGCGGGCGAGGAGGCGAGAAAAGTTAGCTGTCCACAGGCGGAGGGGAGAGCACAGTCGCGGCGTGGACCGAACCCCCGCTCCACGGTCCGGGTAGACAAGGCCCTACCGGTTCGGCCTCGTAGGGGACAAGCGCGCGAAGAAAGGGGTCGGGCGGAGGCGACACGTGACGTGGGCCCGGGAGTGGAGGGCGGGAGCGGACCCAACAGCCGGGGAGTGGATCAGCAGATGGGGCTCCGGGCCCAGGCCTGGGTCGCGGGGCAGGGAAGCGCCTCCAGGACCAGGATGAATCCGACCCCGCCCACCCGGCGCCGCGTCTGGGAGTCGGGGAAGCAGAGGCCGAACGCCCCGAGAGTCGTCGGCCGCCCCAGCCAGCCCTCAGCTCACCTCCGCCGCGGGCGACCCCAGGCACTGGAGCCTCTCAGCAACCGCGTCGCGGCCAGCACCACCGCCGCCATATTGTGTCTCCGCCCACCGCTTCTGCCGTCACTTCCGGAGCCGCCTTCTGCGCCCCGCCCCCGCCGGCGCCGGCCGTCGGCGTTCCGGCGCCCGTTTCCGGTGCTCAGAGCAGAAGCCGCAGCGAGAGGCTCGGAGCGGTGGCCGAGCGGCGGGCGACGGGGCGGGGGACTCTGGCCGCGGCCGGGGCGGAGCAGGAGCCATGGAACCGCCGCTGCCGGGCTAGGGAGGGCCCACGTCCCCGGCCCGGCGGCGATGGCGGGCTACGCGCGCCGCCCGGGCGTCACCCCGCTGTCCCGAGCCCGCAGCCTCGTCATTCCGGAGGGTGAGCGGCCGGGAGGGTGGGTCGGGGTGGGTGGCGGGGAGGGAGCCCAAGGCAGGCGCCCCAGGCTCCGGGCCTGCGCCCAGGTGGGGTCTGGGCGCCGGCCCCGCGGGTCGCACGGAGGTACAGGTGAGGCCGCCCCGCAGAGCGCTCTGCGGCGCGCAGTGAAGTCGCTCTCATTGTTATTCCAGCTGCAGCGTTCTATGAGCGCCGGTCTTGTCTCCCCCAGCTAGACTGTGAGCGCCCCCATGGCAGGGACCCGGACTCCCACTTCGTCGGCATTCGGCCGACGTTTATGTGCTACGTGCCTAGTCCGGTGCTAGCTTCCGTGGGAGACACAGGTGAGAGACAAGCCTCAGGGCCCCCGGGTCCTGGCACTACCTGTCGGTAGCTCTGCCGTAGCACTGACTCACCCCTCGACCCAGCGGTGACCGCTGAGCGCCACTGTGTGCCGGGCACTGAGAATACAAAGGTGGAGAGCATCCTGCCGCTCGGAACTCACAGTCTTGTCTTGGGGAGACCCTTCCTCCCAGACAGACAGTTCCTTCCTAGGGTGGCAAGTGCCCGAATGGAAGTGTACTTCTGGGTGCTGGAGGGAGGGCAGGAAGCCTTCATCCGGAGGCATGCCTGGAAACGGCTGCAGCTGGGCTGCGGCCTGTGCCAGTTCATTCTTTCTGCTCAAGAGGCCGCCTTACTCACCAGCCAGGTTGTGCAGGGCGTGTTCAGGTGGTCACCTTGGGGCCCAGAGCTGGTGGCAGCCCCTGGAGGCATTCAGGAGATGCCCCAGACGGGGTACACGCACAGCTCCACTGAGCATCAGAACTTGCTGGAGCTTTTTCCGAATAACAGGGGCCAGGGCCCCTGGAAGGCAGACTGTCTCCAGGGCATAAGCGGGGGTCATACTTGAAAGGCCTCCCAGGCTGTGAGAAGCCCTGGAGTGGAGCCTGCATCAGGGAAAGCTGTGGTCACCAAGGCTCCCCAGGATCATGGGGGTGACGCTTTCTCTTTGCAGATTTTGTCTATGGAAAAGGGAAGGGCACCAAGCAAGGTCCATTGGGAGCCCAGGAGACGCCTTTTGGAGGTAAAAGCTTCAGTAACGCTTTCTCTCTGTCAGTCCACTTCTCGGTGCCAGGCCGGTGCCTGGGGTGGGGCTGCCCCCTGACAGTGTAGGCCTCTGTACCTGTAGCTAGCAGAGCTGGTGGGAATAGAATTTACCCTTTCAATCTTGACCCCAGGGTAGAAGGGAAGAGGGTACAACCTGAGACAGGAGGGAGGGCAAGAAGGTGGGAAGTCACTCCTGGGGGTCCAAGAGACAGCAAGGGCTGGAATCCTAAGAGCCAACTCCATACAAGGCTGGCTGCCCCACTCAGATGACTAGTGGACTGAACAGGCTGAAGCCTGACTAGGTAGTGAGAGAGCGGGAAGGAAGAAATGGAGGAGGGAAGTGGGTGGGGGAGTTGTGAGGGTGAAGGCGGGGCCTCTGAAGCTGGGACCAAGCTGTGGGAGTGCTGGAGCATCCCCCACCTGGATGGCCTCCGTGCCCAGCCTGGAGCTTGAGAACCACTGGGGGCGGGGCAGGGATGGAGAGAAAGGGAAGATAAGAAAGTGGCTCGTTTCAGGGGCCTGCTTTCTCACTTCCTGGTGTCACTGAGTTGGGGTTCAGTGTCCAGGGTGGCATTCCCAATTTAGGGTTGTGTCCTGGAGAGAGAAACGAACAGGGGAGCCCCCCTCTGACACCCTTCAGGAGACTTTGTGTATGGGACGGTTGACATTGTTTCAGATGATAAACTTGGAGATCTCGAAGAGGCAAACCCATTCTCCTTTAAAGAGTTTCTGAAAACCAAGAACCTCAGCCTGTCGAAAGAGGACACAGCCAACAGCAGATTGTACTCGAAGGTAGTTCTCAGGAGTGACTTGCGGTGACTTTACACAGATCCACAGAGCAGGACTCTCAATTCGTGGTGTTCCTCCGGGGAGGTCGGGCAGAAGGCCGAGGCCGGGGGCAGCGAGGCAGCTGCTGATGCTGATGGGGAAGTCGTGGGCGTCCCTCCTGGCTCCCCCTGTCCTCCTGAGCAGATGGAGCCTCCAGTCTGAGCCTTGCCCCCGCCCCCCCCCCACCGTGTCCTTCAGGAAGCCAAGAGGCAATCACTGGGAATCGATGGTGGCTCCCCAACCTCCCAGCCCATGGGCTTCAGCCTGGAATACCAGCAGCCGTTTTTCGAAGACCCGACGGGGGCCGGTGACCTCCTGGATGACGATGAGGACGAGGCCGGGTGGACCGGGGCCTACCTGCCGTCCACTGTGGAGCAGACCTTGTCCTCGCGGGACGTGGCCAGTGCATCGCCCTGCAGCACGTATATCTCCTTCTTCTCCAGCCCCTCGGAGCTAGCGGGCCCCGAGTCCCTGCCCCCGTGGACGCTGAGCGACTCCGACTGTCGTGTCTCTCCCGCGGGGAGCCCCAGCGCAGACTTCGCAGCCCACGGAGAGTCTCTGGGGGACAGGCACCTTCGGACGCTGCAGATAAGCTATGAAGCAGTAAGTGGGGGCTGCGTGCTGGCGCCCCGGGAAAGGCCCATGTCTGAGCGGCATCCCCAGAGAACACCTGGGGCCTCCTGGTGTCCTTGGGACCCAGGTTTTGGCTCCAGAACAAGTCAGTTTCTGGTGCAGCAGCCTGCCATCGCGTCGCCGTGTGGCAGGCTTACCCGGGCTGACCAGCCAACAGAGCCAGTGAAATGTGCGACCCGTGCAGGACCAACCCAGCCATAACAAAGTGGAGGGAGACAGACCCCCTGAGGGCTGCTGCACAGCCACAGGGCCGGTCCGCTCCCGCGGTCGTCGGCTTGGGTGTCTGGCCATGCATTTTGGGTAAATTTTTCCAGATATTACAATGGCCTAAGAGAAGAGTGACATGAGTGAAATCGGGAGTCTGTGACCGTAGGTCCTGGTCGCCTTACACCTGGCATCTCCGCAGGGGGTAGTGGGCTGGCTCCAGAGTGTTTCTGTTCTCCAGGGGGTCCCAGGGTGGGTTGCAGAAGAGCAAACCCGTCTGGAGGAGACACACCGAGGCTCTGACACCGGTCTCCTCCCCTGCAGCTGAAGGACGAGAACTCCAAGCTGAGGAGAAAGCTGACCGAGGTGCAGAGCTTCTCCGAGACGCAGACCGAGATGTAAGCCTCGGGTCAGAGCTGCGGTTGGGAACTCGGGCGCTCACGGCCGTGCGCAGGTGGGAACGTGCCCATCAGCCCGAGTCTGCATTCTGTTCTAGTCCGAGTCGGTCCTTGGAGTCAGACCCTTCTTGTGTCAAAGCGGTCCTTTTCTACTTGGTATTTTGATTATAGAAGGGAGAGGAGAGAAGCACCGATGTGCTGTTGCCCTCGTTGGTTGGTGCCCTCCCTGGTCGCATGCGCCCGACTGGGGGGTGGAACTCATGGCCTCGGCTCACGGGACAGCACTCTAACCGACTGAGCCACCCACTGGGCCCCGGGGTATCTGAGACACTGTCCCAAGTCTGCCACACCGAGGACAGAGCAGTGGGCTGGCAGACACCCTGCGGGGCCTGTGGCTGACACTGGTCCAGACCCTGCAGAGGAGGTCACCTTGCAGCTGCCTTCCTGAATGCGGTTCGTTCCGGATCAGTGGGCCCTTGGGACCTTTGTGGGGGCGATCTGATCGGAGTGCCTGTTAGCAGTGGTCCCAGAATTAGGCCCACGCATTGTTAGTGACGCGGGTGTGTTCTTCAACAAGGGTGAGGACACTTGAGCGGAAATTGGAAGCCAAAATGATCAAGGAGGAAAGTGACTACCATGACCTGGAGTCTGTAGTTCAGCAGGTGGAGCAGAACCTGGAGCTGATGACTGTGAGTACCGGGGTGGCCCCCTGCTGGGGCGGGAGGCGCACTGGGGGTGTGGAGCCTCGGGTGTGTCCCTCAGCTGGACCGCCGCTGCACCCCAGAGGTCCCAGAAGCCGTCAGCGAGCAGGGGCCCTCACAGTGGCCGTAGGATTGTGGGGGGGTGGGCCTGCTGGTGGGGCAGGGCAGGGTGTGGTGAGGGCATGGGTTCACAGGACCGTGTCAGGGGCTATCTGACACCTGTTATCGTCTCTGGTGACAGAAACGTGCAGTGAAGGCCGAAAGTCACGTCATGAAGCTGAAACAGGAAATAAGCTTGCTCCAGGTAACGAGAAGGTCTCAAGTGTCACGTGTTGGGAGGAAGGTCCCCGGGGCTGTGGCCTGCACTCGCACACAAATCTCATTATCGAGCTTAGGTTCCAGGACAGGCCGAGACAAGGGGGAGGCCTGGGGAGCCCCCGTTAGGAAGCAGCCCTGCTGTCGGGGCCAGGCCCCTCCTTCCGAGGCGCCACGTTGGCTTTAGGGGACGCTGCCTGTCTGCTGTGGACGTTCTGAATGGATGGCCGTGCACCCTGCCCCAGGCGCAGGTCTCCAGCTTCCAGCGTGAGAACGAAGCCCTGCGCTCAGGCCAGGGCGCCAGCCTGGCGGTGGTGAAGCAGAACACGGACGTGGCCCTGCAGAACCTCCGCATGGTCATGAGCAGTGCGCACGCCTCCATAAAGTGAGTGTCGGTCGCGGGGCAGGGAAGGGCTCTGTGCACACCGAGTTTCAGACTGTGAGCCGGCTGCCGCCGCCTCTGGTGGCAGAGCTCAGGACCGGTGCGCCAAGGGTTCTGTGAGCCCTGACGCCACAGAGTTGCACAGGGCCGGCGGCTCAAACCTTCCACACGGTGACGCTTGTCCCGGTGGTGTGGGTGTCAAGGCGCATCCCAGCTCCCCCACTCCCCCCACTTTGAGTTGGCTCCTCCGGGGCCCTGACATGGTGCCCTTGCGGGGAGAGCCCCTGGGAGACAGCAGTGGCGTCTTAGGCCCCACATCTGTGTCCCCCGGCTGGGCACTGCGAGGCAGCAGTGACCACAGCAAAGGTTCTTGAGGGCATGAGGCGCCCGTGCTGCCGACGGCAAGGCGAGGGCCGCTGCGGGGCAGAGCCAGGACCTCGAGTGCCTGGGCCGCCTTTGCTCGGGCCCTCTGTTCTCTCCGATGACGTGAAAACGGTCCGTGACTTCGATGTTCTCGTTTTAGGCAGCTGCTTTCTGGAGCTGAAACGCTGAACCTTGTTGCTGAAATCCTTAAATCTATAGACAGAATTTCTGAAATCGAGGAGGAGGCGGAGTCTTGAGAAGCCTCTAGCTCTGTTTACATTCTGAAATCACTACTGACTGGATTTTGAAATGCCACTGTGTCTTTAAATTTGCACTCTTCTCAGTAAAAACACTTATCACAAGATACCAATTTCGCGACCCAGAACAGTATTGTTCACCAGCTGCCACAAGGAGCGCTCCTCGCGGGGTCGCACCTGCGGCTTCTGCGCAGCGCGTCCTTGGGGAGCTCCCAGCTGCGGGCTCCGTGGCTGGGAGACATCTTTACACGCGCTGCTGGTTTTTTAAAGTTACTGAAAATGGAAACAGCGGTTCTGTGATGTGGGTCTTCTGTCTTGATTCCAGAACATTCGTTGTAAGATAAGTTCAGTTGATCCTCCTTGAGTTTTCAAGCGAAGAAAAACACTATAAATGAGCCAAAGTTCAAATCACCGTCTTGGACAGGGACTTGTGCCTTTTTGCCATCGCAGTGCCTCCCCGGCTCAGCCCAGTGACGCAGCCTTCGTGGCAGGGGAGGGGCCCTGCAGGTGGCGGCCTGAGTGGGGCGCCCCACGTGGTGGACGCTGCTGCTCTGCCTCAGGGACCAAACTCTCGGTACCGGTTCCGAACTGTGAAGCCACCTAGATACACACTTTTTGGGGCCTTTAGGTTTGAAAAAGTGGTTTTGGCCGGACAGTTTGGACACACATTCCACGTGGCCTTTGGTAAAGCTCAGAGCCCAGGAGTCCGGCGGCCACGCAGAGCATCTCTGGGCCGGTTGGCACGAGGCCTCCCCGGCTGCCTTTCCAGCTGCTTCCTGATGTCGGGGCACGCGGTGCCCTCTGCGCCTTCCTGGCTGTCTTCCTGTAGATGTTATTTTCAAAGCAAACTTTTCCTCCCGTTCAGACGGACAGCTTTCTTAATAAACTCTAAAACTCACGTGGCATGTCCCTTTTTTTCTGACTTAGCTGTTATGCTTGGGAGCCAGAAGGCTGTCCCCCGACACCAGGGCCCCAGCCTCGTCCTTGTCCTCATGGGAGATTTGTGCTGACGCATCAGCGTGCAGCCCCTGCCTGCAGAGTCCGGGGTGGCTCAGACAGATGGATTTCGGTCTGTGTTCCAGGAGGCCGTGTGGCTGAGTTTTCAAAAGGTGATTAAACTGTCAGACCTCTGATCCTAACCACGGGGAGAGCCTTCCAGAGACCAGCCTGGAACCCCAGGCCCACCCGTGCTCTGGCTGGTAGAAGCGGGTTCTGCCCGTCTGGGACAACAGGAAGTGCTGGATGTGGTTCCCGTCGGGGTGACTGCACACCTGCTCTGAGAACTGGGGGGGTGCTTGGGGCTGCCCCAGGGGCGGGGGCCTCAGGCAGGGCCTACTGGTGGGGCACATCACTGTTTGGGGCTGGGGAACACTCAACTGGTCACCAGGCTGGGCTGAAACAGGGTGGCCACCCAGTACACCCCTGCCCTCCCGGCTTTTGTGCCCTCTGAATGCTCTGTGCGGCAGAGGGCGGGACGGACACAGGCTTTATTGCACGGTTCTCTTATTTTTTGTGTGTCGTCTGAACTGCTGCCCAGTAACAGCTCTGAACATGTTGCTGACCTCCCACCTCTGCCCCCCGGTTGCTGCCCCGTGGCAGGTTCGCAGCTGTGCCAGCTGCTGCACGGCTCTGCCCTTCTGGTGCTCCCTTTTGGCTGCCCCATGGGAGGGCCTGCCGGCTGCTTTGGGGGCAGCGGTCCTGCTCATGGAGACTTGCCCCCCCCCAGCTCACTTCACCTGCACAGATAACATGGAAACAACAAAACAGGGCATGCAAAATCATGAGATGTTCCATTTATTTTTTTGAGGGGAAGGGTTTTAGATGGGGAAGGGAAGGAGAAAGAGGGAGAGAAACACCAATGTGTGGTTGCCTCTCACACATCCCCCACTGGGGACCTGGCTCGCATCCCAGGCATATGTCCTGACTGGGAATCAAACCGCGGGCCTTTGGTTCCTAGCCCACGCTCAATCCACTGAGCTATACCAGCCAGGGCTTGAAGCATTCCATTTTAAAGAGAAAAAAAAAGACACCCCGCACACACAGTTGGGGCAGTGACCCTGCGGGGCGTGCAGGTGGGCAGAGACCCAGCAGACACTTGGCAGGTTTCCTCACTGGTGTCTCAACCGAAACCCTGGATCCAACTCACAGAGAAGAACGGAGAGCAGGAGGTACCTGCTGGGGTCTCCCGCCGCATGGCTCTTGGTCCCAGCCCTCAAGCTATCCGACCAGGAGGCATGCGCACGCGGGCAGTGCCGGGGGCGGCCGCGCGGGGGCAGTATCCCCTCCCTCCCCGCCTAGGGTCTGTCCCCGGCGTGCCCCGCGCTCGCGGAGGCGGGACTTCCGGTCCGCGGGGCCCCAGTCGCGCGGCTGCCGGAAGCGGGGGGCTGTGGCGGCGGTGCTGTCCTCGGGGAGGGTGTGGTGAGGGCTTGGCTCCTCAGGCCCGGGGCGGGGAGGTAGGAGAGGGTGGCGAGCTTGCGTGCTGCCGGCCCGCGGCCCTGGCTGGCTCCCAGCTGAGTTCCGTCCGTAAGCATTTCAGGTGTAACCCGTCGCTGGGTGCAGGGACGGGGGCTGCCCCAAGGCTGGCTGCTCTGTCCCCGTCGGTCTCCGACGGGAAAGGCCATGCCGAGGGCTGGGACGCTGTTCCTCTCACCTGTTTTTGGCCCCAGGGTCTGGGCTGGGCTTCTCTGGCTGTTTCCCTGCCCCTGTCTTAGTCTCCCGTTTCTCTGCCCAGCCTCCGCCCACTTCCAGATTCCCAGACCAGGGCTCCGGTTCCCTTCGCAGGCGTCCGCGCAGTGTCGTTCGCGACAGGCGCTGTTCTAGCTGCTGGGCCCGGGCAGGACCCACAGCGAACCCTACCCTCTGTGCATCCGGCTGTGGCCAATGGCCTTGTCCACCCGACTGTCACCACTCCCTGCCCTTTTTGCTCTGGGTGACCAGCTCTTTGGAGGTGTGCTTGTGGGAAGGCACCAGGCAGTTGGGCCACGTTGGAGTCCATTTCTCCCTCAGCCTTTGGCAGGCCAGACCCATGCAGGTGGCTCCAGCACCTGATGGTAGAGAGCAGAGTCTGTGGGGCGTGGAGGGTGGCATGGCCCAGCCCAGGCCCTCATGTCTCTAGAAACTGAGTCTGTGCGTTGGCCAGGCTCCTGGCAACTCCTGCAAACCAGCACATGGGGGGGCACCCACACACCGCGGTTTCTAACCTCTGGTGACGTGTTTTGGAGGCAGGTGGAAGCCATGGACGTAGACGCGGAAAGAGAGAAAATAACACAGGAGATAAAAGAGCTGGAAAGGATTTTGGATCCCAGCTCCTCAAGCATCAACGTGGAGGTCTCGGAATCAAGTCTTGACTCGGATTCTGAGGCAGGTAGGCTCCCGGGCTGTGGCCTCCTCCAGGGTGCGGAGTAGCCGCTCTGCCTTCAGTGCCTGTCTGCCACGTGACCCTGCTACTGCGGGGACCCGGCCATCTCCACACCTCGGACGGTGTCCTGCTGTCCCTTCTTCACCTGCCCCAGCCCTGCTGGACTCATGAGTGTCCTGCCCCATGGTGGCTTCCGCATTCCCGCTGTCCTGAGACAGGCCCCCAGGGCTCAGCCAGTCTCACGCCTGGACATCTACCATGCCCGAGCCCCGCCCTCCACCCTCTTCCTTGGGCTCATCCAGACCCCTCCTTCAGGGTCTCCTGCTGTTCAAGCTCACATTCTGCCCACCCCCACACCCTTTGTGCTGCCCCGGGGCCTGAGTGCCCTCACACAACTCCCACTGGAGGCTTGCCTGCTGTCCGGGGTTCCCCGGGGTTCCCCGGGTTTCCCACCTTTTAGGCCAATTTGTCCCGGTTTTTGGCCCCGCCAAGGCCTGGGCGCCTGTCTCCTCCCTGGCCTGTCTCCAAGGTCTCTGTTCTCTGAGTTCCTGGGGTGCTTCATGTGAGGCCCCCGTCTTCTCTTTCTCGCTGGCCCCGCCCCCAGTCCAGCACCAGCCTGTCTGGTCAGTGCAAGCTTCTCTGCCTCCATGTGCTGGGAGGCAAGGCCCAGCCATGCGAGTCTTGCATGGAGGTCTCTCAGCCCTTTGCTCACCTGCACCTGCCCAGCAGGTGGGCCGTGTGCTGCGCCGCTGGCTGGCCCCTCAATGCCAGGGTGTCCCCTCACCAGCCACCTGTTTCTGTCACAGTCACAGTGGTCTGCTTGTGTCCCCACAGATTCGCTGCCTGGCGAGGACTCGGATGCTGCCAGCCCCCCACTCTCGGTAACTACGGGCCAGGCTGGCTGTGCCCCGTGACAGGCAGCCTGCGGGAGGGGGTGTGCTTTGAGTCAGTGTCGGTGTTCCTGCGACACGAAAGCCACGTGTGTGTGTTGTTAGAGATGGCACGTCAGCGTGCTCACCATTGAAACCGAGTGACTCCTGTCGCTGGGCTGGGGCTCCTCCCGCCTCGCTTGCCCGAGGTCGCGTGTGTCTCGACGTGGCGCCACACTCAGAGTGCAGTCGGAGGCCGCCCTCACCTCTGTGCCTCGCTCGCGCAGTCTGTACATGGTGCTTAGGACAACTCTTGGCCGGAAGTCACCCCGGCCAGTGACCGTTAACTGTTTCCTGATTACTTTGGGGTTTTCTGTAACTTGCGAGAATTTCCATAGATTTCTTTAGTTTCTCCGCCTCCCATCTGCAGGGCCGGCAGCCCTGCTGTGGGCCGACTGCAGCTGCACAGACACACAGCCTTCCGATGAGTGTGGCTCATTCCCACTTTCTGGTTCTGGGTGCGCTGCAGCTAGCTGTCACCTGCCAATGACGGAAGTCCCACGGGCGTGTCACAGAGTCCAATTTTTACAGAAGCGCCCGTTGTAAAAAGTGAAACTGCTCATTTCCTCATGCCTCCCCACCCCAATTCCTAGAAATTGAGTCTCTCCGTTTTCGATGAGGGAAAGGGTACACTCTGTGGAATTCCGCATCTCGCCGTGGGTGGTCTCGCTGGTATAGAGGCTGTGCCGCAGGCTCAAAGGCTGGCCGCACCACCAGGGCCCTGAGGACGGGGAGCGTTTGTGTGCCCCACTTCCTCACCTGCAGCCTGCCACGTGTGACCAGGAAGAAGAAAGGTGGGGTGGAGCCAGCAATGAGGAGGACGACCCCAAGGAGAAGGTGCTCCCCGAAGACCCAGAGACGTGCTTGCAGCTGAACATGGTCTACCAGGAGGTCATCCAGGAGAAGCTGGCGGAGGTCAGCCTGCTGCTGGCCCAGAACCGGGAACAGCAGGTAGGACGGGGTCCTGCCCCAAGGACCCCCACGGCCAGGCCTCCTGGGGCCGGGTCCCTTCTCCACAAGGAGAGTCTGCCCGGCCCACAGGGCCCCCTTGTGTCCACAGGAAGAAGTCATGTGGGACCTGGCAGGATCCAAAGGCCCCAAGGTGAAGGATGGCAAGAGCCTGCCCCTGAACCTGTACATCGGGCACTTCCTGAAGCCCTACTTCAAGGACAAGGTCACCGGAGTGGTGAGTCTCGGGGCAGGCAGGCTCGGGGAGGGCTCATGTCCCCACAGCCTGCTGTCAGAACCTCTCTCGGTCTTCGGGGTAATATTCTCCGACACCCCCAAACTCTCTCGGACCCCGTGGTGGAAGTTAAGCTCTCCACCACTGGAACAGGGCCAGCTGACTTCCACTGCACAGATGGGCCCCGGGACATGGGCGCATGTCCTCTCGAGGTGGCGTGGGTGCCAGCTTGGCAGCCTTGTCCGGCCCTGACGGTGCCGGGCCTGCGCTGCCAACGGCAGCCGCCCCTCCTCGTCAACCTCTGCCAGGTGGGCGGTGCCCCAGCAGCCACTCTGGGTCCAGGTGGCCAGGCCACTCGGGAGGCTGAGGGGAGGGTCCTGAGTCTACCCTGGCCCTCTGGTGACGCCGAGTCCTCTGACAGGGGCCTCCTGCCAACGAGGACGCGAGGGAGAAGGCCGCCCAGGGCATCAAGACCTTCTCGGAGCTCCTGGTGACCAAATGTAAGGGCTGTGCTCGGCACCGCGGAGGCCCCCCGCCGCTCTCCCCGGGCGTGTGCCGGTCCCCACAGCCCCCTCCCAGGCCTCAGCTGCTGGGACGCCCCCCCATGCGGAGCGCAGTCCGCCACGGGCCCAAAGGGGTTGTTTGCTCTCCGTTTCCTCTGACTTTGCTTGGAAGTTGGAGTTCATGGCGGGTGAGGGTCCCGGGGCCACTGGCCCGTGTGCCCCCTGCCCAGCTGCCATCTGTCCTCAGGGAAGAGCTGGGAGAAGGCCTTGCTCAGGAAGTCGGTGGTGAGCGACCGCCTGCAGCGCCTGCTTCAGCCCAAGTTCCTGAAGTGAGTCTGAGTCTGGGGTGGCCGCAGAGGCGGCCTTCCGTTGGCACCTGGGCTGGCAGAGGCTCGGTGCGCCCCCTCTTTCCTGCCAGGTCCCCTGCTGCAGTGGGAGGGCGGGTCCCCGAACTGTGTCTGAGGGGGCAGCGGCACAGAGGTCCCGTGTGTCACAGGGTTGGCCCGTCTGCCACGTTCAGTGGTCCGACTGCATCAGTCTCTCCGGCCACAGCGCCTGTGGTCGGCCAGGGTTCCCAGCAGCCACCACTGCCCTGTGCTGGATGTCGGTGTCAGGGTTTGGCACAGGGGTGGGCGGGCCCCGGCCCTCCTCGGGCTGCGGGAGAGGTGGGTCTTCTCCGAGCTGCGCTGGAAGTGGGCAAGTGTGGGCTTTAGGCCCAGCCTTGTCACTGGGCACAAGGGAGAAGACGTCAGTGATGGCCGGAGGGAGTGTCCCAAGTCCCATGTGGGCAAAGAAGCTAAGGCTGCTCCGGGAGGCAAGCTCGTCCTCGGGGTCGGGGTCCAAGCAAGGCTCCCGGTCGGTGCCCTTGCCGCTGTGCTGGCGCTGTGACCCGCGCCGTGTGGGCTCAGCATCTGTGGAAAGGCCGGCCGACCCCAGGGCCCCCCACAGGTCACCCCGGCACCTCTGCCCTGCCCACAGGCTTGAGTACCTGCAGCAGAAACAGAGCCGGGCCTCGAGTGTGGCGGAGAAGCGGGTCCTGGAGACGCAGATACGGGAGGCGGAGAAGGAGATCCAGGACATCAAGTGAGCGGGGGACGCCCGGGGAGGGTGGTCGGGCTCGGGGGCGGGGCAGCCTGACCAGCGCCCTTGCCGCTGCAGCCAGCTCCAGGAGGCGGCCTTGCTGGGGAGCAGACTGGACAGCCACGACTGGGAGAAGATCTCCAACGTCAACGTGAGTCGGGCGCGCTCCGCGGCCGCCAGACCCTCCCCGACCCCTGCGGTGTGGCGCGTGTCCAGCCCTGGCCAGCAGCCTCGTGGGCCTCCCTGCTGGTTCGGGGCCTTGCAGAGAGGGCGGTGGCAGAGGAGGCCCGGCACTCAGAGCCCCGCCCGGGGGCTTGGCTGCACGTGTCCTGACACCCGGACAAAGCTGCTGCACCCCTGCGGGCCCGCTGCTGGCCGCCAGTGACAGTGCTCTCCGTGCAGTTTGAAGGCGGCCGCAGCGCAGAGGAGATCCGGAAGTTCTGGCAGAACTGGGAGCACCCCAGCATCAATAAGCAGGAGTGGACTGGGCAGGAGGTGGAGCAGCTGAAGGCCGTCGCGGCCAGGCACGGCCACCTGCACTGGCAGAAGATCGCCGAGGAGCTGGGGGTAAGGCTCGGGCCTGCAGCGCCCCAGGGCACGGGCCCCAGGGTGGCTTTGGGGACCTCACGGGCTTCGGGTCTCACCACAGCGGGGACCTGTGGCCTGGAGCCTTCAGGATCTTGTCTGGCTGCTTTCGAGTGTGTGGCCCTCAGGCAGGGTGACCCCTCCATGCTTCTCAGGCCCCAGGGCCCCCTGAGGGTGCGCATGCCTTCCACGTGCGGGTCCTCGAGGCCAGTCAGAGTCCCGCCCGGCGCCGTCCCTTCCTGTCCCTGTCCTTCCTTCCCTCCGCGCCCATTGAGCTCAGGGGAGCTTATTTTGGGGGTATTTGAAAAGCTTTTTCTAGCTTCTGTTGGGTTCTTCGTTGCCGTTCGCTTTCCCTGAGGCGAGAACTGAGCTCTCAGCCTCTGGCCCAGACAGCACTGGCGTTGGAGGCCGCTTCTCTGACGGCAGCTGGGTGGGAGACGGTCTCTTCCTGAATTTCTCCTAAGCTCAGACTCACCGCCTCTTGAGACCTTAGCTCGTGTAGGAGTGCGTTCTTGCTTTCAAGTAGTTGGGTTTCTCGGACTCTTTCTTGCTCTTTAGTTTGAATTTTACTGACTTGAGACCTGAGAATGTGGTCTGTGACACCGGTTTTTCCACCTGTCACTCTCGTGGCTGAGCACCAGGCTGCAGCGCACCCGGGTGACCTCCCCGGGCCGCACACAGACGCGCGCGGCCTGCTCTGGGCCCCTGGGAGGCCGCAGCAGAGCCGCCGCTGGCGTGTCTGCCGTGTCGCTGAATCTGGGCGGGGAGCTCAGTGCTCAGGTGGCTGGCGGTGGTGTGGCTCGGCCCGCACCTGGCTGCGGTGGAAAGGTGTTTTCTCCTGCGGTTTGGTGCACGATTTACAGTTTTGTTAATGTGGCAAATCACCCTTTAAAGTTATTCTACGTGTTCGTTCTATTAGTTTTGTTGTTGAAAGCTGTTCTTTAAGACTTCATTTACTTATTTAGTTTTAGACCGGGGTAAGCGAGGGAGAAAGAGAGAAAGAGGGAAACAGTGTGTGGTTGCTTCTTGTGCGCCCCCCACTGGGGACTCGGCCCACAACCCAGGCCTGTACCGTGACTAGGAATCGAACCGGCGACCCTTGGGTCCACAGGCTGGTGCTCAGTCCACTGAGCTTCACCAGCCAGGGCAGGTTTGCTTTTAAACCAAAGACGGACCCGCACTGACACAACACCGTCACCTGTGGGCATCAGGGTCACTGTGGCACTGTGCGCTCTGTGTGTTTGGACAAAGGTCTGATGACCTGTGTCCACTCTCGTCCCTGTACCCACTGCCGAGCCTTTCCCGGGACGTCTCCAAGCTGCAGTCACGCATGGCGTGGCCTCGTCAGTTGGCTTCTGTCACTTAGTCACACGCACATCAGGTTCCTCGGGGTCTCCTTGTGGCCACCAGTGCGTGTCTTTTCCGTGCTGAGCGACATCCCACTGGCTGAATGGACCCTGTTTGCCACCCACCACACGTGGAAGGGCGTCCTGGTGGCGTCTGGGGTCCATCTGTTATGCACGGAGCTGCCGTGACCGCACGGGTGCAGGTCTCCCACGTGGACGTGAGTGCGGTTTCTCTGGGCAAACACCACAGAGCACGGCGGCCGGGTCGCATGGCCGGAGCACAGTCGGCTCTGTAGGAGGCCGCCAGACCGTCCTCCGAAGTGGCTGCCCCGCCTGCATCCTGAGGAGCCGGGCCAGGCCCCTGCTGCGCCCCGAGCGCCAGTGCCAGTGGGGGCGGCGCTCTGGGGCAGCCGTGCGGGCGGCGGGCGGCAGTGCCCACTGCTGTAACGTGCGCAGCCCTCGCCACACGACGCGGAGCCTCTCGTGCGCTTGCTCGTCGTCCACACAGCGTCTCTTGTGAGGCGTCTGGGGTCACTGGGCCGTTTCCAAGGCAGGTGGCTTCGTACCGTTGAGTGTTAAGATGCTCGTACGTCTGGGCGGTGGCCCTTTGCGGACACCTCCTCCCAGTCCGAGGGCTGCCTCCAGCTCTCGGCACTGTGGTGCAGCCTGGCTCGTCAGCTCTTGCTCTTGCTCTTGGGGCCGGGCCTCTGGCATCGGTGTGAGAAGGCGGCCAGTCCTAGCGAGCAGCTGGCGGGCACCCGAGCTGCAGCCGCCCTGCCGGCCACGAGGCCCGGGGTGCGTGTGCCAGGCGGGCAGGGCTGGACGGTTCCTCGAGTGCTGGAGGCCGAGTGTGGTCTCGGCGTCACATAACTGAGGGTGGTTGTGACTCCTTCTGAGCGACTTTCTGTGTACGTCTGTCTCCATCGTGGGGTGCGCTGGCTGTCCCCATCAGTGCATGGGCGCCTGCGACCCACCTGTGCCCTGGACGCCCCTGTGCGTGCGAGCGGGCACCCAGTGACAGCGTTCGCTTTGGTTTTGGAAGACCAGCCGCAGCGCCTTCCAGTGCCTGCAGAAGTACCAGCAGCACAGCAAGGCCCTGCGGCGCAGGGAGTGGACGGAGGAGGAGGACCGCATGCTGACCCAGCTGGTGCAGGAGATGCGTGTGGGCAGCCACATCCCCTACCGCAGGAGTGAGTCCTGGCGCCCTCGGCCCGAGCCCCTACTGCACGAGGTCAGGGGTGGGCTGGGCAGTTCCTGAGTGGGGTGGGCTGGAGGAAGAAGGGTGGGGCCTGTTGGCCCGGGTCCCGGCCCCATCCTCCGAAGTTAGAACCGGCCCTTCCTGGGTGAGCCAGGGGTGCTGGGCTCACCAGGCTCCTCCGCCCCCAGTTGTCTACTACATGGAAGGGAGAGACTCCATGCAGCTCACCTACCGCTGGACCAAGAGCTTGGACCCCAGCCTCCGAAAGGGCCTCTGGGCCCCCGAGGAAGACGCGGTGGGTACGGGGACCTGGGAGAACCGTCTGTTCCTGGGAAGTGCACCCGGACCCCTGGGCGGGCCCGCGCCGTCCCCTTACATAGACTGAGTTACAGGTGGGGGGTCGCTGTCTCTGTGTCCCTTCCTGCAGAAGTTGCTTCAAGCAGTTGCCAAATATGGGGAGCAGGACTGGTTTAAAATCCGGGAAGAGGTGCCTGGGAGGAGCGATGCCCAGTGCCGAGACCGGTGAGTCACCGCCCCCTCCTCCTTCACCGGATTAGTTTGCACAAGGACCGGAACTCCAGGTGTCAGTGCCCTGGGGGGGTGTGGCGCTCAGGGAGGCAGCCCGGGGGCGTCTGTCAAAGTCCAGGTCATCTCTGTTTCTGGGGGGCTCGCCTGTACTTTTGATGCCATACCGTGGACAGAAGGGGACAGCCAGCCGTTCTAGCATCAGAAATGCACATCTGATAAAGTGCTTCTCAGATAAGGTCAAGTTCAAGCAGTTCGTCATCACCAAGCCTTTATTATATGAAATGTTAAAGGGACTTATCTAAGAAAAAGAAGGTAAAAAAATACATACAGTAAAAAGGCAGCAAACTCGTAATTATTAACAATCACACCTAAAACAAAAACAAACTAAGCAAACAACAGAACAGGAACAGAACCACAGAAATGGAGATCACACGGAGGGTTAGCATCAGGGGAGTGGGGGGAGGAGAAGGGGGGGAAGGTACAGAGAATGAGTAGCGTAGACGGTGGGGAGAAAATAGACAGGGGGAGGGCAAGAATAGTAGGGGAAATACAAAAGCTAAAGAACTATGACACATGGACATGAACTAAAGGGGGGGAATGTGGGGGGAGTGGGTGTGCAGGGTGGAGGGGAAGGAAGGGGGGAAAATGGGACAACTAATAGTATCATCAATAAAATATATTTTTTAAAAAGTGCATCTGAGCTCCAGCCTGGAAGCTCAGTGGATAGAGTGTCGTCCCCACGTGTCAAAGTTGCAGGTTCAATCCCCGTCAGGGCACATGTAAGAGTCAACCAGTGAAGCATCAATAAGTGTGCCAACAAGTGTGCTCACTCTCTCTCTTTCAAAAAATAACAATGTCTGTTTGTTTTCACATCATTTTCAGATATCTCAGAAAGTTACATTTCAGCTTGAAAAAGGGACGATGGAATTCAAAAGAAGAGGAGAAGCTAATTGAGTTAATAGAGAAACACGGTGTCGGTAAGTTGTTACCGGGGCGGCCACACAGGGCTGCCCCCCAAGTGCCGCACCCTTGCAAGGCGCCGTCTCTGGGCGGGTAGCAGGGTCTTCCCTGGTGCCGACTGACCTGCGCTCCTGGGGGAGACTCAGAAGCGGAGGGGGAGGAGGGGAGGGAGGGAAGGTCATCAAATGTGCTCTGCTCGGAGCTGACGGCCTTGCTGTCCGTGCAGGTTGCTTTTCTTGGGGAGGCTGCTTTTTATTTTTATTTTTTAAAGATTTTATTCATTTACTTTTAGAGAAAGGGGGGAGGGAGAAAGAGGAAGAGAAACAACGATGTATGAGACATGCATCGATTAGTTGGTTGCCCCCCCTACTGGGGACCTGGCCGGCAACCCAGGCATGTGCCGGGACTGGGACTCGAACTGGCGGCCCTTTGGTTTGCAGGCCGACGCTCAGTCCCCTGAGCCTCACCAGCCAGGGCATGGCTGCTTTTTACATTGAATCACTTGGGTGATTGAACTGAGCTCTTTTAACTTGGTGCCGAAGCTCGTCAGACTCAGGAGCAGGAACCTCACGCCGAGGGGGCGGCTCCTGGCTTCTGGGGAGGCAACGCCTCTCGCAGCAGGGCCTTTCCCAGGCTGGAGAGCTCGTGCCATCGAAGAGGGTGAAGCGGCCTCTGTGTGGTTTTGCTTTGTAGGTCACTGGGCAAAAATAGCTTCTGAACTCCCGCACCGGACAGGCTCTCAGTGTCTGAGCAAGTGGAAAGTCATGGTCAGGGTGAGGCCTCCCTGGACGTCCATCAAGGCACTGCCTGTGTGTGGTGGGATGAGGGATCAGGGCGGAGAGGAGAGGGCGCCCCCTCGGGTAGGCGAGGGGCAGAGAGATGGGCCTGGGGGCCGCAGCCCTGCCCAGAGCGGGCGGGAGAACGAGCCTCTTGCCGGGCAGGACCACGCTCTGCCCCGGCGGTGCCCGTGTGCCCCACAGCCCAGCCAGGCCGCCAAGGCCTCCAGCAGTCCTTTCTCCGCAGAAGAGGCGGCGGCAGGGCAGGAGGCGGCGGCGGCGGCGCCTTCGCAGTGTGCGGTGGAGCTCCACCAGTGAGGACAGCAGCAGCCAGGACAGCGGGGACAGCAGCAGCGAGGACAGTGGGGACAGTGAGGACAGCAAGGACATTGGCAACTTGGAGCGGGAGGAAATGCCAGATGTCCAGGAGGACGGCCAGGCACCGCCATCAGCACTGCACACCGTGCCGGACATGGCCCTGTGGGTCCCTGCCAGGCAGGGTGGCCGCGGCCCGAGAGCGGCAGGGGCAGGGGGCCGCCCCGGACGCTTGGCTGCCTTGCCCAGCCCTCTCAAGGTGCCCGATGTGGCCCGAGGTGGGGCCAGGAACACGGAGCAGGCAGGCCGGGCACAGGCCCTGTCCGGGACCCACAGCACGAACGGCCCAGGAGGCACCGGGCACCCACGCTGTGCAGACTTGGCCCCGGCGAGCTCCAAGGGGTCCACAGACGAGGTGGGCATGGCCCCGGGGCACCCGACCCTGGCAGGCGGGGGAAGGGGCTGGACGCTGCTGCTCGCAGCCACCAAGGCCAGCCCTCAGGACAGGGGCTGGCCTGACCTGGTGCCAGCTTGTCTGGGGGGGATGGAGCAGCAGCCCACCCACACCCCCACACCCCCACCCCCACCCCCACCCCCCGGTTGCTGGTCGCTGCTCCTTCCGCACTCGCTCCTGGCCCACCCGCATCGGGGCCCAGGGTGGCAGCCCCATCCTCCGGCTCGTCTGCCGAGACAGCCTCGTGGGGAGAGCTGCTGAGGGCACTTGGCCCTGTGCCCTTTCTGAGGCATTTCTGCCGAGCAGGCAGGGGCAGGAAGGGAGAGGAGGGGCAGCAGCCCCAGCCTGGGCGAGGAGGTGGGCTTGCTGGCTTGGCTCCGCACCCTGCAGCCCTGCCCTCTGTTCTCAGGGCAGGCAGCGTGTGCCGAAGGAATCCCTGGAGACCGTACTGCAGGCGCTCAGGGCCAGCACAGCCACCCGGTGCCGGACACCGGTGAGGGCCTGCTTTGTCCGCCGTCCGCCCACCTCGCCCTCCTGCCCCGGCCGTGCACACCACCACCCCTCCCCACTCCCGTCCTGGTCGGGCACCCCGTTCTGCACCCCGTTCCCACACACGGGGGTGGGGGGCGGGGCAGTGAGGGCAGGGCTCATGATGTGCCTTCCCCACAGGAGGAGAGGCTGAAGCAGCCGTGCCTGTTGGGTTCGCCCCAGGGGACCGCCCCTGGTGGCAGCATCACGGCCAGGCCCCGTGTGCAGGGGCTGTGGCGGCGGCGGCACCGGGGACACGCCCTACAGAGGAGGCTCCTCGAGCGCCGGCTGCTGATGGCCGTGAGCCCGTGGGTGGGTGACGTCGCCCCGCCCTGCACTCCCCGGAGGTCCTCCGTGAGCACCCGAGGTACTGCCCTGGGGCCCCAAAGCCCGCTGTGGAGACACGGGTTGACCAGCTGACACGTGCTTGCTCCTCTAGAAGGGCATCTGCTGGAGGGTGGGCGTTGGGTTTAGCCCCTGTTGTCCTACTTGGCACACAGTGGTCAGTTTGGGAAGTGAGCCGATACCTGGGTTTCAGCAGGGCACCTTCCTGGGCGCTCGTTCAGGGGAGTGCCGGTCCCCGGAGGCAGAGCGGAGGGTCTGTCCATGCCAGCCTATCCTCTGGCCCTGGCCTCCTGGGTCGAGCATGGTGGCAGCTGGATTTGAGATTCTTCGGGGCTCCCTGCCTGGCACTCAGTTTCCAGATCTCTCAGGCCTCCGGGAGAGAGATGTGGTCACTGGGGCCAGTGTGCACCATGCCCTTGTCCCCACAGCTGACAGCATCCAGGCACAGCTGCAGAACGCCCGCCTGGCCAGCACCCCAGTGTTCACCCTCTTTATTCAGGTGAGGCTCCTCTGCCAAACTCGAGCCCCTTGTGGGTCTGCGAGTTGGGGGGGGGGGTGCCTTGCCACAGTGCGGGGTCCTTGAAAACAGTCTCAGTAGCTGACAACTCCTAGTGGCAGTGTCCCTGCCCCGGTCTGCAAACCCTGGTCCTGGAAGGGGCGGGGCTGGTGAGGCCTGGGGCCTCCTGGCAGCTGACTCGGTGAGGTGGGAACTCTGTCCTGAGGGTCCGCGTGGGGCCGGGAAGGCTGTGGAGCTGTGCTGGGCTCCAGCCTGCACTTCAGACCCACTGCTGAGATGGTCTGTGCTCAGGGCCGGCCCAAGGCCCACTGCACACCTGTGTCATCTTGGCCCTTGAAGGGCTGCGGGGCGGGGCGGGGGCAGCCTCAGAGCAGGGAAGGGCCTGGTGTCACCTGTTTTATCATGCATATGTCACACGTGTTCCCCATGCGTCCTTCAGCTCTTCCAGATCGACACCACCGGCTGCATGGAGGTCGTTCGAGAGAGGAGGGCCCAGCTGCCCACCCTGCCGAGGGTGGGCGCTCAGGTGAGAAGCAGGGGTGAGAGCCAGGCATGGGCTGGCCCGGTGCCGGCCACCCTTCCCTCCCATCTCCCAGGCAGTGCTGAGTGTAGGTGGCGGCGGCCCAGACAGGAAGTAAGGCACGCCAGCTCTTTCCAGGGAAAAGAGGATTCCCGGGCCAGGCTCAGGAGGGGCCTGCTACCGCCTGGGGAGGTTGGGAGCTCCGAGGGCTCACAGGCGAGCCCTGGGGCCGAGACACCTCACACCCTGGCCGCCAGCTCCCAGCACCCCGAGGCTCTGACCCTCCCCTGCTGGGTGGAGACGCTTGGTGCAGGTGGCTGAGCCTGTGAGGTCCGTCCCCAAAGGGCTGTGTCCTGAGCCTGGTCACTGGAGGAGACCACAGAAAGGTCCGAGCACTAAATGTGGCCCAAGGCGCCCCGTCCAGGCCCCAGGGCCGTGCCCCCTCACGCTGCCTCCCCTGCAGACCAGCCCAGACCCATCAGGCAGAGTGCTCCCAGCTCACCTGTGGGTGGAGCTGCCTCCAGAGAGGGGTCTGGGGCCTGGAGCGGGCAGAGCCACGCCTCTGAGTCGCATGCAGGGCTGGTTCGGGGGGTCAGGCCTCGCCCCTGAGTGGACGGGGGGTGAGCCGTGGTCTTGGCGGCAGTGGTGGGAAAGGGCTCCGGGCCCGGCCTCTCCCTGAGGCGCTGACTCCCTCCCTTCCTTTCCAGGCCCCCTCGAGCGCCCAGGACCCCCCAGGTACTGCCTCTCCCTTCCTCTCGGCCGTTTTGTCCAGTGGGGAGAGGCCAGACCTGTCCCCGACTGGGAGTCCCACAAGAGGAACAAGAGCCCGGCTGGCCTGGGCTGGGGGTGGGGGTGCCAGTCCCTGGGGCTCCTCTGTGAGCACAGCAGGGGACAGGGGAGCCCGGGGCCTCCCTAGCACAGGCCTGGCGGCAGGGCCTCTTCCGGGTCGGCCCCAGTCTGCCCTCACCCAGAATCCTGCCTGAGTCCTGAGGGGTGGTGGGTGGGCGATCGGCGTGAAGCTGTTCAAGGTTTAGGGAACAGATGAGCCCCCGGGCCTGAATGCCCGGCTCCTGCTCCCACACCCCGGCAGCCACCCTGCAGAGGCCTCCCTAAGGGAGTCGGGGCCAGCTGCCTAGGGCCCAGTACCTGGCCCTCACCGGTATGTGCTGTCCTCCCTCAGGCCGCCTCCCGAGCAGCGGGCCAGCCCGAGAAGCTGCCAAGAAGAGCGCTGGCCACGGAGGGAGTGGGGGGCTGCAGACATGCCGGGCCGAGTCCGCGTCTCAGGCGCCCCCGTCAGCCCCAAGCGGCCCCCGGCCCAAGCCCAAGACTGTGTCTGAGCTGCTTCGGGAGAAGCGGCTGCGGGAGGCCCGAGCTAGCAAGGCTGCCCAGGGCCCCGTGGTCCTCCCGCCCCAGCTGCTGGTCTCCTCGCCTGTGGTCCTCCAGGCCCATCTGCCGCTGGCCTCCCAGGGCCCCCCAGCCCCAGCTGTTGCCAACTCTGTGCTGTCTGAGCCTGGGGCTCCTGCAGCGGCCAGTCTGAGTCCTTCAGGCTCCCGGGCCTCAGCCTCGGACAAGGGGCTGCCTGTCCTGCAACCCACGGCCTCTGCTGCTGTCTCCTTGGAGGATGCGAAGGTCACAGCCACCTCCAGGGCCCCCCATCTGGGTTCCAGCCTGGCCCCTGTGAACGGTCTCGGACAATCTCAGGCCCCTGCCACGTCCAGGAAGCAGGGCCTGCCTGAGGCGCTGCCCTTTCTGCCTGCAGCCCCCAGCCCCATTCAACTGCCCATCCAGCCCCTCAGCCTGATGCCAGCTCTAGGAGCCCACAGGGGTGGACCCCAGGTGGCAGCCAGCACCCCTCTGCCTGTCACCTGGGTGCTCACGGCCCAGGGGCTGCTCTCTGTGCCAGTGCCATCCCTTGTGGGCCTTCCTGGGCCAGCAGGGACCTCTGACCCCAAAGGGCTGCCAGCTCCATCACTCTTGTTGACTGAGACTCGGGCAGGCCAGTGCCCCACCGACATGGACAGAGAGTCAGCCCCTCCCTCCAAGACAGACCTCACCACCCTTCTGCCACCCCAGATCTCTGCTGAAGTGGATGGTGACGTGGCCCGTGCTCCTGAGGGACACTCTTCCTCTGGAGAAGTGGGCGTGGCTGGCGACACAGCCGCACAGGCTGCGGTCCTGGCCAGTCCCCCTGGGGCGGAGGCTCCCTGCGCCAGCCAGCTGCCTCTGCACGGTGGAGCTGGCCTGGGGGGGACACTGGCGTCTCCATCAGAGCCCGGAGAGACCGGGGCGCCTGTGGGCTTAGAGAGGCCCCCCGCAGCCCAGCCCGGGCCTGAGAAGGGGGGCCTGCAGCTAGGCCTCCTCTCCCAGGAGAGTGAGGTAGCTGTGCGGGAGTGGCTGGGGGGGCTGCGAGGGGTATGTGTGCCCCCGCTGCGCAGCAGGCTGCCCTACCAGCCGCCCGCCCTGTGCAACCTGCGGGCGCTGTCCCACCTCCTGCTCCACAAGCAGGCCCTGGAGCACAGAGCCGCCTCCCTGGGGCCCGGCGGGGTGCAGGCCTCGCTGGGACGCGTGCGGAGGCAGCTGCAGGGCAGCCCGGCCTACCTGCTGCTGAAGGCCCGCTTCCTGGCAGCCTTCACCCTGCCCGCACTCCTGGCCACCCTGTCTCCACCCGGCGTGCCCACCACGCTGTCGGCGGCCGCGAGGGCCGACTCTGAGAGCGAGGACCAGGACCCGGAGGAGCTGGAGTCCATCGGCAGCTGTGGTCCCCTGGCTGGGCCAGCGGCCACAGCCCCTGTCCAGGCAGGTGGCCCCAGGCACAGTGCCTTTCCCCTGTCCCTGCGCCCCCTGTGGTGCCCCCGTCTGCCTGCATGTGGCCTGCCCAGAGGTGGGGTGGGGGTGGGAACAGCACAGGTGGAAGTGGCGGCCTGAGCGGCGGCTGGTTTCCCAAGAGGGGAAGCCGGCTGCCAGCCTGTCGGCTGCGTGTAACCCGTGTGCAGAAGGCGCCTCCCCTGTGGCCACTGCGGCCACCGGGAGGAAGGAACCTCGCTTCTGACTTGGGGGGACCCTCGCCCCTCCTGGGGCTTCCAGCCCCGTGCTCGGTCTGAGGGAGAACATACTCTGGGACTCCGTGCCCCCCACGCACACACACCCCACTCCTGGGTGGCTTCATGTCTGCCCCTGCACTTCTGTGCCACTGAGCCCCTCGGGGCCGGCTCTGCCTCCATCCACCTCAGCAGGGCACTCTGAGCCGTGGGGCAAAGCTGTGTCCGTGTCTCCGTGAGAAACCGGATAGAAATGGAGGGGGCAGGGTCTCGGTCCTTCATGGCTGGGGGCACCCTGGACTCTCCAGCAAGGCCTCCCCCACCTCCGTCCCCGTTGTCTGGGGCCGAGCAGGACACCTGGGCCGCTTCAGACTCTGGCCGGTCAGGGAGGCCACCCGGGGTCTTCACAGGTGTATCCCAGCAGCCAGTGCAGTCTCACCTGCCCCACACGGAGCGGCATGGCCCCAGGCTAGAGGACACCTGGGAGGTGGGGGTGTGGCCAAGGGCTGTGCCACCCTCCCTACAGGCGGGGTCCAGTCTGGGCTGCTGGGGACATCACCTCCCTCTCCACGGGCCTCGCCAGGGGGTCCCAGGGCCGACCAGCAGTGGCGACACAGCTGGACCCCAGATGGGAGACTCCTGTGTGCAGCCTCTCCACTTACCATGTGTCCTCGGTCACTATCCTGCTGACCTGACTGGCCCAGGACTCGGGCTGGCACCTGGGGCTTCCAAAGGGCTTGGGGTTTACAGGGGAGGCAGGAGGTTGCCCGAGCCCATGCGTGGCCCCTCCTGTTCCTTGTCTGGCCCCTGCGTGGGGTCACCAGGCCCAGCCTGCGGTGGCTTGGCTGCTGGGCCTCAGTGCAGGTTGGGAGCCACCTGTCCCGGGGCTGGGGTTTGGTGTCCACAGGTCCCTAGGCCTGACCCTCGTGCTCCTCACCGCCCCTGACCCTGCCATCCTGGAGGGTCACTCTTGTCCCCCCACCCGGACTTTGTTTCAGGGGGCCCCAGGCCCTGGTGAGGGCTCCGCCCCCTCCCACCCAGACTGCTGTGAGGACTTGGACGTGCTCAGGACGAGGCACGGGCAGCACGTCCGGAAGCGGAGGAGGCTGCTGTGAGCAGCAGGTGCGTGGGAGTGGCTGTGGCTGGGCCGGCTGGGGGCCTGGAGCCTGGGGGCTCAGAGGAGGTGTCATGGTGCCCAGCAGGTGTGCCCACAGGCTGGAAGGCTCCTGGGTGGAGGGCCGCCAACTCAGCTTCCGCACCCGGTGTCCGGCCCTTCCTCCCTGCTGCCCCTCTGCCCTGCGCCCTTCTCCCTGCCGCCCGCTTGATGGGCAGCTCCTCAGAGAGGCTCCCTGGCTCCCTCCCGAGGAGACACCGCTTGTCCGTCCTGGTGTCCGTCTGTCTCGGGACACATGCCCCCGCCCCGTGCATTCTCTACCCCGTGAATATGAACCCGTGAGGGCAGGCACAAGGCTCTTTGCTGCTGGGTCCCCGGGGTCAGACTGCAGGTGCTGGGGAGGTTCTGGGCACCAACTGTCATCATGACCCCAAGACCTGAGTGGCTAGTAAGTCCCCAAAGGCAGGAGGCTTCTCTGAGCAGCGTGGACTGCGAGGCTGCAGGTCCTGGAGGGTGGACTGGGGAGAGGTGAGCGCTCTGGGGGTGCCCGTTGTGGCAGCCCACCCTCTGGCTCACGTGCTGCTCGGGTGTGTGGCTGGGGTCATTGGACTGGGCTTGTGTTCCAGGGCCACCCGGAGCCTGCCGCTGTTGCCACTGTTGCTGCCACCAGGAGACAGGGCCCTGCTGGACCAGCGGGCCACCCCCCACCCCACAGGAGACGGTGGCCAGGGCCAGGGTTCTGCCAACAGTGACCATGCTGTCGGGGCTCAGCTGCTCCCCAAGTACAAATTGGAATATTTCAAAGAATTAATAAATGCATTATTTTTTTATTAAAAAGCAAACCACTGGATCTTGTGGTCTCACCCAGACTCACGGGGCAGCAAGTGGGGGATCCGGCCTCCCCTGGCCGTGCTGGCAGCTGGCCGGCTGGGCCCTGGGGTCCTTGGAGCCCCTGCACCCTGGCCTCTGCAGAGGGGCGGGTAAAGGAGCAGAAGCTTTTTCACAAGAAGCACTGTGGCTGCCAGCCAGCCCTCTGGGTGCCACCTCGGACAAGGGGACCCACTTCCTCTGCCTTCTGGACCACACAGGCCGACCAGGCGGCCCCACGAGGCACTCCTTCCCTTTGGGCAGCTGCATTAGCAGAAGACCGAGTCCCAGCAGCTGCCAGCCCACCCGTCCCGGGAGGTTCCATTTATAGCCTCCATGGCTGTGGTCCCCGTCCGAACTCGGGGCCAGTTCACTGATTTCCCTGGTTTATTATTGAAAGTTTCCGGCCCAGAAACAGGACAAGTGGTCCCAGCAGTGTCCTGGCACCTGGCCTCCCCCACCCTGCCCGACATCCACAAGACACCTGCCAGGGACCCACTGGCCCCGCGGCTGCCTGTGCCTGTGGGCGCTGCTGGGCGCTCCCGGCTGACCCCTCCCCCTCCCCGACTCCTCTGGCTGGTGACTCCTCAGAGGTTTGTGTTCAGTGGCCAAGTGTGCAGGGGCTCCCCACTGACCCCTGATGTGCCCCGAGCACACTGCAGCTCTGTTATTCAGTGAAGCGTGGCGTGGGCCCCGCGCAGGCCAGCTGTTGGGTCAGTGGGGCCACCCACTCCGACGAGAGCCAGCAGCGCCCAACCTGGGCCCGAGGCCCCAGAGTGCGGATCCCCCGAGGGCTCGTGGGACCCCAGGCCGCCTACTTCTCCCCGCGGGGCATCGGGCCTCCCCTGTGCTCCGGGAGGGCCGGGCCGCCACTGAGACTCAGCAGCCCCTGGTTGTGCGGGGCTCTGAGCTTCGGGCAGACAGCGGCTGACCACCGTGGGCCAGTGGAGGGCTGAGGGGCCGGGCAGCACAGGAAGGGCGCAGCGAGGTGGGGCGCCTCCCTCAGGAAGGCAGGGCCGAGCCGCTGCAGGGCCCCCAACCTGCCCGTCCTGCCCATCTGGCCACTGTCACCTCGCCCCGCAGGCAGGCACTCAGCTCAGCTGGTGCGGCTGCACTGGTGAGGGTGGCCTGGGGACCCCGTGGTCCACAGAGGACTGGGGCTGTGGCCATCAGTCTTGAGAGCCTGTTGTCACTGTCCCGTGTCCTGGTGGAAAGCAGGGGCGCCCCCAGGGAAAGACGAGGGCAGCGTTGGCTGGTGGCAGCGCAGGGCAAGCATGGCCAGGCAGGTACCGTCCCACAGGTGGCGGCGGCCTCAGGGCGCCACCCTGCAGTCCCTGCGGGACCCAGGCGTGTGCCGGCCTGGCTGCGGGTGGGGGTGCTCAGCTGTGAGCCCAGACTCCAGCCAATGCCCTCGGGCCCCTGGCGACGCCCCAGCCCCGCCTGGCTGCTGGTCCCCATGGGGCTGGTGAAGGTGAACGTGTCGGGCACAGAGCACCCTCTGCCCGAAAAGCCCCCAGAAGCCTGTGTCTGGGCCACAGCAAGCTGACCAGCGCGTGGCCTTGGCTGACACTCGCACTTTGCGGGGGGCAGGAGGCTCACAGCGCCTTCCTCTGAGCACAGGCCACTTCCACTTTGCTGGACCCGGCCTCCCAGGCCTCCCAGGCCTCCCAGGCCTCCCAGGCTGGGCCAATCAGAGGGCAGCCGCCAGGGACTGGCCCCTTCAGGAAGTACCGGGCTCCCCGGCTCCCTCCGGGCTCCACCTTCCCTCACTGCCGGCTGCCGGCAGCGCCGCCTGTCCCTCATTGAATCTGCGGACCTGTCTGACCGGCGTCCAGCTGTGCGGGTGCCCCTTCCAGGACCCTGAGGTAGGCTGGCCCGTGTCCTTTCTGAGAGGTGGCTTTGTTGGGACTCCTGGGGCAAGGCAGGTCCTGCAGCAGATGTCCCAGAAGGGCCCCAAGTGGCCTCGACTCTCCTGCCTGGGCGCCTTCCCAGCCCGGGCTCCTGCTTGTGTGTCTCAGTGGAACCCACGGCAGGGCACCAGGCCCCGGACCTGCGGGCTGTAGGCTAGAGAGCAGGGGAACGGCCGGGGGGCCCAGGACCATCTGCTAAGTGGCTGTGTTTTCCTCAACACCTTGGCTGTCACTGGGCCAGGTGGGGTAACCAGTCACAGTGGGAGGTCGGGGAGACCCCCTTCAAAGCCCAGGCCCGGCCCGACCCAGGCCTTCCGGCGTGGGGTCTAGCTCCTGGGGCTGGGGCCGGCCTTCCCCACCGCCCAAGGGGTGGCCACATGGCGGCTCCCTGCCTCGGCCCGGCCCTGAAGAGGGCAGGTGGCTGCCGCTGGGAGAAGAGAACAGCAGTGAGCGGTCCCCAGAGAGGCAGTCCCCTCGTCGGAGAGCTGATGTGACAGATGTGACCGTCCTGTGAGTGGGGCCTTGGCAGGCCTGTTCTGGGCAGTGGGAGCGGAGCCCAGAGATGGGGACCAGGGTGCAGGCACCACCTCCACAGCCCCTCCCCGTGGGCCGGGCCGGGCTCCCCTTCCCAAACAGCAGTGCTGCCGAGCCTGACTCAGAGCTGGCCGGCCCTGCGCAGCTGCTGGGCGGCTGTTGCATCACTGGCTGGCCGCCGGAAGGACAGGACTGGGATGGGAGCGGGTGTGGAGTCGGGGAATGAGGAAGTCATGGGGCTGCGCAGGTGGGAGGGTCTGTGCCAACACGCTAGTGGCCCCAGGCCGGGCACCAGCTGGCGGGGGCTGGGGCCTCCCTCCCACCCCTGCCGGTGGGTCGTGCCAGTGGGCGGCACCGGTACTGGCACATCCTCTTGCCTGTTCAGCTCCGTGGTGCGAGGCAGCCACCCCTGCTAGCTCCAGCCGCATGGCATTCGGGGTGTCCAGCAGAGGCCAGAGGGCCATGGTGCAGAGGACGGTGTTTCCTTAGATACCACCTGTCCCGGGGTCCCTCCGCATCTCCCCCGACTCCTGCCTGGGTGGCTCAGGGAGAGCAAGGCCAGGGTGGCCGGAGGGGCAGGACCAGGGCCCAGGAAAGGCTGGGGATGGCCGCCCCGGTGAGCTGATGGGTCACTGTGCCACTGTGCTGTTGGTCACCAAGGCGGGAGGGTGGGGGAGGCTGCACACCCACACCTGGGCAAGTTCCCCATCGGGCTCCACCCAGAGCTCTGGCCGGGCACCTCGGAGGCCGGCCCGGGCATCAGCTGGGCCTGACTGACCGCTCGGTGCGCCCCGGCCCGCAGCCCCCACGGCCATGTCAGACTATGAGAACGAGGACGAGTGCTGGAGCACCCTGGAGGGCTTCCGGGTGAAGCTCATCTCAGTCATCGACCCCTCGCGCATCACGCCCTACCTGCGGCAGTGCAAGGTCCTCAACCCCGACGATGAGGAGCAGGTGCTCAGCGACCCCAACCTGGTCATCCGCAAGCGGAAAGTGGGTCAGTGCTGCCCCTCCCTGACCAGCCAGGAGCCAGCCCAGAGGTGGCTGCTGCCGCTCCTCACCCTGCTCCCCAACAGCTGGGCGAGAGTGGGAACCCCCTGACACCCCGCACCTGCCCGGCGTGTTTCGTGTCTCCACGCCAGCAGAGGCCGCCCAGGGCCAGGAGGCCAGTGGGCAGCACCCGGCCCCCGCCTCGGCACCAGGCTCACCAGCCATCAGCGCCCCAGACCCGCTGCACCCCCAGAGCCCGCGCGAGTCCCGGGCCAGTGGCCAACGAACGGCTCTGCCGGCCCCTCTGGGTTGCAGGCGTGCTCCTGGACATCCTGCAGCGGACTGGCCACAAGGGCTACGTGGCCTTCCTCGAGAGCCTGGAGCTGTACTACCCCCAGCTCTACAAGAAGGTCACAGGCAAGGAGCCCAGCCGCGTCTTCTCCATGATCATCGGTGAGGACTGCGCACCGGCGGGCGTGGGCTCCCGCCGGGCGGGCGCGGGGGTGAATGGGGCGGCACGGGCGCAGGCCAGAGGGCCGGGGACCCTGTCCGGTCTCCCAGGGGATAAAACGGGGACTGGAGGAAGTGAGCGAGCCGGGCATGGGAGGGTCACAGGAGGGGCGTGTCTGCTGATGGCTGCCATCCTGAGGCTCCTCTAGAGTGGGGAGCAGGCGAGAGGTGGGGTGCACAGGCCAACTCACGGTCCAGAGCCTGTCCTGCCCAGAAGACTGTCTGACCAGAGAGGCCAGGGGCCTGCTGGTCCAGCAAAGGTGACACCATGCGCTCCCAGCCCTGCAGTTGAGTCCTCATTGATCACTCAAGACCACGACAAAACTGAGGAGAGGGGGACAGGCACGGCCCCAGGCTGCACCCCGTCTGGGGGGGGCTGCACCCCGTCTGGGGGGAGGGGAATCCGAATCTGGGTCCGTTTCCACAATGGGAGCAACTGTGACCCGGAGTCCACCTGGAACCCAGGAGCTGCCATCACAACCAGGGCCCCAGGGGTGGGTGGGCCCAAGGCTGCGGGTGACGGGCACCCGTCTAAAGCGAGCCCGGTCTGCAGACGCATCCGGGGAGTCGGGCCTGACGCAGCTGCTGATGAGCGAGGTTGCAAAGCTGCAGAAGAAGGTGCAGGACCTCACGGCCCTGCTGAGCTCCAAGGACGACTTCATTAAGGAGCTGCGGGTCAAGGACAGCCTTCTGCGCAAGCACCAGGAGCGTGTGCAGAAGCTCAAGGAGGACTGTGAGGCCTGCAGCCGTGAGCTCAAGCGTTGCAAGGACGAGAACTACGACCTGGCCATGCGCCTGGCCCGCCAGAGCGAGGAGAAGGGTGCCGCGCTCATGCGCAACCGCGACCTGCAGCTGGAGGTGCCCGGAGACTCCTGTGGCTTTGGGTGTCCCCGGCAGGGGCCAGCGGTGGGGAACAGCTGCCCAGCTGACGGCCGGCCGTCCTGCAGGTGGACCGGCTCAAGCACAGCCTGATGAAGGCTGAGGATGACTGCAAGGTGGAGCGCAAGCACACGCTGAAGCTGCGGCACGCCATGGAGCAGCGGCCCAGCCAGGAGCTACTGTGGGAGCTGCAGCAGGAGAAGGCGCAGCTGCAGGCGCGTGTGCAGGAGCTGGAGGCCTCCACGCAGGACGGCAGGCCGGACAAGGGCAGCCCCTACATCCAGGTGCTGGAGGAGGACTGGCGGCAGGCGCTTCGGGACCACCAGGAGCAGGCCACCACCATCTTCACCCTGCGCAAGGACCTGCGCCAGAGCGAGGCCCTGCGTGCCCGGGTACGCCACCGTGAGGACGGCTGGACGTGGCTGGGTGGGTGGAGGGTCTGCCCTGGGCTCCCACAGTGCCCAGAGTAGGGCACTCGCCCATGGGGGGGCTCCATGTCCCCACATCCGTCCCGCTCTTGGAGACACAGGGGCCCGACACCTCAACCCACCCCTCACCCACCCTCCTGGGGACGGTCAGGACCGACCGCTGCTCTGGAAGCCCTGGTCTGGCAGGGCCTATGGGGCTCCCACTGTGTGCAGCATGGGGGCCACGGGCGGAGGGTGCAGCTGCCGGTTCCCGCAGTGCTCGGAGGAGAAGGAGGTGTTCGAGCTGCAGTGCCTGGCCCTGCGGAAGGACTCCAAGATGTACAAGGACCGCATCGAGGCCATCCTGCTGCAGATGGAAGAGGTGGCCATCGAGCGGGACCAGGTATAGCATACCCGCAGTGGCCGGGGACACGGGGGGCTGGGGTGTGGGGCATTCGTTTTAAAGAATATGACATGGCTGACCAGGCTGGTGTGGCTCAGTGGATTGAGCGTGGGCCTGTGAACTGAAGGGTCACGGGTTCAATTCCCAGTCAGGGCACATGCCTGGGTTGCAGGAAAGGTCCCCAGTAGGGGGCGCATGATATTACACAGCTGCTCACAACTGCAATCTTGACACCAACCACAGTCAACACTTACAAACCCGTGGGCAGGGGCAAATGTGCGCAGATGCCCCAAGCAGGCCGGGCTCTGGGAGTGCCTATGCCGCTCAGGGACTATCCTGCAAGTTGTCGGCGGAGGTTTTTTTATCTCCTCGTCTTTCCCGAGCTGCCCACACTTCCAATCAGGTGCCTTCCTTATGTGGTTCACAACTCTCCACTCTTAAGTCCCCGGACCAGGATCAGATGAGAGCAGGGGAGCCTGACCAGCACCTGCTCTGGGGTGGGCGGCTGTGCTGGGGGAGGGGCTGCTCAGGCCCCCCCGCCGTGGGTCTCCCCTCAGGCCATCTCGTCGAGGGAGGCGCTGCACACGCAGTATGCCCGCAGCCTGCAGGACAAGGACGTGCTGCGCAAGCGGGTGCGGGAGCTGAGCGAGAAGGCGGACGAGCTGCAGCTGCAGCTGTTCCAGTGTGAGGGCCAGCTGCTGGCCGTGGAGGGCAGGCTCAAGCAGCAGCAGCTGGAGATGCTCGTCCTGGTGCGCCTCCCTGGGGGCCCTCGAGGTGGGACACCGGGTGGCCTCTTGGGAGCAGGCAGGTCCCCAGAGCCTGGAGGAGGAGGAGGAGGAACCCCCCCACCACAGCCTCATCCCGGCCTGGTTCGGCCACTGCCCTCTGGTGGTCCCAGCAGGTCCCCAGGCCTTCCTGAGTGCCCTCCAAATGGAGCCCACCTTGAGGAGCTCAGGGCCCGGCAGGTGGCTCTGGGCGTGGTGAGGGCAGAGAGGGACCTCCCTGGAGGTCGGGTGGCCTGGGGCCCCTCACCACACCCACCGCAGCCCATTCCCGAGGCAGCTCCCTTCCCCCACGGCCTGCTGACCAGCCCCTCTTCTGTGACCACAGAGCTCTGACCTGGAGGACAGCTCGCCCAGGAACTCCCAGGAGGTGAGTGTGACCCTGGGGTGGGCTTCTGGCCACAGCCTCTGCCGGACCACAGCCCCGCACACATCCCTCAGAAGTTCCAGAAGCTCAGCCACCGGCCGCCGGCCCCGGTGAGCTGAGCCGTCCCTGCCTCCCAGCGCTCGGTCAGGCAGAAGAGCCGCTGGGGGCACATGAGGCCCCCTGTGTGGCACCCACCCCAGGCCCTCACGGGGGCCTCCCCGAGGGACCCTGAGGAGCTGGTGCAGAGGGTGACAGCAACAGGGCAGCCACGCTCTCCTAACCAGCTGCCCCCTCTCTCTTTGGAAGCTCTCGATCCCCCGGGACCTGGAAGAGGACGCCCAGCTCTCTGACAAAGGTGAGGAGGGGGCACCGATGCTGCCCTCGGCACACACGGCCCCAGGCAGCTGGCACTTGGGGCTGCAAACTCCAGCCCTGTCCTGCTCACCTTCACAACTACACCTCCTAAGTGGGGACACTGAAGCTGGGAGGGACAGGCAACCTCCTAAAGCCCCCCCGGCCAGCAAAGGAGAGCCTCACTCGACCCGGGGCCCAGGGTCTGCAGGCTGGAGGCCCCGCCCTCGGTGAGCTGCCTCTCCAGCAGGACTCCGGGGAGATGGCAGTAAGCCAGTGCCCAGGCGTGCCAGGCTAGGAAGTGGGGACAGAGCAGGGAAAGAGGGGATGTCGTGGCAGACGGTGGGGGGGGGGGCTTCAGGTGGCAGGGGTGGGACCCCTCTGCCTGACTGGGGACAGGACTTGGCTGCGGCAGCCAGGGTACGGCCCAGGGGTGATCTGGGGCCAGGGGCTCGCAGAGAAGGTGGGTGTCAGGGCTCTGGAAGAGCCCGTGCTGGGCCGGGAAGGCTGGGGGACACCACAGGGGGTGCGTGGGAAGCCAGACGAGACTTCCTCAGTGTCGGGCCTGACCCCAGCTTCTAAAGGGGACAAAACAGGAAGAAGGGACAGCAAATGGAGAAGTGGGTCAGGCAGTCTGCTGCAGCCCAAAGGCTGAGCTTGAGGTTACCAAGCCCCCCGCAAAGGGAGAGGTGGCAGGACCTGGAAGGCAGCAAGCCAGCCAGCCCTGAAGCCTCCACCCAGGGGTGGGGTGGCCCCTCGGAGGAGCCAGGGTAGACTGAGGGGTGGAGGCTGAGGAGCCGGAAATCAGCCCCAGGCAGGTGCCTGGGCCCACTACGATGGCCCTGAGGCTGCAGTCCACAGTCCCCATCACGGCCAGTTTAGGGGCACCAGCCCACCTGACCTCCAAGGGTCCTGAGCCCTGGGCCCGTCCAGGCCCTGACATGTTCGGAGGGGTCCAACTTCAGCAGTACCGCAGCCCCACGAAGGAGGGGCTGGCCCATCCGGGTTGGAGCAGCCCTTAGGGGCATCCTCCCAGGAGTGAGGAGTGAGCCCCCTGCCGCATCTGGGAGCCCTGGTGGGGCCCAACAAGGATGGTGAGGAACTGGCCTGGCAACGTCAGGGCTGCGGAGGCAGGCGTGGGCCCTGCCAAGCCTGGTCCTAACAGGTGGGCAGGACCCACAGCCTCCATTCCCCTTTCCAGGTGGCCTGCCCGACCGGGAGAGCCCAGAGCAGCCCTTCGAGGCTCTGCAGAAGGAGCACCTCTCACTGACCCCCAATGTAAGGCAGCCCTGGGGTGGGCCTGGGTCGGGAGATGGATTCCTACACTGGACGCCTGGGGGTGACCACAGGGGTCTTTGCCCTACCCATGGGCTCTCGGGGGCGGGAACAGTGTCTGGAACATGAAGTTGCACCCCCTCCCTGCACAACACAGTGGGTGGAGGCGTGGCCTGGGCAGCGGGAAGCCTGTCTCCGGCTGTGCAGTGTTAGCCGGTAATCTCCGCTGCCTGCGAGTCCCCCTCAGCAAGGGGGTAGAGACCCTAGCCCGGGATGCAGCCCACGCGCTGGGTGTCTGGTCATCTGAAGGGAGGGACCCACACCCAGCTCCCCTCACGGGGTGCTCGCAGGACGCAGGCGGCGGCCAGCCAGTCCGGGTGCAGAGCTGGCCCTCCCATCTGGGCCCGACCGGGTTCATCCTGGGGGCGGGGCCCACGCGGGCGCCGGCCGGGGCCTGAGTTTCCCAAGCCTTCCGCTGCAGGGGGCTGGTCTGAGCGGCGGGGAGCCCCCCGAGAAGGAGCGGCGGCGCCTCAAAGAGAGTTTTGAGAACTACCGCAGGTGGGCCCACGTGGGCGCAGGGCTGGGGGCCCGGCGGGAGGGGCGGAGGGCGCGCGCGTGGGCGGCTCCCCGTGGGCAGCAGCGCACATCTGCGCCCTCGGCTCTCCCGCAGGAAGCGGGCGCTTCGAAAGCTGCAGCACGGCACGAGACAGGGGGAGGTGGACTGGGAGAACACCACGGGCAGCGACAACACCGACACTGAGGGCTCCTAGCGGCCTTTGTGCAGGAGACCGGAGGCACGGACCAGACGCTAACCAGCCAGGAGCGGGCGCTGCCCTGTTGGGCCGCCTACTTCTTGGTAGCCCGTTTCCACATCGGCACACGCACTGTGCCACTCACCGGCGAGTTCTACCTTTATGTTAACAATGCACACGCATGAGCAGTGTTAGAAACGCAGCTCCTAAATAAACAACCGCCGCGTCCGATGATGGCCTTACTCGCGCGCACATTCCAACTCCTTGTCCGCCCTCGCGCACCGCCGGCCGCCAGGGGGCAGCAGAACCCGCTCCGGCAGCCTGCCACTGGGGTCGAGGAAGGTCGCTTCCGCCGCTGCCCGCTTCCAAAATGGCGGCAGCACAGCTTCAGCTCTGGCGGGCGAAAGCGAGGAGGGGCGGTTGGGACCGGCGGGAGTGATGTTGCGAGCGGCACTGTGCCGCGTGTCGATGCTGGTGAGCCGTGCGCGGCCCCGGGGGCCGGGCCTGAGGCAGCTGTGGGGGTGCGGAGTCCGCCGGGAGGCCGCGGGGAAAAGACTGGCGCGGGACAGTGGCTGGCGGTGCTCGAGTTCCGAGCCTCGGCCCAGGGCTGCGCACTACCAGCTCGTCTACACTTGCAAGGTGGGTGCGCGCGGGTGCTGGAGCTGAACTGGCGGTGAACCGCGCACAAGGCAGATGTGGTACAGGGGACATCGCGTGGAGGGGTGAAGCTATTCCTTTAGGGGACGGGCCCTTCTGGGAGAGGGGCGGGGCCATACTGCGAATGACACCATTGAGGGCGGGACATTCCCGGAGACGGGTGGAGGGGTGGGACTATCCCTTGCGGGGCCGGCCCTTCAGGGGTGGAGCTATTGTTGGGGCGGGGCCTTCTGGTGGTGGGCGGGGCCAACTGGAGGGTGATGGGGTCCCTTAGGTGGAGGGGCCTTCTGGTAGAGGGGTGGGGCTGCATGGAGCTGGAGCTGCCCTTAGGAGCGAGCCTTTTGGGAGAGGGGTGGAGCTTACCCCTTAGGGGGCAGGACTTTCTGGGGGAGGGGTGGGACGGGCTCTTGGAGAGGGGTGGATTTATCCCTGGGGTGAGCTGGCCCTTAGGAAGAGGGCTGGTCCTGTTGTGGGGTGGAGCCATACCTCAATGGGAGTGGTCTTTCTGGGAGGGGCGGGGCCCGGCCTAGGCTTCACCTGTGCCTCTGTGTCTCCACCAGGTCTGTGGGACTCGGTCCTCTAAGCAAATTTCCAAGCTGGCTTATCACCAGGGTGTGGTCATCGTGACCTGCCCTGGCTGCCAGAACCACCACATCATCGCAGACAACCTGGGCTGGTTCTCTGACTTAAATGGGAAGAGGTGAGGTCACCTGGGCAGGGATGGGGGAGTAGAGTCTGACCCCTGACCCTCCCCCTAATGAGGTTTAAATCGCCCCCTGCTCCAGCTTTACCAGTACAGGAGGAGCCAGTTGCATTAGAGTTCAGACAAACCACAAATAACTTCTGCACCCCAAGCAGGGGGCACGTTTTTATTTGCAGAATCTACTCTTGCTCGGCCCCCTTCAGCCCTGCTGCACTGCCTGGCCTCCCCCTCACTGACCACAGGCAGGACCCACCTACCTGCCAGGCCCACAGGCCTCCCCTAAAGTGAAGGGTCAGACTCTGGTCACTTTTCAAGCCACTTTCATTTTGGGTTCCTTCCTTCATTCTGCAAAAATATTGTGAAAATTTGTCACCCCCTCACCCTCTGTCGATGCTGGTTGACCACGCCAGCCTTGAGGGTTTGTGTGAGGTGGTATGGGCGGGACCCTGGGCCTGCAGGATTAGTCTCACCCTTCCGTGGGGGACAGTGGTCAGGAGCCTGTGGCCAGTTGCTCTGGACAGCCCAGTTTGGCTTCTGAGAGTACTGTCCCCTGGGAATGGGACAGGAGTAGCAGCTGCTGCTGGGGGCTGTGGAGAAGGCCCGGAGGCAGCAGCACTGGCCCCAGTGCTGCCCCAGTGCGGGGACCCGTGTTCCTGGCTTGAGCTTGTCCTCAGGTGCCCTCCTGGGACCAAGGTGCAGCACAGGCGAGGGACCCGGAGTGTGAAGCCACCTCCCTCTCTCTCAGGAACATTGAAGAAATCCTGGCGGCCAGAGGGGAGAAGGTGTGCCGAGTGGCCGGCGATGGGGCCCTGGAGCTGGTTTTGGAGGCTGCAGAGGCCCCCAAATCTGCTGCTGCTCCGGAAGCGGATGAGGACCAGGACCCCAGCCACCCGGGCAAGACGGAGCCTGGCTGACCTGCCTCTGCCCCGGAGGAGGGGCCCTGCCACTCCCCCTTGCCGGTTTCCCTCAATAAACTGACGTCACCTGCAGATGACGAGCCTTGGGCTCTTGTTGTCCCAGCTCTGGAGTCAGAGTGGCTCATGGGACCCCCCCAGTGCAGCAGGGGGACGCTGGCCAGCCACTGCTGCTCTGCCCAGACGACCTGCCCTTGTACTTGCCCGATTTGGACAACACCGGGTGGGAAGGGCTGCACGTGGACCCTTCCTGTTTGCTGATGGAGACGCTCCTAGTGCCACACTGTCGGGTACACGGGATGGGAAGAGCAGATGGGATGGGCACAGGGTGGCTCAGTTGTACCCAAGTGTCTCTGGGGAGAAGCCTGGAAGGGACAGCCAATGGGCCGCCGTTCTTCCTGGGGAGGGTCAGCGCATGCTGCCTGTCCTGTCCCTCTGGCCAGACACAGGGGGGCCCCACTGATCCCCTCCGTGCCACCTGCCGTCCCTGGGACACACCAGGCTGCCCAGGCTGGCTGCAGGTGGGCTGGTTGGCTGTGGTGACAAGGGCAGTGGGTGCGGGCCGACATCTGACGGGCAGGCGCCCTGAGCACCCCACGTGACCCCCCCACCCCCACCCCGGGGCATGCAATTTGTCTTGCGACCTTGTTTGACTGCCTTCTCAGGATGTTCCTGTGTTTATGGAAGTGTGTTTATTTCCAGAAGTGTTCTGGGCTGTGTGACCTTAAACGTGACTCACCAACCAGTCTCTCAGATCCCGGCAGGCTCTGAGCTCCCGACTGCGGCCCCGGAGCCTCGGCTCTGTTCTCCGGGGCGTGGGCAGCTCGTGCTCTGCCTGGATTACCCCCTGTCCTTCTCTTGGCAAACAAGCCGCTATTATTCCCTCCCAGGGCCTCCCCTGCGGCTTGCAGAGCTGTCCTCCCCGGGCCCTGCAGCCCCCGCCTGCCCCTCCACAGAGGCAGGGAGGCCGTATGGAACCGGCTGGCTTTGAAATGCAGGAGAGGGGGCATGGGCCTTGACCTAGCTGCCTCACTGCCCTCAGAGTTGGGGGAGGTCCAGGGAGCTGGCTGAACCTAGGAGGGCCACCCAGGGCCCTCCCTGCATGGACGGGGAAACTGAGGCTCGAGGTTTGGATGTGTGTTGACCATTGTCTTACTTTTTGCATCCCGATGCTTTAGCATTGGGCCCGGCTGCCCTGGCGGGGGGCTGCCCCCCCACCCCCCAGGGCTAGTCAGACTCCAGGGAGATGACAGGCACCCCCAGGCAGGTACCCTTCTCCGGAGCCACCAGAGTTCTTGTACCAGCCTGTCCGGGGCTGGCCAGCCTCTTGTGCAGGTTTCCCCCCCTGCCTCCTGACCCACCTGCAGCCTTCCTGTGGCCCCCATGGCCTGGTGTCCCCCTGCTCTTGGGACCCGTGACAGTCTTCGTCTTCAGTGGTGTCATCTGATCTGCCAGCCTCACCACACCAGGGTGACGACAGATCCTGCCTTTTCAGTATGGCCACCTCCAGGCCTCCGTTGGCTCCCAGCCCAGTCTCTGAGCCCCTCAGGGCCTTCTCTGGCTTCTGCTCCCCTAATCCCCAATCATCTTTCCTCCCCCAGCCCTGGTCAAACCAGGGAGTCGAGTATCTGGGGACATTGGGTAGAGAATGTCACATCAGCTTTCCTGCAGGACTCCTTGCAGCCTTGAGAGCTCCAATCCGGGCGAGAGCCACGACAGGGGTGCCCAGCATCCCTGCCCACAGGGCGTCCTGGTGCGGGGGCTTTCAGGGCATCGAGAACCACCAGGCGGTGGGTTCTGGTGAAAGTGCCCCGGGGCCCCTCATCTCAGGGACAATGACACAGGCTCCTGCATGTCCTGCACCACTACTGCTTCCCCAGCACCACCCTCCCCTCCCCGGGGCTCTCGGCACTCCCAGGGTTGTGGGGGCCGTACAGGGAGCAGAGGGGCTCCTGGCCCAGTGGGTCACAGGGAGAGGGGTGAGCAGGCCCTCCCCCAGCACCCAGACCCTACCAGGGACAGAGCCTTACAGGGTGTGTTTGCAGGGCATCGCCCCCCCCCCCCAACTGCCTTCACAGGGGCCCCTTCACTAGCTGTCCCATCAGGGTCACCAGCCCACAGGATCTGGGGGATGCAACATTACAGACACACCGAACCTCCCTTGTCCTGGTGGCCCTCAGGTCCTGGTGGAGATGGGACTGGAAGGGTAAGCATGTCCAAGCATGTGAGTCATTAGGACAGTGATGGCCGCTCCCGAGGTGCAGGCTGCTGAGTGTGGTGGGCCTGGCGCAGGGCACCCTGGGTGGTGGGCTCTTCTGAGCCTTGGGCCTCTGTGCCCGCGGGCTGGCCTGCCACCCCCAGCCTAACCCTGAAACGGCAGCACTCACTTGGCAGACTTTATTTTTTCCAGAAAAACAAATGTACCTCTTGGGTCAGAAGGACCCACGCACGATGTGGCAAACACGTGAGGGCAATAAATACACATGTACATTCAAGTACTTGGGCAGCCAAGTGGAAACTGTGCCCTGGGGCCTGGCCCCACACCTGCCAGCCTCCGCCCTCAGGGCCCCTCACCCGGAGCAGCGGGCTGTGTGCTCAGAGCAGGTCCAGCCGACTGCTGCCCACAGGAGGTGCCCTGGGGGCCGTGGAGCTGAGGCTCGGCCTGGACTGGGGGCAAAGGGGGCACTGAGGGTGACCAAGAGCCACTGGCCACTGTCCCCAGGAGGCCTGTCTGCTGCCCAGTCCCACGGCCAACTTGGGTGTTCAGGGACCAGACCCACCCCACACGTGGGAGAGGCAGGGATGCCGTAGCCCTAGCTGGTGGCAGGGAGAGCCGGGTCCTCTCTAGGGCGTCCAGGGCAGAGCCGAGCCAGCCGGGCTCTGCTGACCCAGAGCTTGGAGCCAAGAAACGTCCTGCTTCCCCGCTCCTTCCCCTCGGGCCCCTGCCGGCTCAGGGCTGTGTGGGGCCAGGGACCCTGGGAGCCTGCCTCCGCTGCAGGTGGTCTGGGGCGCCTTCCTGTTCCCCCTCCTCCGACCTGGGTAGGAGGGAAGAGGAGGGAGGGAGGGGCCCTCTGAGGCAGGTGAGGGGCTGGGACGGGAGTGAGCGTGTCTGCACAGAGCCTTCCAGGCGACAGACCTGTGTCACTGGTGACCCAGGCAGAGTCTGCGGAGAACCCTTGGGGGCGTGGCCGGGCAGGACCGAGCGGTGGGGGTGGGCAGAAGGCTCGGGAAGTCTGGAGAGCACCTTGGTGGTCAGGGCCACCAAGCTGAAGGCCTGGGGTGGGGGGTAGGAGGGGCACAGGCAGGGGTGAGGGCGCTGCCGGGCCGGGCGGGCCTGTGGGGAGCTGCGCACCACATCACGTGGGGCCGGCCCAGGACAGAGTGCCCTTCCCCAAACTCCAGCTCTGGCCCAGCCCGCCACCACCGGGAGGGGGACGCTGTGGGGGCAGTGTGCCCAGCGTCTGGCTCAGTGGGAAGGGTAGGGGGGCTCAGAGCCTGCCCTCAGCCACAGCCTTGGCCGTGGGCGTCCTGGACGATTCCAACCACTCCCACGGGGCACCAGGAGTGGGGCAGGGCGGGCCTGGCGGTGGGTGCAAGGCCCTAGCCAGTGCCGGGCTGGCACTGCGGCCTCTGCTCGGGCAGCCCGCCCGCCTCCTGCTCGGGGCTCCCGGCGAGGTCCACCCGCTGCTCATCCATCCGCTTGGCCTGCACCCTCTGGATGAGGCTGAAGAAATCCTCGTCGGGCATGGTGGGGCCGCGGGGCAGCCCGTCGGGTGGCGGGCAGCGCTGGTCGTCGATCCTGGAGGACTGGTGGACACGGACACGTGGATTGGCGACCTCGCCCTCTGGGTCTTGCAGGGCCACCCCAGCACCAGGGCCCTACGAACAACCCCGAGGCAGGGGCTGTCGTTCAGGGCCTGTGTCTGGTGGTGAGGGGGTCAGGCCACCTCAGGCCTCCCTGGATCTGCCTAGGAGTCAGCTCCGGGGGCCCTGACCCCAGGAACAGCCCACCCGGAAGAGTGGGTCAGACAACAGTGACTGCGTGTGGGATGCGCCATCGGGGAGACAGGGCTGCTGGGGAGGCCTCCGAGACCACCAGGACAGCTGTGTGTGGTCAGGAGCCCTTGGGACAGGGCGGGAGGCTGCAGCTCCCGGAGCCGGAGGTTCCGGGAGCCCCTCGGGGACGTCTGCAGGGTCGGGGCCGACGATGGTGGGCTGGAGGGGCCGAGGAGGTGTGTGGGCTTCTCCGCAGGGTCTGGAGCAGAAGGGCCAGGAGCCTGCGTGCATGTGGACGGGGGGCTCGGGGGTTCTCGGTCAGGGCCGGTTTGGGGGCTCCTCGGGCCCACCGAGGGCTGCGCCTTCCTGTCCTCTGTGGGGAGGGGTGGCAGGTCGCATGCTGCCTTGCTTCCACACAGCAGGCCTGCCTTGCACCCCGCCCCGCCCTGCCTGCTGGCCCAGCCCCCCACATACCAGGGTGCTGCCTGGCCCTGGTTTTCTCTATCCAGAGCGGAAGGCTGGAGGAATTCCCCCAGACCACGGCCCTGAGGACCCGGCAACCCCTCAGCTTTGTACAAACAGTCTAACTGAGGACATACTGGGGTGGCCTTGTCAGGAAGGTCTGCACACCCTCCCGCCGTGGGCACTCGGTGACCCGGGCTGAGCCCGCCTGTCCTTCCTCTCCCCACGGGGCATCGGCCAGGCCCAGCCAGACACGGGGGGGACCAGGGCCCCCTGCCTCCGCAGCTTCAGGCCTACCTGGCACTTGATGAGCATGTTGAAGAAATCGTCCCCTGGTTCCTGGGGGTCCCCGTCACCGCGCAGGTGCCCCAGGTTGTTGTGGGTGATGCGCAGTCCGGGGAGGCTGCCCACGCTGGCTCGCTGGTCGTCCAGCCGTCGGCTCTGGGAGCTGGCGATGAGGTCGAAGAGCTCCTCCGTCTGGGGGGAGGCTGTCAGCGAGGGCCGGGCTGTGGGGGGCAGCGGGTGAGCTGGGGTTTCCCTCAGGGCGGGGGGTCAGTCAGGCTGACCCAGTGGCCCTCTGACAGTGGGGCCTGAGGTGGGGCAGGGGGCCTCCCGGC